TAAATATCTTATTTGTAGTTACGACCATGCAACAATAATTATAACAGAAACATATTAATCGTGCAAGTGCCAAACATTTCATGGCTTTTGTAGCTACAGATTGCGTTTAAATTTTTTTTAAAGAGGTACGGAAATACTTTGTGTGATTGAAAAAAAAACCTGAACAGCCAAACTGAAAACGGATTTTAATTAATAGTCATAAGGTGAAATTTGTATGCGGTGTTCTGATCGATTTACAAATAAATTTTAGTTTTTAAAGCTTGATTTAATAGTTAGTGATTAATATCACTAACTATTAAATAAACATTTGCTAATGCAAATGTTTATGTAGACTATTGAATGTTTTTACTGCCTTTTTCATAATATTTTATACAAAAATTATGCCTTTTGTTAAATTATCCTGATTTCGGTGGTAGCGGAATTCGATGGATGAAATATGTCATTAACTGTTTGTGTGTTGTAAGAATCTAATTGCCCAATAACGGAATCTTATGTAAGTTTGAGTTGTATTTCGTTCCCGCTCAAAGTTTTTCCTGAAATTAAGAAAAAAAATTCGACCACTGAAGTCAGAGAAGTTACGCTCAACTCACTCTGGCGCAGAATCAAAGCGTCGCGACGCGTCTTTTTTCACCTATAGCATATTCATCTATTTTCCCATTATTAAGATACAAATTTGTGTTATGAAAATATAACGCGCGCCTTCACACGTCGACGCTTGGCGTGCCCGCGCATTACTTGCGCGCAGTGAGGCGTCTGACGCCGATCACACTGTGACCCGGGCGCGCTAATGCGAGTGTCGTCGCGCGACGACGCGCGTCGCCATGCCTTGTAGTTGAAAAACAGAGCGCGACGCGACGCTTCGACTCTGCGCCAGTGTGAGTTGAACCTTAGCCCTTCTAGGAGAAATGCCCAATAATGATTTACCCAAGTTATTCATTATAGCCAGTTCTTAGGTTTTCGCGATTGTTGCACATAGGAAATGAAATTATTTTTCCGGACTTCAATCGCGTATATTTGGTTTTTCGAACAAACCAACGTTTCGGGCTCTTTATAGGTCCCATGGTCACGGTCAAAGTCAAAGTCAAAGATTATTTATTCCATAGGTAAAATAAATTTACACTTGAAAACGTCACATTCAAGCTACTGCTCGTTCACTACGCCGACCTCTCTGAGAAGAACGAGCAAGAAACTCGAGGGATTGCTCTTTTCAAATAAACTTAAATGCTATGGAATGCACTTTGAATCAAATTAGTGTGGATTCTGGAGCTGTGTCGTCTTTTCATACATCTTAATCTAACACGTAGTCTTCAATTTTGTAATATGATTTTTCGATCAAAATATATTTAATGTAGTTTTTAAAATTAGGAAATGATAAGGTTAATATATGCTTCGGAATCTTATTGTAAAAACGTATACAGTTCCCCATAAAAGAGTTGTTTACCTTGGTTAAATGAAATCGTGGTACCATGAGTTTGGACTTAGCTCTAAGGTTAATATTATGGATATCTTCTTTCTTATTGAAATTATGTATATTTTTACGGGCATACAAAATATTTGAGTAAATGTACTGTGATGCCACAGTCATGATACCAGTCTCCTTAAACTTTTCTCTGAGAGAAACCCGAGAGTCTAGACGGCACACAGAACGAATCGCTCGTTTTTGCAATACAAATATGGTTTGAATATCTGCCGCTTTACCCCACATGAGAATCCCGTAGGACATTATACTATGGAAGTGACTAAAGTAAACTAGTCTAGCAGTACTAACATCGGTAAGCTCACGTATTCTGCGGACTCTCACTCCCAAGAAGACTGCTTTATTAACAAGGTCTAACTTTTCTCCGTTTATTTCTATGCTTGGGCTAGTCGATTTTACGTTAGGTAATTCAAATTTAACACATTTTGTCTTCTTGGCATTAAGGGATAAATTGTTAGCATTAAACCAATAAACTACCTTAGAGAGGGTATCATCCCATGGTCATGGTTGACTGACACAGTCAACCGTGACCATGGGGCAAAAATAGTTTCATTTCCTTGAAATATATGATTATTACTTTTGTATTCTTTTCTTAATTTTGATTTAATTTCAATTATAATTTGGCCTTACAAACGCAAGTTCGGCAAAATACGAATTAGTGTGGTGTTAATTGCTAGTGTCGAGATGCTATTTGTTAATATGGAACTAAGTAGGTAGGTAAGTACTTGTTTTTGTTACTTAATGCGCGGTGAGTCATTTAATTCATCGTCTTATGTGCAAGCGCTATATGATCTTAGAGATAGTATTGAATCGTAACTCTTGCTTCATTACATTGATATATGGACAGGACTTTGGCATTATATTGTTTTGATATTGTTGTCTACTCGCCAGGCGTGCAAATGTATGTTGTAAGGCTATATCTGTATACGAAAAACAATTGTATACAAAACAAAATAGTCTAAATAGTCTCCATAGTATTTATGTGGTCTGTGGTCTCTATTGATGTTCGATCTTGTTCAGTCCCATTTTTGCACGAATTGAACTTTTGATTACGTGAACAATTGAAATATTTGAAAATTGAAATAAATCTTAATTTAAAGCTTTATATTTGTATACCATTTAACCATAATAAAATCTTAAACCGTGCGGTGGTGTCGTGACTGCCAGAAAATTGTACGATTAATAGGTCTTTGTTTCAAAGGTACCCGACCTTACAAAAGGGTACAGCCTAAATGGAAATTGTTTCGAGATCACATGTAAAGGAAAACAATTAAATAATTCGACGGTGGAAATTTGAAATGTCCTAAGAGACATTTCGTCGTATGGTCATTGTCTTTTACATGTCCCCTGCAACATTTCAAATTTCCACCATCGATATCATATAAGGAACTACTGAGACACGGGAGAGATACAACCTGGTCTCACACTAGGGAATTCTCTGGTCTAACTAACCAGAGTAACGAAATATTTATATAATATTTTCATTGTGTTTACGTCTATGTGTCAAGTCTTATTGAAATCGGTTAACGGTTATCGGGTTATTCGGTTAAATATAAGGAAAGAGAAGTGTAGGAAGAAAGAGAATATTCTGGCTCAGAAATTTGTGCCACTGGTACAATAGGAGCACCCGATCATTATTTAGAGCTGCAGTGTCCAAGGTTAAGATTGTCATAATGATCGCCGACCTTCATTGAAAGATGGCACATGAAGAAAAAGAACGGAAAGTGGTTTAGTCAGTAAATCGTATTCATCCCTCAATTTTCCACGATTAAGAGGTGGAATATTTTCTTCCAACTTGAATGGGATCGCCTACTAAGGAACCCCGTTTCCAACAAAAAAGAAACATCAAACTCGGTTCGCAAATGCCGGAGGAAACACACACTTGATCTTATAAACAAAAGAAAAAGAAAAATGCAGTCTAATTGGGAATCTCCTCCTTTTTTAAAGTGGGTTAAAAATATGTAAGCTACGCCAATTCATATACAAGTATCAAGAACAAAGGCAGCCTATCCAACCTACCTAACTGGTAACCATAATAAGTATGTTCTACTGCGCAATAATTCGCTTTAGTTTCTTTTATATTTACGTATATAAACTACTTAACAATTGGTAAATGTCTACTTTGTCGCAACGGACAACTAAATCCTCGGGTTAAGTCCAATCGGAGGACTTAATTCTCTGTCTATACTATAATATACCTCTTTAAAGAGCACAACGCAGTTACAAAATTGTAGAACAAACGACGAAAACTAAACGAGAGAAAGAGGGAAAGAGAGAAAAAGAAATAAAAAAGCTGTTAATTGTAAATGTTTCGTAGATTAAATGTCAAAGGTAGGTTTAGTCGCTCGCGCCCGAGCGGTGCTGCACATAATGGCAGGGGCGCGGTCGCTCGGCAGCCGACACACATTCACGCGTGAGTGTTATTTCGCACAAACTGGTCCACGCCACATACTCTCTCACTTACATACTAATGTCGCTTGTACGGATTTGAACTTTAGAAAAAACCAACTGTCACGTTATTTGCAAATAAGGCAGCCTTTTTATTGTTACAGGTAGGTATGTGAATATGAATACTGATCACAGGAGGTAAGTAATTGTCAAAGACTCGGTTATGGGACCTGTAAAGAGTCCGTCACGACACGAAAAAACAAATATACCTACGCAATTTAGGTACGAAAAAAATTTATAACTTTGTACTTATATGTATAAGGTCATTGTAACAGTCCCGAAAACCTAAAAACTCGATAAATATTTCGATAGCTTTGAACTATGTCGTCATTATTATTTCAGACGAAAAACGTCCACTACTGGACGTAGGCCTCCCATAAAAATCGCCACGAAGACTGGTTTTGCGCAGTGTTATTATCATTTCTTTAACTAGGTATAATAAAAAAGTTTTTTCAAAATCTTGTAGTCAAACTTATTCTAAGCTAGCTCGAATTAAGCATTACTATTTGTATAGTCTTAAAATATATAGTATAAAGAAAAATAGAAGTACGATTCCTCTAATTTATTACCTCAGCTTTAACAATACATATTCAACAATGCTTACAATATATGCATATAAATAGAAGTTATCCTTATAACTAAATGTGGTTCAATCAGGTCACATGGATGAGGGGTGGATGAAGTTCGGACGAACTTGCGTCACCACAAGCGTTACGAAACATTGCAATCAAATGTGTGAAAAAAAGTCATCGAATTTACACAAAAATGTTACTACATCTGAATATTATCACTTTCTCTGAATTTTTAGGTTCGTGTAAATAGTAAAAGAACATCTCTAAAGATAATCTACGTATGAAGGCCGGCGGGTTGTAGCTATTGCAGCCTAAGGCATAAAACATTGTGATCGACCTTTATGTCGAACAGTTGACATTAAGAATTCAATGCCGAATTTCAATAAAACTGTCTTCATTCATTTTTTTTATCAATATCGTTAAAGCTAACAAAATATCGACTGTAATTGCCTGTTGAGAAATAATACCAAAAGGTATTTTAAATTACCATAGCTACGTGCTTTGCTCACATTACGCAAAGCTAGATTAAGAGTAAATACAACGGCCCCGAAACGCCCGTGGTGAGTTGAATAGGATAGACTAGTGGATGTAAGCTGGAGCCTTTACAACGGCCCCAACCGGTTCGCGATGCACGACGGCGTTGAAGCCGTTGTGTGGATCAGCAGTGTACTCCACCACGCGCCTCGTGCCATCCGGCTCCACCAGTGAGTATGAGCCCTGTACGACATCGCCAGACCGCGTCTCCTGCTGGCTTTTAGAGTCACCTGTCCAAGAACATTCCAACTTGTTACCTCTATGCCTATAAATATTCCGTTAAACACAAATTCGCAAGCTCAACCTTAATGATAAGAATAACGATAGATAAGTACTATGGTACTAGTGTATTATTAGAATCCGGTGACGCACAATAATGTAGAGATACATTTAGGTATGTTATAAGGAGCTCCTTATAGAACACAGGCAATTGTTAAACATAACCTACCTATCGTCTAAGACCTGCTTCATGCTATGCTATCGACTCTAGGATTGCTTGCATTTAGTAGCAAAATTTAAAGTACAACGCTTCAACTCACCTGTGAGTGCGTCTTGAATATCATAAGCGTAGGAGTATTGGGGATTGGGATCGTAATCGTCAACGGCGGCAACGCGGGCAACAGCAGGATGGGCATACGCTGCGACCGGTGCCGCGACGGGTACACCCAGAGGGCGCGCATACGCAGCTACGGGTGCCGCGACGGGCAGACCAAGCGGACGTGCGTAACCGTAAGGCGCTGCCACTGGCACCACGCCCGCCGCGCTTCTACAAACCGCCAGGATAGCTGCTAGGATCAGAACCTGGAAAAAATGAAACTAACATGGGTACATTATAATGTTAACAGTAATAAACCAACATGGTTAAAAAGCCGTGATTGAGAAATAGAAGTAGTTAGGTACGTTTTGTTAAAACCAAGTGTGAAGGATCCTTACCTTCATATTGTATGTGTACCTTCGGTGGGCGCTGTTGCTTTGAACGTCGAAGGGTGCGCGTACGTCGCTTTTATACGCATGCACTGATTGCATTATGACTGCACGCTGCATACACGGACAGAAAAACGATTGATTGGTTGGGCGCGGCCGCGATGCGAACTATATCGAGTGACAAATGTGCTTTTGAATCCAGTTTCGATCAACTTTATAGAATTGTAATAAAACTATTTTAGATGCAAGGATTAGTACTGAGTAGTACTGAATAATAGTACTTACTTAGCTATATGTTTGTAGGTAGTCAATTCTGTATTACATAATAAACTTAATGTTTGTAGGATTATCTCTACCCACCTACTGCCGCCCTCATACCAAATGCGTGGCGAACAGAAAATCCAATACTCATCACGAAGAATAAAGCTCATGTTCTTCACACAAAGTACTTAACCATCCAACATTAGGTACTTAATTCAAAAATACTTGATGTTTAGTAAGTACGTCGTTGAAGTACAGTGCAGATATATTTTGTAAGACCGACCGATAGTAGTACATACCTCACTAGGTAGATAAAGTGCACTTTAGGTGGACAAGGGTTTTTGGGTCACAGCTGTGCTTATCAGTGTATGCGTGTGTGATAGCGAACTAATGTAGCTTTAGATAATTCATAATGGCTGTCCTTATAAGGCACGCGAACCTACTATTAACATCCTACGTAGCATGTAGGTCGACTAGGTAGGTATCTGAGTGTGTTTTAGCTGACGCTAATGAAAGATTTCGATATAATTGCTTACCTATACTTAGGTATCTTGATGTATGTACCTCTGTACTTTGGTTGAACGCCTCTAAATCATTGTTTCAAAGTCATGACGTGCAGGTAAACGAAGTTCGTAAATAATGTCTCAGAAGAAGTAATAACACGTAAATATTGAATAATCTTCACAATATTTCTACTACAACTCTTACTTTCCCCGGTGTATTACGAAGTACACTACATTCTTATCACTTTGCAATCACAAAGGAATTTAATACATTGCTGGCGTCTGTGTTTTCCGAAAGTTACAATTTAGGGCTATTCAAGCCTGAAGTGACAAGGCCTTACTAGACAAACTTACAACGTCGCTTACCATCAGCAAGGCTAGCACGACAAGGCGCAACTTATGTGAGAGCGACATAAAGCGCGAGATCTCTATGCGAGAATGATAGTATCTCGCGCTATGTGTTGCTCTAGCGTTAGTCGCGCCCTGTCATGCTAGCCTACAGTGGACATACGGTATGTGGATGTATACATAGAATGCACTAGATAGGATCTCATATCACTCTTCGATTGTCCATACAATGAAAGAGTGGTTTGAGATCCTGTGACATAAAAATAGAGAATGACATAATAATGAGTGCATAATCCGTAAGTAGATAATTTTCACTTTTGGAATTCCTTGAAGACCTAACACTAAGGCTGAGTTTTATAAAACAATGATTGAACTTTGCTGAAGTTTAAGAAAGAAATTACGGAGGTTGAGTTTCTTCCGTAATTCAATTTCTTGCTAAAACTTAGACAAATTCATTTTGTAAATACGAAAAACTTGTTTACTTCACCATTTTTTGCTTATAAGGCGAATTCAAAGTTCGCTTTCAAAGTCTAAGCCTGAATGTTGAATACCTTGTTGTGTATTTGCACAAAATTTGTTGTAGAATAATCTTATTATCCTTTTCTAAGTTGGTACCTATACATATAAGTCATTGTTTAGGTACCTAAAAGCTTCTAATATTTCAATAGCGGCAATTGACGTTGGTGTTGGCGCGCGAGGCGTGGAGGTGTAATTGCGTCTGACAGGGTTTCACTTTCAACAGTAGCTTTATTTATAAACAAGTTGCTATGAAATAATAGTTCGGACATAGTTATGCGTAATATGTAAACATAGAAGTAGTATGTGGAGGTGATTCATAGCCTGTTAGCAAAAATTGGTTGAAGAATTAGTTCTTTCTAATATCGACAATGCTTCCGAAAATCTTTTCGAGTCATATACACATTAAACATCGTCGAAACCGAGGAGATGATGAGTGGATGAAGATGTTATTCTTAAACAAATTTTTCGAAGACATGCGGAACCACAATCTTCAAAGCATACAGCAAACAGAGATATCAAGTACCCCAGCAAAGTAGTGGGATGTATGTGGATCGATACAATACATTTAATAGTTTCCCTGTTATTCCACTGTAGAACTCCAAATAATTGCCCCCAATCACTCACATCAAGATGAAACTCGGGTAGAGGCACCTATTTTGTCACACGGATAAACGCAATAAGCCTTTTTTGTAGATACAATCTATCTCTTAAATGAATTTTCCAGTTATGTCCCGCTTAATACTATACGTAGAAACTAGAAAGTCCTACAAAAAAGATTTATTATTATTAAAGGTATATTTTTGCACGTGTAACTAGCTAAAAATACCGCACCTTCACAGCGTGTTACCGACTGGCGACAGACATTCCATGAAAAACCCTCCAGACAGACCAATACAAATAATTCATTGAATTTATTTTTATAGCTGTCGTCATGTCGTGTTTTTTTTTACTTTTTCCCTAAAAATTATTCATTTAAATACCTAGCGATTATTTGCCATTACATGTAGAGACATCTATTGGCAAAGGAAAGTACTTATTGTAAAAAATAAACGTTTGTGTCGCAGTCTATGGGCTTTATAACGAAGTACGCGAATAAAGTTGCCATAAAATAATATTTGCCTTTCCTTAAGGGACATTATTATGATAATAATGACAAATAAATTCATCCATTTACATGTTGAATTACTTCATAACAAAAAATTAATAATAAAATGAATAGGTAACAAATTGCTCAACAAGGTGTAAAACGATCAGATTTGTTACACGTTTGTTACATGTTATTGGAATTAATGGAATTTAATTTTAATGATTTTCATAGTATTATGATCTTTGACGTTTATACAACATTTTTATGGTTTGCTATACTTGTTTATTTCCATTGGAACATTCTTGCCTTTATTTTGGTCCTTCACAAATTCGTGACTCGCTTCGTTTGCTCAAATGTATTATATTATATTATCATGACAATACTGCTAAGTAGGTTAAGCTTAATGACCTTTTATTTAGTTAAGCTCTTAGGAACTTATTTACTTACTTACTTTATAAAAAAAACTTAGATAACAAGTTACCACCTTCAATTTTTTGCAAAAATTAGAACACAATTTTTTACTGACGGAACTAGTAACCCACACAGAATATTATTTAACATATCGGTAAAAATCATTTTTAACATGGTAACTCGTAACTTTTGTGTTTATTCGTATTTCTTTTTCCAATGAATATGTAAAATTGTACAAAACTGCTTTGTTATGTGTTGACGATTTGAAATCAGTTGTTAGTGACTTATTACAATGGCAGACTTTGACGCAATTTATCCGGACGAGACGGAAAGTGAGGAGAACATAGAAGAGACACATGTGACGTTAGTGCCAGACCCGATCATCGTTAGAGGAGCTGGGAATATGACAGTGTAAGAATCCCATAAGTGCTTCGCGGTAGGTCGCCGTAGCAGCTGTTGACTACTGCGGTGCCTTTATGGCGCGTGCCTCGACCCTACGGGAGCACGCTAGTCTCTGTAATCTGTGTCATATACGAATGACCTGTGGCGTTGAAGGTCTTTGTCTCATTTCACAAATACGCTTTACTAATATATCGTTGCTGTCATATATATATAAACTACATGACCGATATAATGTCCAATATGAGATAATAACACTATTCTGTACTGAACATCTTTTATCTCTTTTTTGTTGGCCTTCAATGAGAAATTGACCTCTCTTTGTTGTGGCTCAGTCAAGGCTTTGTAAAAAAAATCTATTATGACTAATCCAATTGAAATTGTTGAAATAGGTACCATTATATGTGGAATAGATAAAGTAATATAGTTAATAATGTTCATCACACTCCCATAGTGTTCATAATCAATATGTTATTCCGGTCCAAAGTAAGAAGTCCTCAGTTCCTTAGTAAACAAAAAACTGGCACATTGACACAATTGTTAAAGAGTGATCCGTGAATACAGTATGAAAGAAAGAAATATTTATTCTGAGGAGTGGAATTTTAATAGGGTCAGTTTGTCATGTTTATGAGGATTTATGAGAATAATAAGCAATTATTTTAAAGATATTAGATGCGTATTGAATATTTGCAATAACTGACATAGAGTAACATTGCTTGTATACAATAGACTATGCAACATGCTCCATAGACCAAGTTTATTGCTTACGAGTTCAATAAAATGAAATAAATAAAACTTAACCACTTTAAACTTAAAACTTTCAGTTAAAGTCCCAAGAGCATTTTAAGTACTATTGCAATAAAATAAGACACCAACTTTTGTTTTAAGAATATATACAGCCTGTAAATTTGAGACGGGGCAACAAGACTCGCCACCTTCATGGTTGTAGTTACAGGAAATCGGTCCTAGAAGACTATCCATTTATTTTGAAGTTATTTTGATTGGCATTCACAGATTTTGGAAAAATGGTACAGTCAGCAAGATAAAAGGCAATTTTTACAAAACTTTTTTTTATACCATTTGATTCGGTCTCTGTTAAGGATCAATAGTCTAGGAGACCAACTGAGGTAAGAGTACTCGAAATGTCAGATATCGCAAAAAACATTTTACCATACATTTAGTAAGGACATATTTAATAATTAGTTATTCTAGGTTAAGGAAACTAACAAATTGGCAAACTAACAAACTAACAAATTCGAATGGCATAAAAAAAAAGTTTGGTAAAAATTGCCTTTTATTTTGCTGCCTGTACCATTTTTCCAGAATCTGTGAATGCCAATCAAAATATCTTCAAAATTCATGGATAGTCTTCTAGAACCATTTTCCTGTAACTAAAATGATTAAGGTGGATGGCCTTGCTGCCCCGTCTCAAATTTACTCCGTCCTGTATATGTGATACAATACATATACCATGTTTATTAAAATCAATTACCATGTTAATTATAACAAAAATTTAATCGTCATTTGTGGTGTTACTAGTGTTACTACTGTTACAGGTGTTACCCACACTTGTAATGTCGTCAAAATGTTCTGTGCCTTAATTTCCGTCATTCAAATCCTACCGAATAATTTTATATAAGCGGCTTGCTACTAATTCTACGTAAATGTTGCTATATAAGGGATATGTGCGATGTGGAAAAAATATTAATATCGCTCTTAGATTAATAAATAAGTAGTGTTTTTATCAGTAATCATCAAAGTACCGATGCAACAGCAATCGATATATTTAAAAAAAAAGGTAAAATGTTAGAATCCCCGCATTTTCCCCACATAGCGTTAATTCCACAAAATACTGCCCTGTGTATGAGGCGCATGCTATTTTCCAAAACTTAACATTAACCCACTGAATTATAGAGATTCCATGAAAAATTGTGTTCCTGCTTCTAATTTACTTCACATACAATTAATAAATATAGGTATAACTGTAATGTGTCCTGCGCATTTATTTCTAGTTTCATAGTTATCTTTCTAGTGGTTTATGAAGTGAAAGCGAATGTTATATTGTATATGTACAGTCAAGAGCACATCAAGTTTGACACTTTGCACTTTGGACCGTTCTTATCGTAAGCAGCATAGAGTAAGTCTTAAGTGTCAAGCTTGACGTGCTCTTGGCCCTGTAGAATGGTGCTTTACTGCGAATAAATGAATATTAAAATACACTCAACTCATGATAGGGGGTGATATAAACTCTAGAGAAGGCCAGACGGAAACCTGGACATATTACTTTTGCAACATTCGACCCTCAAATGGTTGGTAAAGTAGAGCAATATCATCCCTTATGTCCTGTTATTGTAGTTTATTGAATTATAAAATACTTGCTTTTTTTACGCAATAATATTGAAAACATTTCTTATATTTCCAATGTGTGATTTGGCATATGCTTTCCCTGTGTGAATACATAAATCGTACAATGGCAAGATTATTCACTGCGAGTCCAATCTCAGCTGAAATGCTAACTTATGCTTGCGATTACGCCTGCGTCCTGGTAACCTAGATGAAATGTAACGTAATGGGATCCTTCTGTCAGTTTTTTATTTATTTATTCAATTAAAAAAAATAACTTAGTGGTTTAACCACCCAGCGATGAGCTAACAAGCTCGACACTATTGATTTTTTGTTGACGTGTAAATGTTGCACAATAATAGATGTTCGCTATGTTATTATTAGTAGCATTTTAAGGTTTTGATGGCTATTTCATTCGCGTGGTATATGTATAAAAGTTACGTGTTCTTTTGTATTTGCGGTTCTTCAAGACATTAATAAAACATTGACGTGCAAAACATATTGAATCTTGGTTACAAATACTTATTTATACAAGAGTTCTTTAAGCTGATATCACAAGTCTATGGTACAGGATGCTTGATTTACGGCTATTTCAATTATTTACCTATACAAGATACTATAATACAAGTATCGAACTCAGTGTGTTGGTATGAGGCATCTTTCACACACCAATGTATTTCCAATAAAGTCTTGGCACATTTGAGCAGGTAGGTATATTTTATAATTATAATATTGTGATAAATTTGCATAATTTATGCAGACATTGGTATAGAGTAGGATAAATTGGAAACGAAAATACATGCACGAGCACGTGCTCATACGACGGCGTTGTCTCTGATTGATGTTTATATGTATGTATGTATGTGAACAATAAATGAAAACCTAGCAATCTCTACGGAAGGTGCAATTTCTCTACTAAATTGGCAACCAGCGCGATTGAATTTAAATATAAACAGAACATCGCGGCGCTGCCGTCGTTGTGTGGAGTTCCTAAGCATGATCAGATTTAATCTAAGAATGTTTAGCGCACTGTGATATTATAATTTAATATTTAACTATAATTTTATACATATAGGTACATATTATTGCGTATACGTCCGACTCAATAATTAGATAGAATGAGGTATCACAACTTAAAATATCGTTAATTAGAAAATGTCACCCTGTATTTTTTTGTTTGTTTGTCCTGGTGTTAATTTATATTGTGTACGGTACATAATATATAGTAGATACATGATGTATATTTGTTTACGTGTCAATATTGACTTTGTTTACGTGTCAATGTAAATTAATTATTTGATAAGATTATTGGACTTTTATTATTAGTTTACTAAGCCATGAGACTTCATGACGTCGAGCGAGTTTGAAACTTTTGATAATTGTGATATTTAACTTGATTAAGATTTAAAAGTGTTTTTGTAGAATTCATGGCGATTTTATATATATCACAATAATTACGATAGCGAGCGATTTTAATTTAATATTTTATATATAATAAAGCAATCTAGTTGTCGATCATGTTATTGTTGATAATTGTGAAATATGAGACATTCTACGTACTAAATTCACTAACATGTGGAAGAGCGCAATTAGTAGTGCGTACGAAGTTGCAATTCGTGTAAATAATTAACAATTCTTTGAAATGCCGCCGCAAATACTATGTGAATGGATAGGTCCATTCACATAGTATTTGCTAATAAATACAGTTTTTGTCTGCTGTTTTATTATTCTTTTATGATTTATTTTTTTCAAAAAATAATAGTTCTTAATTCAGACATGGCGGCGCAACAAAAACCTGAGCAGGTTATCCGTGCACGGCAATTCATTGATTTTTGTTTTGTTGCGTATTCTGGTAAGATTTGGGAATCAACTATCTATATGTATAATATACATGAAATTGAATGTTTGTATGTGTGTACCACATGCGTTCCATTATTATTCAATATATTGCGATAAAACTTGCCTTTTTTGCGTTATGGTGGGTTGCTGTGCCTACGTCAGCGAAAGTTTCTGCAGTATCGCACCTTGACACAGTGTTTTTTTACCCCTAAAATCGGACATGTCTCTGTTAACAAAAGAGTCGGAGAAAATGTTTTATTCGGAATGCATGAGTAGAACTCCCATGAGTCTCACTACAATACTTTTGGATAAAACCTCGACCAAAGTCTATGACCCGGATTTGGTATTTTTTCTGGCTTTATTATATGCTAGTTGGATTTGCACCCAAGCTTGGGAGTAATAAGGCCACATCAGCAAAACGACAACTTTGTGTTTGAGTTAAAATGTAAAGATTCTACGAACGAAATTAGTCGATAACTTTATTATGGTTAAGTCTCCTGACTTATAAATTTCACATATACATACTTTGTTTCATGTAGTTCGTAATATTATATTTATGACTTTCATGTTGTAATGTTAAATGTGATATGTATTTGTACTATGACCAGTGGCAGTGTGCGGTAAAACGAAAATTGGTTTTTTGGACACTACAATTATATTACACCTATGTAAATTTTGTTATGTTTATAATAAATAAAAAGTAAATAATTGTGATAAAATTACTTTTGATATGTGATCACATGGGCTTTATTATAACAAGAGTCCCATACCACAATAAATCCCGCTACTGGGCTCTAGTCTCCTCAAGGCGAGGGCCAAGGCCATCTTTTTGCAGAACTAAAAGATGGACAGTTTTTTCTTTCAGATGAATTACATAAATCTATTTATGTTTTTAAGAACTGGTTATCACTGCCGAATACAGGTAGTGTTGAATAAATAAATAAATTAAATTGGTGTGTTGCAGTTTCGGGCTGAGTAACCGTTTCAACGTGGAGTTCCCATCGGGGTTGCAGTCTCGCGTGGCGCCCGAGGAATACCAGGCGACAGTAGCCCGCATAAACAGCGTGCTCAAGAAGACGCTGCCCGTCAACGTCAAGTGGCTATTCTGCGGATGCGTCTGCTGCTGCTGCACTCTCGGATGCTCTCTCTGGCCTGTTATTTGTCTTAGCAAACGGGTGAGAATACTCTATTAATCGTCTTTGAAAATATTGTAGAAGACATATGGTGATTCGTGTATCACAAAAACAAGGGCAAACGAATGGTACCATTCAAAGAAGGTCGACAAGTCCCCACAACGTTGCGAATGCTGAAAACATCTAACTAATCCAGAAACTGTAGCAAAATCATTACATGAGTCTAAAGTCGGGTCCTCATTAGCGAGCTGTAACTGTAACGTGCAAATACAGTAACGAGGTTCTAGTGTGTACGCTTGAAACAGTCTTCAATTACACGACTCACTGCGAACCGCACGCGTACCTCTCGCGATCCACGTACGCACTATGATTTTTGGTTACATAACATGCAACGGTTGCAGTTACAGAGCTTTAGAGAGCTAGCTCTAGGGGTGAGCATATCTTTTAAGTCCATTCATAATATTCTGGCCGATATTTTGAGCATGAAACGAATTTTATCCTAAATGATTGTCGAATGCAGGTTGCTCAAGAAATTATCTCGCGAATTTCTACGGACTCCATTCAATGATCCTAGAAGATCCTAGAATGATCCTACCCATGAATTTTGAAGATATTTCCTTTATTAGATTGACTATCACAGATTTTGAAGAAATGGGATTACTTATCACATTTTCAGGGCCAGTTTCTTTTTTAATACAAAACTTTTATAAAATGTTTATTTTGTAGGCACTAAAATGTGTGATAAACATTTCTCTCTTCTAGTACTCTTAACTCATGAAGACTTGATCGAATAGCATGAAAAAAGAAAGATTCGTGAAAATTGCCTTTTTACCTTGCTGACTGGACCATTTTTTCCAAATCCGTGTATGCCCAACGAAATATCTTCAAAATTGATGGATAGTCTTCTAAGATCACTTTCTTGTAACTATGACTGTAAAGGTAGATGCCCTTGCTGATCTGTCTCAAATTTTCACCCTGTATATAAATAACTACGTCTGTTCCAATACAGAAAGTATCCACCCACACAATATACGCGCGGAGTGTCGTTATTTACTTATACATTTTAGTACATTATCGATCTTTTGCTGATTGAGATTGAGCGTATAATTGAACAACATTTACTTTGTACGTAGTCTTTTCCCAGTGCTTTTTGGAAGTAAATTTTCTGTACTTGCACGTACCGTTAGATACCCTTTGGCTACGTAGAAGTAGGGCGAACGTCCTCCCAACAAAATGCACATCGGTTTGTGCTGTGGGTGCTGGATGAAAAGTTCTCGGGTTCGACTCCCGGGTGGATCAATTTGAGAAATGAACTTAATTGGTTCATGTGTTTTAAGTAGTGCCACGGAGTGAAATCCGTTGCTCTGGTACTCATAATAGGGTCGATGCCCTCACTTAGATATCGACTATTTATACTAAGTGCTATGCAAATAAAGGATACTTAAGTGAGGGCACCGACTGTACAAGGAGTTTCGGGTAATTTGGTTCGTTGTGTAGCTCATTATTATTTTTATTGTTTAGTACTAACTGTGTTTGAACTTTCATCGCTAGCTGAGTAATTTACAATAAAACACATTACACGAGACGCCCTCGTTATTAGTTTCACCTTAGATTCGTCTGTGTTCGAGGAAAACAAACATATTAAAATTTACACGTGTGTGGGTGCACGTAAGTGTAGAGTATTCTTGGCACTCCAGCATCGATTAGCAATTCTTGTCAAGTATCGAGAATGCTGGTAATAAATATACATTAAAAGTTATATTGAATACTCAATACTTAATACTCAATATATATTGAATACTCAATACTTAATACTCAATATATTTATTGCATTCATATGGTATACATGTCTTAAATTTAAAATAATGCTACACATATTAGCCCTTTATTAGGGATAACAATAACAGCAGAGGTAGGCCGAGGTTTCAATTATTAATTAAAATTGTTATTTATCATATAATAATATAAAATAAAAAATATATGTCATATAATAATAAAGAATTATAAAATTTTATGTTAAAACATCGCAAAAATTATACATCTGGAAATATTCCAAATACATATTTCTTCCAAAGTCATAGCGATGTGCTTAAAAACTGATAAAAAATACTATCTTTGTTTGTGATTATGAACTATCATAATTGGTAATAAATAATAGCAAAAATGGACATTTTCTGCTACAAAATCAATGATTTGTTATAAAAATGTAACTTGCCAATTATTTGTAGAATTTATGTATGAAGATCTAAAAATTTTAATTTCCATACTTCCTTATAATAAGGAACCGTATATTGATAACAATAATAATATGACAGACGACATTAATTAATTATCTGGGTTCAAACTAAGGGACGGCTATGGAGTGGAACTCCCTGCATGCAGACCTGAAGTTAAGTAACTGTTTTAGTTTAGAAATCTGTGCTCGAACGGTATAACTTAGTTGGGCCTTTTCAAAGCGTGTGTTAATAAGCATTATTTAGGTGTGCTTGCTCCATCGTCAAAACATCGTCACTTTTAATCAGGTGAGATGAAGGTCAAATGCGTCCTTATTTTTTTAATAAGTGCTTATATTGAACCACTGTCTGCGAGGAGAGACTTTGCCTCCCTATGTGTTTTATATCGCCTGTACAATGGTCAATGTTCTGAAGAACTGTTTGACATGAAGCCAACAGCAACATTTTATCATCGCACCGCTCGCCACCGGCAAGGAGTCCATCCTCACACTTGGGAACCAAGTCGATCTCGTACTGTACGATTTCAAAGGAGCTTCCTAACACGTACAATACACGGAATTCACTCTGGGATACTACCTAGAACACCCAGAACTGAAGCGAAAAGTTCATTCCCAAATTAGTCCACTGGATCCACTAATCCAGTGCCCACAGTACAAACCGTTGGGCTACCGAGGTTATCAAACATGAAATTAATATTGAAGATTATTAAAGTGAGTGCGAAAAATCTGCTACCGTATTGTGCCCATCACTGTACCATTTCTTCGATATAGTTTTACTTTGGTAATATTTCGTTAAATACAATCGTTAGGCATTATTAAATTGGTTTCAATTAGCAACGTAAGCACTGTTTCACAATCTTGCATAACTGTCAACTTTTTTTGTGATACCAAGTGGTGGGACGAACAAATCTAATTAAACTACACGCCTGTCCATAGCAGTTGCACTGCCCCTTATAGCTTTAATTCGCAAAGATCCGAGAGACACTGCCACTGCGCATGTCGCTCTGAGACATAAGTTGACAAGTCCCGTATGTCAGTAATTTTACCAGTACCCTCACCCTTTTTAAACCGGTACGCTTTTGGACGCAGTAATGCTCGCATTCGCATTACTGCTTGGCGGCAGAAATAGGTAAGGTACTTCCCTGGACGAAGTCATTCACGAGGAGCTCTATTGCCAGTATAAAATTGCAATCTAAGTATTAGTAAGTGATATACATACACCGGCACATTTAACGGAGTGAATAATTGTAACTTAAAAAAAACTGTTAATAGGAAATTAAAACAAATGAAAAAAATTGGCTAGACTTAAAAAAAACTACATAAATCTGGGTTCTTACTAGTGTTGCGATATTGAATCTTGCTTAAAGTGCCTTATTGCGGTAATGTTACTTTAAATTGATAATAATGACGCAATCATTGATTCTAAGCATATGCGTACTTTATTTGTGGTCTCCCAACGGTTTACACTGTGGTCGCAAGGTTAGAAGGTCCCGGATTCGACTCCCGGTAGTACCAATTTGGGAAATAAACAACTGGTTCTTTGATTCTAGTCTGTTAATCTGGGCAGTGCCCCGTAGTGAATTCCATTGTTCTGCTACTAATAGTACAGAGAATTCCCTAGTTTGACACCACGGTACCAAGTCGGCTAATTTTTTGAAAACGACTGGTCATTGTAATTCAATTATGACTTCACTGAGATTATATTACAAGTATGGTAATAATTATCTGTTATTCTGCTAAAATATGGTATGTAGCATCTGGACCCGGGGTCGGTTTAAAATTGCAACGGAACCCGAATGAGCCCATATGCGAGTGTCGTGTGATCCCGGGACTGGTTGCTTATCAAAAATAATTCATTTATTTTTATTGAATTGATATGAAATTATTTTTTAAGCGAAATCACTCCACTAGTTTGTTATAATTATTAATACAAAGATCGAACACTCAGAAAAAGATCCTTCGATCCGACCGGAATCGAACCGACGTCTTCTAGCACAGCGTGCCAGAATCTATACCAACTAAACCACGGAACGAACCAACGGACCTCACGAATATTTCTATGTGCTTGTTGTCGTGTCTTTGTATTTGGTTTTTCAAAAATAATTAAATTTGAGTCGCATCAAGCAATTTTAATCAGTTCCAAAGCTAGTCTTTAAAATTGCACTGGTTCCAGATTCTTGGTAGTTGTTTATAGGACATTGCGTCTCTAGTATTTATGCGCTCTGCCTTATAGCAATAAAATGTACCAACATCTATCGAAAATTAGTTCGGGTTTAGACGATTCAAATTTAATGTCATGTGTCGAGGTGCAACTGAACCCGGGATTGGATGCGACTCAAAGTTAATTATTTTTGACAAACAACCAGTCCCCGGATCTTTCCGGTTCCGTTGCATCTTTAAACCGACACCGTCTACAAACCCCTGAAATCTAGTTGCAATGGCAGTTGAGTCTCTATATGGTGTCAGTGGAATGGCAGTGAGTGCATTCATTCATTCAATCACTAACGATCGATGTTGCTTTACTAAAACTACCATGGAAATGACTATGCATATCTTTATTTTTATCTTGTTTAAGCAACAATTTAGTCATCAAATTAAATGTATTTTTGTCAACGTACACACGTACGTACGTACCATCGACTCGCCATTGAAGAACCGAATCCCAAAAAATTGCAATAGCCGTTGAAGAGTAGCGCTATGGTTAGCCACTGACAAACAATTGCTCTTTTACTTCTAACAGAATACCAAACGTACAAAATACTGCGCTCAATGGCACTCTATCGACACACAACTGAGATGATTTAAAATTTTCAGGCTTGAGGCACTGGATATTAAAAAGTAAAACAAAACTTTCTTTTATAACGGCACTTGCCTAATTCTTGCAACGTCAAAGATAAGGAAACGTACGAGAGGAAAACCAAAAAGAAAAAACGATAGAGAGCTAAGATTGGAAGAAATGAATATACATATTAATATTATGTTTTATTACGATGTTCTAATACCGACATGTCCGTGTTGTCGAAACATCCGATAATTAAAATGTAGAATAACACTGCGCAGCCTTAACATAATATCAACCTTATGAGTAAAGAGTTAACGTATACTTTCAATTAATAACTGATGACCTAGAAAATTATATCATTTTTGTAATGTTTATTAATACACTGGAATGAAATGTATTTGCCAGTGCAATAGTCAAGTGGCATAAAACTTCAACAGCTACGAAATTGCTTTGGTGCACGCTATGGTTTTAATTTTTATAAGCAAGTAACCCTTTCGTGTTCATTTTGTTGTGGTATACTTAGACGGTAATAAACTAAGCCATGCAGTTATAGGAATTGAAACTATTTTTTTTCGAATCTATATCACGTATAATCTTGTTTTTGACTGACCAGTCAACGATGAGACGGTTTGTTTGTTGGATGGATGGATCTTGTTTTGGTTTTTTTTTGGTGGATGTTGGATGGTGTGTTTGAAAAAACAAATATACGGGATTGAAAGCTTACACAATAGTTTCATTTACTATGTGTAACAATCGCGAAAACCTAAGCACTCGCTTGCAGTTATAGTTTAATTAGTCAGACGTTACTACGTCTTTTCTTAACACGTGCGTTTATGTTTAACTATCATTTGCCTTTAATTTTGAAGAAAAACGTCGTCATGAAATCTACAAGTACTCTTCAAAGATAATAGTGCCCTAGTGGTGGGCTATACCCAAAACCTTCATCTTAGAGTACCTTAGTACATAGAGATTGCAAGCCGTATTCGCTGCCCAATTAATTGATCACCCCAGCCGAAAATCTTCCGGGGATTTGCAGTGGTCAAATATGGATGTCCTTGAACCGTCTCTGGATACAAGCTGGCCGATGGAGAAACATGGGGAAATAGAGCTGTATGAAATCCAATGTGCTCACTTCTTCCTGCCTGCCCTCATGCCCACCGTGTCCTACTAGCTGCACCCACAAAGACCTGCTAAAGGCGACACATAGAGGCACAGTACAGGTAGCTGCATACTAGGCGAAAGAAATTTAACACCGGTTTGTTAATTTAATGGTTTTTGTCATTGACTCGACAAGGTGATGATTGTAGTAAACATAATATGCAATAATAACGACATGTTTACATCTATACATATACCGCACTGCTATTACAATAATGTTGTAACTTTGTAACTCAAAATATGTAAAATTCAAGATTACATTATCATTGCTAAACGCAAAATTTGCTCCTCTACACGTCAATAAAACCGTCGTTAGAATATTGTAAGAAAGAATTGAAAGACAACTCAAAATGACATGATAATGAGACAAATTTTGTGAGCTAGCTCTAGCCAAAACAGGTCTTACTCAATAATATTAAACTATTTTCTCCCTTTTATTTGAAAATATATTTGGCAAGTAAAAAAGTTCATTCAATACATTTTAATGATCTTTCACGGGGAGTAATTCGTTTTTAATCGATTCTGAAAAAATACGCTTTTTGATTTAATACACTATTGTCTTAATAACGCATAGAAACCTAGTCCGCACACGTTAAGAGAGGCAAATTGAAGCGCTCCCAATGGGCCTACACGAGCGGGCGGGCCTTCAGTGCTCAAGGTCAACTTGCACCGCGAACAACTCAAGAATTTTAGCTAAAAATGACAAAATGTGTGGTAAATGAGTGTAAAAATACGTCAGACAAACATAAAATAGATACTAACATCACATTCCACAAGTAACTAACGCGTTTCAACTTGTATTTTTATATAAATATTCACTAAAACCGAAAATTAACCTACTACTAAAACTAGCCTACATGAATTTGATTTTTGCCTCACTAGTGACTGTTCGTTTGATATGAAACTATCATATTAGTATTAATCCATTTCATAAATTGTGTCTACGGCCGCGGTTCATAATTTTTTAAATTTAGGTATCTCGTAAAGTTATCCTTGTCATGGTAGAAAAACTTTGCGAGTTGCTTTCTCTTTTATTTAATTTTTTTTAGAAATGTGGCATGCAGCTAGCACCGACTATGTGTAGAACTGGTCCATGCCCAACAATTTAGTAAACGACATAATCTGAAACCCAAGTGCCAACAAACAAGAAAATGTGCGTCACTACTTATTTACACTAGTTATAGAGCATTTTATTTGATCTTTATTAATTAAAGTGTTATAAATAGAATTTCTATTAATTTAAAATTAATGAAATGTTCATTGCCCGTGCCAAATAAGTTAATTTTTTATAATCTTCTGTTTTGTTAATTAGCGTTGCATTTAATTGGAAACAAGTTTCCTCGAAGGACAGCTATTGTACTCGTATACATTATTACGAAGACCCATGATTAAGAAATTCACTACGTCGGGCCAATAATATTATTTAGGTTACGGGGACAAGTGTTCGTCGTTTTGTTAATGTTAACACTACGACGCATGAAGGACCTCCAACATGTCTAAAGATCCATATGGGTAGACATTTGTGTTTCATAACATTTTCAGGATGGGACCTTTTGCCAATTGAATCTATTGATGATAATACAAATGCGTGAGAAAAGTTGGAACCCGAACCTTTGTGCTCACAAATCTCACTGCTAATACTATGAAGTTGCTGCTTTATGTTTATCGTATTGTCTATTTTTGAATCGTTTTACAAATCACATACGACATCACCCGTAGAGATATGACGACATATAACTACGCGCGACTGTCATAGGTTACGGCCGAAACAAATGACGTGCGGTACGAATCCGCGAGGCCAAAATCTGTGTTGTCGCTCGATCTCAAAGTTGTGTGAATATCTGCCATATGACGTCCCACGTGTTCTCCAGTCTTCGGTTCGAAAACTAGATAGGATGTGGTATAAGCATAATTATTAAGCCTAATTTATGATTTAATTGTATTTCAGACGCAGCATTCCCTGAACAAACTGTTAGAGTGGGAGAACAATCGGCTATACAACAAGCTGGGCTTGCGCTGGCGACTCACGAAGCAGCACTGCGATTCATCTTCCATGATGGAGTACGTACTTCTCATAGAGTTTATACCCAAAATTCCCATATACAGGCCTGACTAAGGCCTTCGCAAGCTTCGCTTTACGTCTGTAAATATACAATTTTAACAAAACTTATTCTAATGCCTCAAGTCTCAACAACTGATCATATTCATCGTTAGCTAAAGCAAATAAACGTCAAGCTTTGTCCATGAAAGTACTATATGAGTAATGTAATCAAAGTTGTAAATAAGATATATATGTAACAAAAAGTGCATTAACATGGACAAATAAAATTATACCTATCTTAATTGCTTCCCTGTTAGAGATATACGTCACCATATGAAAATTGCAAGCTTCTATATATTACATAATTGATATAAGAAAGCGAGTGTTAACCTATTACAGTGTGTATAATTTATCGTTAAGATTAAGAGTTGAGACAGATCTAATGGTTGTTGAGATATTGTTATGAAAGTTGATATATTAAGTATATTTATGTATAAAAAGACGCTGGTAGAAACATGGAGGTCCATATAGGTGTCTCAGATAGAATAGGCTGAAATGTGTGCAGTTGATTAATGAAATTGTCTTAACTAAAACGTGTCGGATAATTTATACTGTCTGTAAGAAACCACCTTGGTTCACTACACTCTAAAACCAAAGACAGTCTTTTGATACGCAAGTGTAATAGAGCTTCAAATAATTCTCTGCCAGTCCATACCATCTCATATTTACAATCGGCGATCGTGAGTAAATGGGATAAGAGAAGACGATTTTTTTTTAGTAATTTGATTCGAATTGACTTAGTTTATGATATCATGTTAATTAACTGTACACTAAACTGAATATTAAGTGACCGCCCTAATGACATTGTTTCTTTTAAGTCTCTCTCGCTCTCCGAACGAGTGTTGGCGCGGTTTCCATACAATATGGTCAAGATACTAATATAAAATAAAACTGCGCCGCACTCGATCTGTGGCGCTCCTTAGGGCACCTTATTTGGACAAACACATTTTGGGTACACACTTATCAATACTTGACTTTTATTTGGCACGTGCAATAGGAATTATTTTTAATCGACTTTTTTATATTTTTAGCATGTTCAATGCGATATTGCTCTTTGTTTTTTTTTTTTTTGTAAACATTGCTCCAGATACTTTTTATCTGACAGTTTATGTTAAACATCCTATTTTGTAACTAGATCATATTTATATGACATAACCGAATATAGTCGTTGTTGTCTCTTATAGTTCTCATCAAAGTATTATTTTTTTGAGTAAAATCTTATTGACCGCAACGCTCATGGTGTTATAAAAATGTAAGGTGAATTTAAGACTAAGGAGATCTCAAAGTTACGGATTTGTAGTATAATATGGCGAGGCAGCGGATGTAAAATGTGGAGTAAGAGATCTGTCTTATGATTGTTGGTGTTTTATGTCGACTGTTTGCGCGCCGCAATTGGTTTCGCAGTTTCGTTGTAATCAAAATAAGCTTTGCTTGCGCGATTTAATGCTATATAAGTGACATCATAATAAATGCGTCACCGAACATATATTAATACCTGTGATGGTTTGAGGCAAATTGCATAGCCGCGCGAGTTATAGCATTTATTCTTGTCTTTCACTAACACAGAAAATCTGTTGGATTACATTACAATAAAAAAAAGGCAACGTCATACTTGGAAACAGTACGTAATCATGACAATGAAATGACACCATGTTGCCCAGAGCCTGCGCCCGCGCCGCTTTAACTTCATAAGCGTTGCTCAGAATTCAGGCTTTGTGCTTACTCTGCTTAGGTGCCGTGACTTAAAAATGCAGAGAAATAGTTAGAAATAATAAGTGGTGTTTATAATTTTTGTTATAATAAATCAAACCTATTTTATGAAACTTCTAAACATGACTACAATGTAATATCACGGAAAGTACAAAAAGTAGGTTGTTTATGATTACTGGTTTAAAACAATCAAAATATGGCCTTAGCAAGAGCAAAATATCTCGTAAGTATGTATAGGATGTCTATGAAGTTAACGCCTACCTCAGGAACTTAAACTAGGCGTACTTTCACAAACCGATATACTAGTTAGGGCTAAAGCACATTTATTACCGCAGAATCGCATTAAGTGGGTCAGAGATAGGGGAGGGATTCTCTGTGATGTGCGCGAACGCCCGCGTATGCACGCGAACGGACGCGCCGCGTTGGAGCGCATACGGCCGCGTCAACCACCAGTTATGTGAATTATATCATTAATGGTATAAGTTGATACTAACTACACACATCAAAAGTGTCTAGGGATCAAGTGAATATTTTTGAAGTAAAAATTATTTAAGCAATATTTATCAAATCCAGTCTTCCAGGACGACTTCTTACTTTAATGCTTATGTTTTATTTAACCGCTTACCCCTATATTTAATTAAAATAAACTAAAATTGATGTTTTTGCAAATTGTGGGAATAAACTCAATTTAACGGCGTCAATTAAATGACAAAAAAATGGCGAAAATGATGATTTTGCTCATTTTTATTGTAAAGATAAGAAAATGAATAATCTGTATTTCCACCATTAACACCATCACATCACACAATTACAGCGATTTGGCATGCTTAAGATGAGTTCTTCAAAAGCACTTTGAGTAATGGCCGCCCATGTGTTTTGTAACAAGTCAAAATATTGTTGTAGAGTATGTACGGTATGCATACTCGGCACAGCTCTTCTTTGAAGCATATCCCATGCGTGCTCAATTGGATTGAGGTCTGGCGATTGAGCAGGCCACGGCAGAACGTTGATACGAGCTTCGGCAAGAATGCGTGTTACGACTCTAGCCGTGTGTGGACGTGTGTTGTCATGCATTAGTTGAAATGAATCACCCAACTGGCCTCGCAAAGGGATGATAACATCTGAAACAATCCTCTCTGCGTAAACTTGAGCATTGAAGTTACCCCTGATCCAAATGAGATCGGTTCTTCCGCCGATCCAAATACCGGCCCATATCATTATTGTTCCCCCAGCATATGGATGAACTTCCTGACAATATCTCAAACGTTCATGACGTCCAGATGTTCTCCAAACTCGAGTACGTCTTGTATCCGGTCTCATACCGAAGCGGAATTCATCCGAAAAGCATACATAGCGCCAGTCTTCTTCCTCCCAGTTTCTGTGTTCGCGAGCCCATCGTAAACGGGTCCTGCGATTGCAGGGTGCAATAGGTGGAACTCTGAGCGGCCTTCGGGATCGCAGACCCACTTCACGTAAACGATTTCGGATTGTTTGATCGCTTATTAGCAAGCCTGAGGAGCTGTGGAGCCTCGTAACCAACATCATGGCGGTCATGGTACGATTCCGTCGAGCAGTATTTTGGATATACCGGTCCTGTCTGCGAGTCGTGATGCGAGATCGTCCTCCATGTCGCTCGGCCACGCTGCCCGTCATGCGATAGCGCGTCCAGAGGCGACTTATGACGCTCTGTGTAGTGTTAAGAGTGAAAGCCACAGCACGTTGCCTGGAACCAGCTTCCAATCCACATTTCAATTCCACATTGACAATCGATTTTCTTCTTATTATCGAATTTTAAACAATATTTCTTATTTAAATGTTAAAACTCACTAAAAAGTATCAATAGCGATACAAAAAAATTAATATAATTAACCCTAATTGCAGCAATACTCTTAAACGTACTTGATCCCTAGACACTTTTGATGTGTGTATTTTTTTATAAAAATAAACCAATGCTTAAGGTTTATTTTTAGAAAAATTATGTAGTTTAATTTCTTTTTTGTTGGAAAGGGGATACCTCAGTAGTAGTCCGATTGAAATTGACAATAGTCTACCTCTAAGTGTGGCAAATTAAAGGATGAATCCGGTTTAAACAAACTTTCGAAGTCGGTTATTGCCAAGCTTCTTTATATTTTATATTAAAAATACCTTTATTCCAATAAATTACGTTAAAATTAAACATAGTTTCATTCCAACAATTACATATTTCAATGGTAAAAATGGGTCTGAACCTGTCCCACTTATACTCTTAATGTATAAGTGGGACTGATATGTAGTAATAAGGACCCTTATGTTATTATCCAATGGTGTAACTGGTATCAACTAGTGCCACCTACACAGTAACAGGTATAAATGGGACAGGTTAGTACATCTAATATATAACCAGAAATAGAGATAAAATAAGCAACTCATCAGGCAAATGGTCCTTATATCACTTTTAAATATCAACTCTCGTTTGCGCTGAAACTACAAATTAGAAAACTGAAATAGTACAGCGCCAACAACTGACCTGTGTGTACGTCGCCTTTCGCCTTATATTCCAAAAATATTCTGTATTTATTGTAATAAAGATATATCTCTAACAATGGGGGGGCTATTCCATTTGGTGGCGTGGGAAAAACAGCAAAACATCTAACGGCAAAGCTCAAGTTAAACTGGTCGATTTAAAGTGAAACAATTGACGCCACCCGTCATTTGTTTCGAATTCGGGCTGGCTAATCGGAGTGCAGTTGTTACCGTAATGATTTGGCATAATAGTTATCAAACAAATTAAATGATATTTCGTCTCTACTTCTGGTTATATACTCGAGGGGTTAGTACCACATAATTCAATGGTATAACTGGTCCTAAGACGAATATGGTTGAACACGAACGCATCAAGACTATTCCGCATTAATAAGTTTGATGACACCCTTATTCTAAAGACTAATAAATAAGGTCATCGAGTTTGCGCTTCCACTTCATAGACAGATATTTTCATGTATACCGTATACGTAAGTTGTTCACATATATCCGTAATAGAGTCGCTATCCGATGCTATTTAATGTTAATTGTTAATCTAAGAATATACATATAATGGGTGTTACGTAAAAACTGTACCTACTAAGAATTTTGATAAAATAGGCAACTCCAAACACTTTAATGTTTTCTTCTGGAGCTTCAGTTGTACATACTATCATTTTTCTTTAATGTGAAAATAAGTTCTTGCCTAGAATAAAGACTTACTACTACCGGTAGTAAGACTGGTAGAAACGCGGGCAATGAACGTCTGAAACCAGCCTAATAATCGAGCGAGTGTGAATGAGAAGCAAAATATTTTAATCTTGCTTTGTATTTTGTGACAAACAACGATTTCATCATTCAGAGTACTTTAACAGAAATAATGCAGATTAAATTAGATAAAATATTTATAATTGCTCAATTCGCTCAACTAAAACATTTTAGCGTAAATCTACCGATTTGGGATGCCCATAAAACACTACGGTTATGCAAAGCCTCGCATTAATATAATGACCGTTCAATGTGCAATAACAACAAGACGTAGTAAGTTCGTCACTGCTATTTTTAACTGGACTATTGAGGTCTATTTTAAAAATCATCTGCGTGAAGATCTATGTATTTCTTTCTATTCACTCATAATGTTCAATCAGAATTATTTGTGTTTTAAATATGTATTAATCGGAACGTTTAATATAAATAAAGTTATATATTATTATATTATGGTGTAGTATGACAGGTTATGCTTAAGATGTTGAAACTCTTTCACATTAGGGTGTGTAGCAGGAATAATAAATTGTAATTACGTGTTAACATAACAAAAATCAACTCAAGATATATTTTTCTCTATGATATTGATTACTGAGAGGAACTAATGCGTAAACAAAAGATATGCTAGGACAATGTGCGGGACTGTGTTATTATATTAGAGAATTAGTTATATCGATTTTAGTGGTACGTATTCTACATTAGAAAACTCCACCCTCTTTTCCCTTTTCAACATGTTGTGCATATTATTTGTTTAGTAATCCTTTTGCTATAGACATAATTAAACACAATAAATGTATTATTAATCAATAAATGTTTTTGAAAAAGGTAAATATATTTCGGAATGTTGTCTTGCCACAGATAGGTTTTGATATCAACTTAACAACGGTTGAAAAGCGAACAGGGTATGTTGACATTAAGTCGTAAAGTTAAGGAATTGTAAATACTTTAAGTAATAAAATATTTTTGTTCAAATAATAAATATCACTACATGTGGCAAAAAAGTGTTTCATTGTAATTTTTTTTATCGAACCTGATGGCTGATGTTTTTGTTGTTTACTTTTATGAACCTATTCAAACCAAATGAGAAATGCGTTCAGCGTCCTCTATTCTTATTAATGATTTTCATAGTCTACAGGGAACTTGATTAAAACAAGAAATTATTAGCATTCCATTTTTATTATTTATCGTATACATTACATTAACGGAGGTGAGAAAATACTTAAGGCACTTAAAATTATGGTCCCTTCAAATAATTAATACTTAAAATAAAATGACATAAAACTAATAAACATTGATGAAAACATAATATGTGATGTACCTTGAATATGTGAAAGATATCGCTAATATTACGTCACGGTTAAAACTTGCGAGAGACCGACCAGTTTATAAATTATTAAGACTATTTTAAAGCTCTATTTACACTGCCGCGGAACCGAATGAAAGCCTATTTTTGTAAGCATGGCGAACTCTGAGTTATCTATGACAATTGTGTAACGTACAAACTAGATACGAGCCGAAAAACAGGTCGCGCGTTTTCCGGAGAATACTCGTACAGTCTCGTGAATTCCCGCAGCTACCGTATCGTATCTAGTGTGTATGTTACACAATTGACATGAAGTTCATTATGCTATGTACAATTTATTTACACAAATTCGATGCGGCGGAACGGAATGGAATGGAAGCGTAAATATCGCCTCGCTGTAGCGCCTTGAGGCTCTAGTAATTCGTCGACGTTTGACGTCATCGCGCCACTTCTCGCGGATGCATTTCACAACGAACCGGATTTAAATCGTGTGTGAAAAAACAAATATAGGCGATTTAAATCCGGAAAAATAGTTTCATTTCCTATGTGTAACAATCGCGAAAACCTAAGAACTCGATATTTACAACTAAATATTTGTTGTAAATAGATTTTGAAATTTAATGATATTATTTTAAAAATGTTTATTCACTTCTAATCTAGACGATTCGATTTGCCTTTCTATTGAATCGATTGGCTTGAAAATCGCATTGAAATAAATCGATCCAAAACATGGTTAGATAGTGTGCTTGAATCGATTTTCATAAAAATCTAATCGTAATGCGCATCCTTAGTAGTGACACCTACTGGATTGCAAGGTGGGTAGAGTTCTCCATTTCGTAAAAAAATTACATCTAAATTTTAAGTATGGAATACCTAGATATACCAAATTCAGTAGTGACTACTTTGATCAGAAATGGGTTAGGTGAAACTCGGCGCTTTGGGTAAAAACCCAGTTAAAATCCGGACTACCCGCTGCACATGTGTGGGTCTAACAGTAAACGGCAACGTTAGTAGCTTGCAGACGCTAATGTTTACGCTAATGTTGTCGTATATACCCGTAACTTGTATGTGTCACTCGCACGCCAGTTCGTACCGTGTAAACTAGCCGTCTCTCTCAATGAGTAAGAATAATTTCTGCAAGGAAACCTTAGAAAAATTTTGCACAATTGGAAAAATTTTCAATGACTGTTATGAAAATATTATTGTCCATTCTTTCTCCATACTCCCTGAAACTAACTTAACTTACTTGACCAATTATTTTAATTTTGGAAATATGTTAAATAGAATGGACATCAAGCAAAACAGGTACCCTTAAAACATTAATCACTTGTTAGGTCACATGTATAAGATAATTATACAGTTTAAAGAATAGAAGTCAATTCCACTTGATAAGGCTAAAACTTATAAATATGTGGGTACATCACTCACCTAATATCGTGATAATTACTGATATTATCATTTCAATTTCACCTATACATATTCAATAGCGTAATAAGTGTTGACGAAATATACCTACCTGCATATCTAATATAAGACAATTGTATAAATCGTACAGTAAACCACACTTTGTACACCAAAGCATGTATACTATATTTGGTTGACGCGAAATATACACAAGACATTATGGATAAATTGCTTTAAAACGTAACTACAATTTCAGATCAGATTTGAAACTACACACAACCAATGTAAGCTAAAATTAATACTACATATGTCAGAAGCATATTTTCTAATAAAAACAATATTTACATTCAGCTGTTGTTTTTTTAATGAGTGCACTTTCAGTTCTACCAATGGAAATGGATTTATTTAATACATTTTAGTATTAAATAATAATTATAATAGTGTCAAATAATTATCTCAAAAATTTGTTTCGCTTTTAAATGTTTTTACCATACCATCTAAATTGTGGTACAAAATAAAAATTAAGCGAAAACACGAAAAAGTACTAATAGTGATGTCACCGCAAAAGATTGTCATGTTATAAAGCTAATTAACGGATACTTACGTTATTATGGCAACAATAATACAAAAACGCTTACTTGTACACACATTAATGGCTTGAGGGTAAAGACGACAGAACTTCATATAATATATATATAATATATATATATTGTTAATCGTATTTAAAAACCGCTCTTTATTCATCATTATTGCACAATAATATCAAATTTTACAGTCTAACGACGGATAAATTCGTGATGCTTGTTACAAAGTAGAAGCATCGTGATATGGTGCCTACGCATCAGTCTTCTTGCACATTTCTAACATCACAATAATTTGAAACTCGCTGTTTGCTTATTATAACATAAGAATTATATATTACGCAATATATCACGACACAACGGTACGCATACAGCTACGAAAACATTTCTTTTATATTATTTATATTTTGTACATAAAAAATAAAAAGCTAGTCCTTTGTGTATCACGCCCGGTAACAAAAAAAGATGACAAAAGCGGCGCCGCGAGAGGGGATTCTAACTTTGAAACAATAAAAGTAATGAATGATTAACTTATTTGAACATAATTGGCTGGGAATTGCCCTTTGACTCCGTTGCATTCGCCGAAATACCATTCGTCGTTGAGTTGAGATATGACAGAAATGGTGTCACCTGCGGTGAAGCACAGATCGCCCTTTTGAACTGGTTCGAAGTCATAAAGAGCAAGGGCTTTACCCAGTCGTGCGGGCGGCGGCAGCGGCTCCCCTGGGAGAGGCACTTTTATCTCCACGTAGTTGGCAGGGAATATGCCCTCAAGGCCATTGCGCAGCTTTCCATAGAGCCACTCGTCGTCCACTCGCCTTACAAGTTTGATCTTCGAATTTGCCTGTGGACACGAACGTGCAGTTTTACGATCAACAACTGAAATTATTTCAAAGTACATAGTTATTATTTTGCAGGTACCAATTACTTTTATACATTTGTATGAACTGCATAACCTGGTCAATTATAAAAACGATCTAAAATCATAGCCATTATATCTTTTAATCTCTAAGCCAATCTTAAGACCTAAATATACTTAATGCTCCACAACAAAGTTCGTCACGCATAAGTCAGTAAAATAAGTGCGATCCTCTGTGGCCGGACCACCTATAAGTACTCGGATGCAGTAGTATAAAATAATTGGTACCTAAAGTCTACTTTCCTAGACATACAACAAAATTAATAGTACCTCGATAGATTACGAAATATTTAACTAATTAGGTGGTCCGGCAGCAAAGCAGTACTTTCCCACCGCGTCACCTTGGATTTAGAAAAACGTGATACACTTTCAAGAAAGCAATATTCCCAGAAAAAGTACCTAAAGGCTACTTGTGTGGTGTGGTGTGGTCCGGCTGGGGAGTAGGCTCTGCAGCGAGTCTACTTAGTGAATGTTAATTTTAACTATGTGTAGATATTTAAAAATAAGTACCATTAGTCTACTTCCCGTTGACTTATTTATTTCTCTAACTAAACCGTTGGTTTGTTTAATATCCTAAACCTTCAAAGTATGTGGCGCGGCCAAGGAGTATTTCTTTGTGAGAGACAGAATGGCGGGTATATCTTAACGAATACTGACAAATTTAGTATAAAAAAAATGTACCTAAATTGTACTATTTAGTACCTGTGTTTAAAAAAAATAGTTCTTCTATCAGAACGAAATTATAGCTACATCAAAAATACTTGATGTGGCATTTTTTTTTTTTATAAAATTTCACCTATTTATTTGAGTAGCCAAAGGTTCTATCATATAGTCACACATTTCCTCACAGAAAAAATCAATTAAAGCAAGTCAGTGAGTTCAAAATAAATCGATCCCGAGACGAGGTCATCAATTACCCGAACCAACGATAGCTATAGGTCATAATGAGAACAGTTTGGTGAATTGAATTAGCACATCAAGGCCTCCTCGGTGCCTTATAATTATGATGCACAATTATCCTCATTCTTATCACGCAATCCACCAGCGATTATAAACTGTAAGACTAAGTTACAGTACTGGTGCATGACGCAAAATTCTTAACTTTTGAAGTGAGGTGAAGGGTGACTAAAAGATTTATATAGGTACTGGATGACAGTTTATTATTTTCGTTTTGTCATATTACCAATTTGGCTTGTTTGATTTCTTTGTCGACCTTTCTGTTTCTAAATACAAAAAATACTTCCATACAAAAAAAAACTTGCTATTTCGGTTTTTGTTTACAATTTTATCAACATTTACTAAATATTGTGACTGCCACAAAGGATTAACATATTTAGTACAATATATGTAAACATGTCAACATACAAAAACATTAAAAAACTTGACACCATTTATCGAGGATAATTTTATAGTGATTTAATATTGACCAACTGACGAATTTTGGTATTTTTGCTAAATTACACATGTTACGTTTAGTTTACTAAGGACCTATTGTATCCCCTTAATTTTTATTATCATCAAGTGTCTAATTAAAAAATCATGATGAAAAAATCAAAACATTTACTTTTGACCTGTATACACTATTCACAACGATTTGTGAATAGTGATTTAACACGGAAACAAAAATAATATATATTGTAAAATATGTAAGGAAGGAGGAATTATTTGCAAAACTAGAAGGAAATAAATAGTATGCGCATATTATAACCGAAGCCCATCATTTGAAATACCCATTTGTTGTATATAAATGGAAGTATGAATACGATAAACGATAACAAGTTCCTGCTGGGCGATATCGTCCCGTTGAATGACACCGTTTTATCACTTAGCTCTGACATACGGAGCGTTGCGAATCTGTCGTTACGTATAACTTTACAATCTAAACAAACAATTCTGAAAAGCTGTGTACGCCCCAAACAAAAATTCCCTGCGTCACGTTGCCATGTGGTTGATACACCTTTTTGACGCAAGCAAATGTATGTATCAAGTCAAATCAATAACATAATGTGCTTCATTCTGCGTAAACAAAACCAAACATTTCTTACTTCGTAAAAACACATCAATATTATTTACGTATTATATTTTATAAAACAAAAAAAATTGGAATTACCACTGTGTCGCATGGGAAGTTTCGCGTGATCCCAAGTGACTCTAGTTTCTAGAACTAAAATAGACGAACACCCGTATGGTATTTTAAATTACGTACTCAATAGAGGTCACCATTACTATAGAGTGAACAAAGAAAATTTGCAGTATTCCTTATTTAGGATTATTTATGCGCTTGGAATGTCTCGTTATATCGCACAACACATAAAAGATCCACCCCACACAAAGATAAGCGACTAATTGAGAAATCTGACATGAAATCCTGGAATAATAACTTTTAATTTATTTTTATACTTCGACCATTTCAGATTCTCAATAAATTATAATACTCATATTTATATAACTGGTTACGCTAGAGGTTTTAACGGATCGATCTACGTAATACATAACGCAAAAGATTGTTATTTTAACAGCTGCGCATTCGTTTACGTCTGTTTAATATTTAATAATGTCTACGCAGCCACGCTCCAATTCGTGTTTAACCTTCTGCTACGGTTCTCCCATTAATATAACGTTCATTAAAATTTCGGCACTTGTAAAGCATTGGCGAATCTGGACGCAGCACACGAATAGTTTTGCGAGAAGAGGCGAGATATAACCCGTATATTTCACGAGTTTTGTTACGCACAGTATAATTATTAAGTCTAACTGGTTAAGCAAATTTCTTTAACTACTTAGCACTACAACACACTTAGCCTGTCTCTTGATACTACCAGCATAATATAATTATGTTTACCAAAAGTCACCTTGAACTTGGAGCGTCAAGCATGTGATGTATCTGTACAAAGAAAACTTACAACTACATAAAACCGACACTATAAATAAGTCAACAATTGGCTCCACGCCATCAAAATCACCTAATAGCAACATTTACCTTTACCACCGCCGTAGCAATCTAAATATCTACTATTCATAACTTTATTAATATAGACTTTTAACACAGGTGAAACATTATTGGTCAAGGTTTATTTATTTTTGTAATTTCAATGCACACTAAAGTAATAAATTGATACATAATATTATTTGCCAAAACACAATATCTCTCGCATGATAAATATTTTCAAGCTGAGTTCAATTTATAGGTATAAAAATCCGCTAAAATGACGTACAAGTACCTTCTTTACACCTAAAAAATTCTAATTACGAAACTACACCAGTACTGTTCAAAAGCACAGTCATGATGACGGAGTAGAGTAGTATTTAAACTCACCGAGAAGCACAAATCGTCCGGGTGGTCGGTAAAATAGTCGAAAAGCGCAACACCGTACGGTTCATCGGCGTAGGAATCTGAAAGCGTGTTGGCGCCGGCGGCTACAGGCCACTCGAGGGGCGCCTCGTCCACGGTTGGCGGCGGCGGCGGAGGGATCAACGGCATTGGTGGCGAGGACTCCCGCTCTGGAGAATTCTGTTCATCCCATCTAAACGGCTTCTCCTAAAACAGATTGCACTTATCCACTCACTACATTCTAACGCATTGTCTATTACTTGATTCAAGACCCACATCTGTGTTTTTATACACACTTAGAATGTAGCGTTACTTTCTAAGATTTATTTTTATTGGTCGGGTTGACAGCCAACCCCAGAGTGAAGAATATTCAGAGCTAGCAATAAAAAGGGAATGCGATGAGAGGGCACAGCTAAAGGAAATTCACTTGTAATCATGTGCTTTTAATTAGTGACATGACAATCATGCACCTAATACATTTTAACTTAAAGCATTTCTAAGCAAAGCAATTACTGACTGAAAATACATGAAAATTATACAAAACATTAGTGTCATAGAGTTTAGAAACTCATGTGTTAATTAAATTTTTATTGAATTGATATTCAATTATTTTTTGTGAAATTACTCCACTAGTTTGTTATAATTATTAATACAAAGATCGAACACTCAGAAAAAACACTCAAATGCAAGAAGACGTCGGTTCGAGTCCGACCAGATCGAAGGAATTTTTTCTGAGTGTTTTTTCTGAGTGTTCGATCTTTGTATTAATAATATTCATATGTGTTATTCAAGAAAATTCTTTCAAGTGATCAATTGTTTTAAGCATGTAATAAACAAAAGTAATGTTACTGAAATATTGACTATTTCTTTTTAATTGCTTGTTTTATGAATTATTGAACTTTGTGCTTTCAAAAATTATGGTCCGCATGGTACACAATGGTTGGGTGTTAATTATCAAGCAGTAACAAGTCAATTTCCAGATACCACTTGGTGAAGCAGTAAATGTTTACCAATCAAGTGCCCTTGCATAAGTCTCATTACGTTGCACATCTACAAATATAAAAACGTGCAAACAAGCATTGTGTGAAGAATTCCTTGTTATAACTACTGAGCGTATAATTCCTCCTCTTGGTCAACTAAACAATTAGTCAACAGTACTGATAACACAAAAATATAAAAAAATGTTTACATAGTACGAAATTGCAAATGTTATCAGTTGATAAAGGCAATAATTGCTAAAAATGATAGCAATATAAAGATACAAATAATCACACATACTTTAGTGATATTATAGTGTAAATAAAAATTAAACTCACTAAGTGAGCGCACACTGAGTGAGCTGACTAACAGGACGTAATTTCAACAATAAATTAGTTCCTATTATAAATGATAAAACAGACTACTGACAATTACCCAAAATTATTTTGCAACTGTTATGAATGTAAAAGCTGAAGGTTACTTACGAAACTATCTCCATAGCCGTTGCAAACCTTCTGAATTGGTGTCTTGGTATTAACATTCATAGACATTACAGGGAAGCTGCTTCCAAAAGTGCTCTTAAGGAGAGCAGAATTGTCTGGTGGCTTTGGCCGTGCAGGTTTTCCACGAATTATTGTAGGACCCTTCATGGATGGAGCAGGAAGCTGATTGCTCATGTTTTCAAACAAGTCTTTGCTAGGTTTTTTCATTATAGGAGGTTTTGATACAGGTTGAGGTTGTGGTGAAAATGGATCAACTGCACTAAAGTCTTCCAACGTATCATCTTTAGGGATGGTTTTTCTGGAGTGCAGGAATAGCTCAAAGTCATCTTCAAAACCACTCTCAGCTTGTGAAGCATTGCCGCCGTTAATCATATTGTGGTGGTTTGTGGAAGTTGTAGCATCAGAGCCAAAGCTGTCTACACTCAGGCCATCACTGCTAGATCTTGTTGTAAAGGTTGGTGAACTTGGTGGCGAAGAGAAGTCTATAAGAGTGCCAATTTGTACATTCTTTGGATCACACTTAGGAAACATTTTATTAGTATCCAACTCTGGATGCAAGTCTGCATCAGAAGGGTGAGATATGACATTGATAGATTGATTGCTCACAGTTGTTCTATTTTTGTTGCGTGACATCAGGGAAGACAGCACTGTAGGCTTTCTTATGAAGTGTGACGGCTTTAGAGGCATGTCATTGGATTTGGCATTAACTTTGGGTGGTGGTGGACGTGGGGGAGGTTTCTTTTTCTGCGTGAACTGAGGGTTGGGCTCAAAAACATCAGCACCAAAGGGGTCATTGTTCCAGTTAGTTACAGGAGAGTACAGTGTCACTCCACTTCCAGGAACACTTGGAGCTTGTCTGGTGGGACCCTTCATACCTACAAACAAATGAAAGAAATAATGTCTTCTTTCGAAATCATTGTTACATGTTAAAAGATTTAAACACAATTTAAAAATTAATTGATATTAGATAACTATCTAACTGGTGTTGGTACTTTTGTGCATGACTGAGAACAAAAGGTTAATTCTCGAAAATTAGACAAAAGACTTCTTTCAAACACAAAGTGTTTGTAACAGTAATAATTTAAGGCAGTAAGTACCTGATACTGAATTTTGTATATATCCAGAAGGAAATGAATTTTACACTGCAACTACATAACACAATTGGAGGATTGCTTGGTGCAATGGAGGAGCAATTCACAGGAATTCTTGAATTACACTTGTCAATGCGCTCGCGCAACCTGCTCCAATGCGACACTAATTGACCGCTGCGACACAACGTACATACCGAAACAGTACTAACCGACTGATTGTGATGGATTCCCCTTTGCATTCAGCAAGCGAACAAATCATATGTGATAACAATATTGTATTTTTGTTTTCGTATAATAAACAATATTTTCCACCCACTGCGAGCGGGCAGCGCTCGGCGCCTCAGAGGAGCGACTATCACGCAATAAGTGCCAGGTACGGGATAGCACGGCCTTGATAAAGTTCGCTGTACCAAACATAACGAATCAATCACCCCAGACCGGCTGACACGGGCCACAGACGATCTCAATCACAAACACAGGGCTTCAATCTATTACTTTTATTAAAATTACAATTCATTAAGGATTACATACCCTGCTTAAACAAATCCATTCCTGGACTATTGCCGTTGTAAAATCTCCAACACGGTGAATTTACATGCACAGAATTTTGTATTCATAAATAGTTTATCACATATTTCAATAAAACCCTAAACGATTATTGTACACAAAAAGAATTGGGTATTATTAATGATAAAATTAGCAACGTACAAAGAAAATCGTTCAATTTGACATCAGTTCACATCATTTCCTTCTTGACGTTTGTGACATGACATCCTACCATTTTTTTTTCCTTCGTTCCGTTTGAAACAGGCGAAGGTCAGAGTCTATACTGCCTAGTCATTAGTTTCTCTTTTTCTTCAGTAGGTTTATTTCGATTCGATTCTTCAGTGTAAGTTTAAGTCTTCAGTGTTTCAGTAAGAGCCGTGTAAAAACTTTACTTAAAATTATTACTTTAGTTTAAAATATGAATTATCCGAGATACGAAAATCTCGATACGTAATGTTAATTATATATTAACGTCAAATCCTTGTAATTTGTCAGTTTTGGTTTGTTTTGGTCATTCATAATGGCATCGTCAATTGTATCGACGGAGCTAAACACTTTAAAACGAACAATAAACTAAACTAAATATTATCTACTCTGCTATTTACATAACTATATATGTCAACCTATTTACAAGGAGATCCTGAACAGAGCACGGTACCGAATATGGACTACCGTATATTTGATTTAGCTCATCCATTGTTAAAAAAAACCACCACCAACGCCAACTGGTTATGGGCCCAGGACCGCAAGGTAATGAGTGAAATGGAGCTTACTAAAATTCAATTAACGAAACTTTTGCCCACAAACTTTTGGCCATAATTGGGTATCATGGAAGTACCAAGTACAGCCTTGCTAAGAGGTAAGGACGGGCTCATGGATATTGTGGTTGTAAAACACAAAAGCCGGTACGACCCGCAGAATACCTAATAATATGCCATAGTAGTAAATATCCCAAATACTAAAAATAAAATTCCGAGATCGTTTACTGTTGACGGGCCATTTTACGAAGTTGTTAGGAAATACTACAGTCAGCGTACATCAAAAGGAAAGAGTGACCGTTTTTTTCAAAATTATCAGAAAGGGAAATGTACTGCGCAGGCTATTGGCATCAATAAATTTGGAAACTTTGAAATTACCAGATGCCGACCTTTATACAGGTCATAGTTTTCGTAGGTCTCTGCCACATTACTTGCAGATTCTGGGGCTAATATGACAACCCTAAAGCGACATGGTGGATGGAGATCGAGTCACGTTGCTGAAGGCTACATAGAAAGCTCCATTATTAAAAAATTGAAAATCGGAAACCAATTAACTCAGTCTATTCATATACAGCCACCAATTGAACACTGTCAGCCTACTCCACACTCTTCCACATTTTATGAACCCCAACCGGGCCCGTCTCAGGCCCCCGACAATATTTGTAAACCTGAACCAGGAACAAGTTCATCTGATTCCGTCGGACGCCAACGTTTTTGTACACCAACTAATAATCAAGGACCTGAGCCAGAATCGACGCAGACATGCGAAATTAACAGCAGCTTGAGTCAAACTGTGAACTTGCCGGCAAAGACCTCAAAGTATAGTGTTACTCTTAATAATTGTTCAAATTGTACTCTGAATTTTTATCAAACAAAGGAATAAAATGAGGTTTTTTTTTAAATACTGTTTTATTTTACTTTCAATGTAGGTTTTTCGCAAATGTATTAAAAAACGTTGTTTGATACACATGCGGATTTGTCATTTTCACTTGTCTCGAGTCTTGATGCCTCGAGACTCGTGAATAATGACTAACTTTCCGCACTTGTATCAAAAATAACTATTTTAATTTTAAGTATATTAGGAAGAAAATACGAATAAAGAAATAGTGATGAAGAAAGTTAGAACTATAGTTCTTATTTTAAACCAAACTACAAAAGAAATCCTGAAAATTCCACTAATAACTAAAATAATGAATTCAAAGTTTTTGTTCACATGACACTAATGTGATTTAAATGAAAGTGAAAACATGTAATATTGACTCCTGCCGCTTATAAGCTTAGAGGATGGAAATAATAGTCTATGCTCTAGGAATAATCTATGCTTTTAAGACTATTTAAAACCCAAACAAAAGAATTTAGTTATTTATGGGAAAGTGAAAAGTATTTATTTGGTCTGTGGTAAAAAAATGTATAAATATGTCTTGAGGATCTCGATAATTAAACTAAGACATGACTCAAAGGACTTATATCCAAGCCAAACTCTTAATAAAAAAAATGACGTCTATCATCCTGTGCGTTGACATTTTTATTTTTGCCTTTTCCTTCTCATATTGATGGAGCCATAAAAATAAAAAGTGAAGTGAAGTGATTATTATTCTCACAGGACATTGGTCCAATCGCCATGTTTTTTGTATAATTTTTATAATAATATTAAACTACCGTACATAGTTTTACTTGACATTGGCAAAATCATTGATTATTTCGATGGAGCCATAACATTTAAAAGAAGAAGAGATTTCAGTATTTCGCCCAGTCCAGTCTAGTCTCATCTGTGTTCGGGATACGATTCGCGGAATCCGTTATTGTTCGGAAGACGAAGATTCATTTCTATAATTCTGATTTTTCACTTAATTAAGCGGATTTATATTGTAACCATGTTTAGTGTAAAGTTTATCGTACTTGGGAGCGATGCGCAATTTTAAGCTTATTCCAAACCACATCTCCCACCTTTGCGCATACCGGGTTCTACAGGGCGATCAGAATATTGATTTTTTGCATCCCCTTTTCCTCCCGCAGGACAGTGCTTCCCTCCCCATCTAATTGCCAGTCCGCGTCTTTGTTTGTTTGCGGTTAACACTAACGTTGTGTTGTCTGTCTGGGAATATTGAATATTCGCGAGTGGATTAATATGTGAAAAGTGGGTATTCGTGCGCGAATAATAGCACCAGTCGAGCTCCACAAAGTGCTTAATTTTGTATTAGGGGCCCTCAAAATTATGTCGACCGAGAACATGGCGGCCGAATCAACGTTGATTTTTAACATGCCGTTGGATGTAATTATGAAGATATTGCAAAATCTGAATGTGAGTGATATCATCAACATGATGCTGACTTGCAAGACAATGAAGGAGATGATAATGCAAGACAACCTTCTGTGGAAGAAGGTCAATCACGACAAGCTCATTGTGCAGAACAATATTGAACACAGGTCGTAAGTATCTCCAATTGACTGTTTTTCCCCTTTGGCCCTCGAAAAATTCGCCACCCTATCAATACTCCTTCTTTACCCTTCTACACTCCATTAAGTCCACATTTATAATAATATAATTAGGGTTACAATGAAAATCTGAATTTGCAATATTTACTTGCAATGCAGTAAATTTAGTATAATAAAATTTTGTGCATTGGAAGCATGCATTTGAGACTTCAGATCTGATGTCACTTGTATATAATTATCGTTCGTTTGTATTGATCGTTACTTTGATTGATAGTTGCCACTTTCTGTTGGGAGAAGCATCTGACTATTTGTCAAATGAATAACATATAAAAGACCATTCCCCATCAAATTTGAAATTTGAACTTTTGTTAGGATGGAATCCAATTTACTGAGCAAAGATTTTGCAGGCAGTTACACTGTTGTTCCAATTGACAAAATATGCAATATTAGATATTAATTTATTTAACGTAGGGTAAAGACCTAACGTACTTTATTACATTTCAAAACTTTAGAAGAGCTACCTTTTAAAAATATGAAAATGAACATTAATAGACATACAAGATATTAATATTTCACGATTGACAGCTGAAATAGCATAAACTATCATTAATATCTGAGTCTTAGTTAATAACTCTAGAAATCCACGCGCGCATAGTTCTCGAAACATTCGTGATACTTGAGCTAGAGATGGGCGTTGAATGGACGAACTAGTCGAATCAACCGCCCACGTCCAATCGACGTTTCTACGGGTCTACCGTTCTTCGCTTAACTAGTAGAATTCGTAGACGGCTAAACGGAGAGTCCACGCGTTAATCAACGCTCTGCGTCACGAAACGACGCGCGAACTCTGTCGAATTATACATAGACTTACATAGACAAATTATTTTGAACTTTAAATTCAGTAAGTGTAAGTTGATATTTGAATATGTGCGACGAAGTAAGATAGGTCTGTTATGCTATTTATTATTGCAATAGTGCATTCAATATAGAAAAAGGATGTCGGTCTAGTTAATTCGCTAGAGCGAGAGAGAGGCGTTGCGCCCGTTGTGGTGCAATGCCCTTGAAACTATCGGAATTAAACTCTATTGCAGTATGTTAAAAGCGTCGATAGCCGCGCTCATGTTAAACATTGGAAATAAATTAATTTCTAAAACAATAGTTCACAAAACATATCAACATATTCTCAAAAGTTACTTTAGTTGATTCAGTTAAACTCGTCTCACGAACGATAACCAACTTAAGTTGAATGATCGACTAGTCGACGAATTTAACTAGTTGACCGACTAGTTGATCGTCGACGATGGACGGTTGCGTTTCGTTAACGGAAAACGCGTCGACGACCCATCTCTAACTTGAGCCGATCAATAACATCACCGTTGCCCCGCGTCGGCGCTGCTCGTAGCTACGATCGCTTTTCCGGGGCACTGGTTATAGTTCGGTATGGCGAATGTGTGCGTTATATGTTAAAGTGTAACATATAATGCACACATTCGCCATACCGAGCTTCGGGCCGGGTTAGCGTACATATTTGCAATGAATACCTATTATGTCATTTTTGCCAACATATCAATTGACGTACTTCGTGAATAATATTGGATGACATATCGGCCAATATTTTATGCGACGAGACGTATTGGCCAACATAAGCATGTTTTATTCGTCTTGTAGCAGTAGTTGTGAAAGAGTTCGTCTAGGGAAGTACTGCCGCCTTACCTATTTTTGCCGCCAAGCAGTAATGACAGCATTATTGTGTTCCGGTTTTGAAGTGTATAAGGGTGCTGGTGAAATTACAGACACTTGGGATTTGTCAACTTATGTCTTAGGGTGACTGGCACAATGGCAGTGCCCCTAAGATCTTTGCGATATAAAGCTCTGAGTGGCACTGCAACTGTTATGGACAGGCGTGTAGCTTACCATCAGGCATCAGGCGCACGACTTGTTCGTCCCGTCACTTGATATTATAAAATAATAATAAAACTTACCGGTTAGGTATAAAGTCGGCATTTTAAAATTATATAACTGTGCTGGTTGAATCTTATTCCAGGGGCACCATCCTATACTCACGATAATCACAACATAAGGCTTAGATCCGATGCGTTAAAAAGTCGCTATTTGGTTGGTTCTAATCGAAAAAAGTGGACCAACTTGATACACCTCTTTACAGCTATAGGACTTTCATTGTTCTTACTAGGATATTCCAGGACGGCACCAACTTACACCGGCTCAAAAAAGTTCTAGTTGGAGAAAAGTACATTCGGTCAATACGCCATTTTGAAGTTATTAGAATCTTTTACTGTTGATGCTGGGCTCTTATTGCGGCTGCGCCGTTTGTCAATGTCGAGAACGACAGCATCTAGCTTACTTGTATCCAGAAAAAGACGTGATTTAATTGGTTCTAGTTGCAAAAATATAGATTTAGTTAAACAGTCAACATTTTCGCTTTCGCAAGATATAGTCGAGGACCTCCCCACTAGGTCAGTTTTCCAGTTCGGTTGACTAAACTAATGTACTTTTTTTCCCATTTGTTCAGTTGACTGAACTAATTAGTTGAGGTCTTAATCGTTTTAAATGAAATATGTACCGTTACTTTTACATAATTATTTATGGTTTTATCGTTTGTCGGTGTTTATATCTTTGGTGAGCTCCTTTTGTACGCGAGAGCGGGACGCGTGGATTAACATCGCCTGAGATCAGAGTCGACTGAATAATTAATGAATTTAGTGGAATTAATAATTAACATTATAACAGCAGGTCACAGGATAAGTGTGACGTGAATAATTAATTACAAACCATTTACGATTGTTCCCACATCATTACAAATTACGAATCTTCCCACATAATGGGCCACCTTGATGACAATGACTTAGGCAGTTCGCATATCGATAGAAGATGTCTACAATCACCGCAGCACACAAAGTCTTTTACTGCATAGATTCCAGTCTGGATGAGAACGTATAAAATGGCGGGCATATTTTGTGACTTGTTCAAAGCCTCGATGTGATTAACGACACATTGCTGTTGGATAAGTTACATCATTACGGAATACTGGATAAGAGCCACCAACTCCTCACCTCATTCGTATCTGATCGGAAGCAAGTGGTGAAATTATGCTCGAACGGTAAAAGACTTCGAGTCCATTGCTGGTAGTGTGAATTTAGTAATTATTATTATATATTATTATTATTATTATTATTATTATTATATATTATTATTATAATTAGTAAAATCCTCAAGGGTCTGTCTTGGGAAACACGCTATTTTTAATTTATATAATACGACCTTCTCACTGCCATTACAGCCAACCTCTTTGTACTGTTTGCCGATGATATAACAGTCACAGTTAGCGCGCGCACGTACTAACAGCTCGGAGAGAGAATTAATGGAGGGTGTCAGCAGCTCCAAAGGTGATTTTCATCGTATGGGTTGCTGCTGAATATCACTAAATTCAACGTCATGGTTTTCTCGGGTCGAAGTCTCACACTTCCTCCGTATGTGGCAAACAATCCGATGCCGATATGCAATGAGAGCAAGTTCCTCTACTATACTCTGGACTCGAACCTTAAGTGGAAATGCCATGTTGACAAACTGTGTGATAGATTAAATGGTGCAGTCTGTGCGTTGCGTAAACTAAAATTGCATTAAGACGGGTCTCTTTTGCACTGATGTTATATAAGACGAAATGGGAAATAGATGAAGCGGGAGTGAAGGAAGTGGATCATTTGGACAAGTAGACCGATCGGGAGAGTAGACGAATAGTGAAAGTGGACCGATCGGGAAAATAGACCGATTGTACCGAAGGACTTGAAAAACCCTTTTTACTCTGTAAATGTATTTATGGACCTTAAAATGTAACGCTATTGAGTATTTTCTATTTTATTAATTTTTATCTCATTGACATATTTTTGTACTATTTCCTCAGGTCAGGTATTTCTTATCACTTATGACGATCGTTGATGAAGAATATATGTACTTGTTATACATATAATTTATTGACAAAAATATTATTATTAATGAATTGTTAATTTTGTAATTCTTGTGTATTTTTCATTTTATAATTTTTATTTAAGTTTGACGAGCTCAGTATTATATAAGTTAAATTATAATATAATTTCTTATACTTTGCCTTGTAGCAATTTATACTGTAACATTTTATTTGAGAAATAAATAGTCTAATCTAAATCATTCTTATTTATTACCTTTCCTTGGTTATTAACTTCAATATCAATCTACGTACGGCTCAGTGCGCCTGAAGTCCCCCACCGGCCACCACATACATGTCTTCGGAGAATTTTGCTCTTTTCTGACATATAATTAAAATATAAATTACAAAATACTTATTTAAAATGCGTCGTATTTTGTAAAATATGTATTTAAATACGTAAATGATATTCGATATTGAAATACGTTTAGTATTTTAATTACGTATTTCAATCACTGCCCATCCCTGCATTCAAGTTTCCTCGCGGCGCACAGTGTCTCGTCTAGTACAAGGTAGCGGGACAAAATTATTTTTTGAGTTATTTTAATTGTTTATGCATATTGCAGGTATATTATGCTATTTTAAGCTAAAAAAAAAGTGGAAACCTGTGCACTGTAATGTGTGTAGACCCTACAACGGTGATGGCCTCACCACCTGACACGTAAGGTCACCAATTACGCGGTGAAATGTGGGTGATAGCTCTGTAATTAGGTGCCTCTGCCTTCTTCACATGCCTGTAAGGCACGAGTGCATTATTTTTTTATTATGTAGAAGTATTAGGACATAGAAAAATAAAATATAAATTTAAAAAATCATTAATGTTTATTACATTTATGACGTATTCGGTAGGTATTTATTTACAATTTTTATATTTATACAATTAAATTAAATCAACGAACAATACAATAACAACAAAAATTATATTTCAGTAGTAAGTAACAAAATTGACACGTATAATAATAAATGTGCCTTATATAACTAAAACACCTATAGTAAAATACTCTACAACATATTAAAACTGGATACAATAATTAATTACAATAATAAACAAGACCTAATTCATCTAATCTAAATGTAAATACATTACAAAAATATCTAATGCTAATCTTCAGATGATTCCTCATCATTACTCTCCAATCCGGTAGAGTCTTGACAACACGTAATCCTCCTCATCAATTTCGCGAACTGATGATAACTGGGATGGTAAGGAAGGTGGGATATTCAACTGCAGAACCTCCGCTGGCAAAGCAGTAATCTTCTTTCTCGGTAACTCTCTAAGTGTTGATTACAGGATCGGACGTAATTGGGAGCATTCTCAAAAGATCTGTATTCGTGTCAATACGTGACTGCTTCCTAGTGTGTCCCTCACGGAATCTACGTCAATCTTTATTTCTTGCCTCCTGGGCTTCTTCGAAAAGCTGACAAATAGGAAGAAGGCAAGATTTAATGACTTCCGTACTGTGTACAAGAATATTATGCACAGTAATGGGCATGGAGTACCACGAATACAGATTAAGGTATAATTTTCTTGTTTCAACGCAAAACTTTTCGAATTCTAAACTATTTGTCGTATCCCGATGACAAATTTCTTAACATTACATGAAATCTTTTAATAGGACTTACGTCTAATCCTCTTATTTCGTTACTCAATTCAGCATTAGGAAAAAATCTACGTGCTGTGTTTCCATCATTCGAGTTGCCATACGATCCCCCATACGATCTCTAAGCATTATTTGGATCTCTTGTGAGCGGTGCTTCATTACAGCTTTATCGTTGTCTACTCTGACTTGCCACTTTTTTATTTCTAAACGATAGCTAATGTGAAGCATACATTCAAAAGTGCGGATCCATGCATGTAATAGATAAACCAAATTCATAGCGCTCTTTGTTGCTGGGATAATTCCTCGACTCCTTGTTCATAGTAGACGGAGTAGCACCGCAAATATAACACTTTTGTGTTGAACGTGTGTCCGTTAAAGCGTTACACACTTTACCATCAGTCATCGTCAACAATAAGTAGTGTGTAACAAAAATTTGAGATCCATCAACGTTACATAATGTTGGAAGAAGCCGACTTATTTCATGTAAAATTTTAGTAGTTTCTTCTTTCGTAAACTCATTTGTCTCCTTGGCAAAAATAAACCAGATAGGACGGCAATATAAGGTTGAACAAGGTCGTGGATTTTGCCAGATCACAATTTCTCCGTCATGAAGTCTCACGCGGACAAATGAGTATACAAACAGAAATTCGTCTGTATCCCTAGTGTTCTCAAACTGGTAAACTCCCATCACAATCCCATTTGCTTACCAACGTATACGATGAACGAGGTAACACACTTCTAATAACTTCACATTGAGCTTCAACTAATCGTTCAGCCGTTTTATTCAAAATCGCCTGAAGTTTAATTTCAGCTCGAGATTCAGTGACAGTAATGTGTTCGTCAGAAGGACAACAAGAAACTTTGGATTTACCTAAACTGTAGAATGATGCACTTGATGTCCCGCCTTCATTGACCACTTCCTAGTTTGCTTATATGAGTGACAAGTATATTTGGAGTCTACGTAATAAGCTAACGCTTCGTCTGTCGTTCTGCCTACTTTGTTCAGAACACTTATTATTTTTTGGACTTTCACCGACTTCTTTGATTTGTTTAGCAACACTTCGGTGCCCTTCCTTCCTAGTAGCTAATTCCGCGGCTATAGTTAGCTCACTTGCATTCCGAATTTCTAAAAGATCTTCTACTCTACGTCTCTTCGTTTTCAGCGATGAGTCGTTAAAGGATTTTTTGGGTCTGCCTACAGACCCAAGTCCTGATGATGTTGAAGGCTGCGGCTGGTGTGTACATACATTCATTACTATTCCCAAAGCCTCGAACCAATTTTTATGTTTGGTTAAAAACACTTCTTTATTAGATTTAGATGAAGTCCACTTTTCATTTAATATCGCGGAAAGACTTGAGATTTTCATCTTCAGGTTTTTCAGTGATTCGTCAGAAGCATGTTTTTCATATATTATATAATAAAAAATGCGACTTTCTTGCATTTTTCTCATGTCTCAGACATTCTTCGAAAAGTTCCAATTTCGTCACAGTAATGACACGTTCTGAAAAAATTACAATAATTTACTTGCGGGACTTTTCGGGCTCTGAAATATATACCTAAGTAAGGTAAAATTAGCTGTCAGCTATTCCAGATATTTGCCGAGTACACAAAAATTACCAGTTTATTGCGATTTCGGTGAAGTACCTATGCATAGTAAAATTGGTTTATATTGGTATTCACCAATGTAGTCTATTTTAAATAAAATACTAAAATTAGACCGTTTACAGCCTCAGTGGCTGAACGGTTACCATCCTGGTGTGCCATGCAGAGAGAACCATGCCCATAAGTAGGAATTTTATTGAATAAATCGAAAATTAAAACGTTTACTTCAAAACTAACTGCAGAATTATCTAAAATTAGTACTTATACTGTCATTTAATTAGTGTTATTTATGTTATTTAGCGCCAATACATTTTCGCAAACGTAAAATAAAATAGACTATGGTAGGCATTCACCTATTTAAACAAATTTCACCATAATCGATTTTAAATATTGCTTTTAACTAAATTAAACCCAAAGATGTTTGGAGAAATCATTTTTTTGGCTGTTGATCGTTAGGGCGCGTTCAAATTAGCCGCTGGTAGACGCGCTGTAGCCGCGCGGCAGTCGCGCTACAGTCACGCTCGGTTGCAGTCACGATTAGTGAGGTGTGTACATGTTAATTTTTCAAATTAACCACGATGAAACTCCAATTGAAGAATTTATAGAGAATGTAAAACAACACACTTCAATATGGAATAGCAGTTCCGCCAGTAATTCCAATCGACTGGATAAAAAAAAGGCATGGGAAAATTTACGTCTAAAATTTTTTGACAATTTTGAAACTGAAACTACAACTGAAAAAAATATAGTAGGTGAGTCATTTTTAATACATATATGTGAAGTGTGTACCCCAAGAACTACGTAAAAGTAATGTTCTTCGTCAGAATCCATCGCGTAACTGAGTCGAAAGATAAAACATCACTAAAAATTTGGTCGCACTTCAGCAGCGTGACGACCGCGCGGCTGCAGCGCTTCTAATAGCGGCTAATTTGAACGCGCCCTTATAGTGTAGGTACATGTTTTTTCTTCTAGAAGCTCACGATTTGGTAGGAATGGGTAATATAGCTTTTTCTGAATATCGTATCGAAACTATATATCAATATTCGAAATCGGATTTCGAAACTATATATTCATGGACATACCCCGCGTGCGCGCTGCGTTGATACATTGCCGTTACTGATATGCGGAATCAGATTTCGAAACTATATATTATTGGATACAGTTCTACAAGAGTAATGCGGGCAATGTTAGTATACAGTTTCGAAGATGCACAAAAAACGGTTTCGCTTTGGTATCCACTCAGTGAATATATAGTGAAAATCTGATACGAAGCAATATCAGTATATAGTTTGGAAATTATATGATTTCGTGTTGGTATCCACAAGGTAATCGCTCGGCTTGATTCGGCATCGCTATAAAATACGCGATGCGGTGCAATATCGATATATAGTTTCTAAGATATACGATATCGGAGTTGCGATATTGCCACAATATATAGTTTCAATAACTACATATGAGTTTGTAACGCCCACTCCTACGATTTGGTCGAATGGACAATCGAGCGTTTTCGAGCATTAATGTTTGATCAAACGGCATACGATCTTAAGAAGGGAACACGTACAACCAAGATTCTAAGATTCTCCGATAACCTATCTTTTGAATAAGTGAGCGATTAATTGTAGAAGTTACTACTAGCGTCTAGAACCGACTTTTTCTAGGCACTATCGGATCTAAGCTAGACATTCCTGTTTTTAAAATTGACGCATTTGTGCTACAGGAATAAGATTATCCTAGTGTGAAAAACTTACTTTTTTGTAACCGGAACCGACCAAAATTACAACTGTTTACCTAACCAATTAAATTTAAAATACTCTATTTTGGTGACGCTGAAATATCACACGCGAATACATTGGGGAAGGCGAACATATTGGATATACATTTAATGATTCCGAGCTGCAAACAAACATGATTTTTATAAATGATTCGTCGAATTTCTTATCTAGCCCTATTTTAAATATTACATTTAGTATTTTGTCTGTTTCAGGCAATCAAATTCTCTATCCTACTACCACAAATGCCGCATATCAAACAATTGGTGTAAGGGAATCTACAGAAACAGGGTAATTAAATCATATTTATAATTACTGAATACCTCAGTTACGAAAAATTTTATTCGTGCCCTATGTACGCTGAAAAATGTATCCCAGTATGCACGATAATTTTAGATTTCAATGTTTTTTTCAACAATTTCTATGTTAGGAAATGAAACTCCCGTGGTCACGGTTGACCATGGGACCTGTTGGTTTGTTTGAAAAAACAAATATGTACGCGGTTTAAATCCGGAAAAATATGTAGTTTCATTTCCTATGTGTAACAATCGCGAAAACCTAAGAACTCAAATTTCTATATTAACTACATCACGATTATATGCCACGCAATCAAATCAATATTGTTTAGTTCAAAACCAATAAGAAACCTGGCAGCAATGGCGCCTTTATTACATACTTTCATTTGTTTTGTTCTTTGATTTGAATACGCAACTTTCACAAGTTTTTTGAGATATTCCAATCTGGCGACCCAGAATAGCCAACAACTTATTATTAGTCCGTCTAACCTTACCGACTAATTAAGTTGTCATATTTTCAGGTAGTGATATACCACCACACAAAGTACATGCCATGGATGTACTTTGATTCTCATGAGATGTTCCTGGCTGTCGGGTCAGAATTGCGTTGTTACACCACCGACAGGAAGGGCATACCGATGTGCAAGTCACCCACTTGGAAAATTGACGTGCCAAAAGTCAAAAGACACGACGTACGCACCAACGATATTTCCAGATTTGTTATGAAAGGTGGAATCGTAGCTTGTGGAAACAGGTATACAGCCCGCAACCAATTTTAACCAATCAGTGTAGTTTTAGAACAAGTCGCATTTTTTCTTCCTTTTTTTTAGGGATGGCTGCGTCGCCATATATAAACAAGATTACCCGCGCCAAAAGCCTCATCTGATGCACCACATTAAAGATTGCCACGAGAATGGTAGAGTTGAAGTATCTGCTGTGGAAATCATCGGCGAAGCAGACTACTGCTGCGTGGTGACTGCCTCTGGCTACAGCTCCACATTGGTTATGTGGAACTTGCGATCTGACCACCCCCGATTTAATGGATTTACACGAAATCCAGAGGCTGACGTCCTATGCGTAGAAGGCGAGTATTTGTTTTTCGTATCTACTTCTATAGACCTCTCTTATTCTTCGTCTTGAGTTTTTGCTGCAAAAGCCATATAAAGATTGTTTGTATTTATGATTTTATGTACAGGTCGTAGGAGGATCCGCACAGGTTTTAACGCGGGCTTAAAATGTTTGGCAGTTAACAGGATGGAAAGTAGACTGGCCATGGGATTAAATGGAAACAGCAGGCCGATTGTGCTTGATATTGAAACGTACGTTGTGTTTCCATCTTATAAAAATCGCTGTAGTCATTAGTTCATGAACATTGGGAAAGAAATTTCAAAAGCTCGTCGTTCATATGCCGGTTTTAATTTATTGAATTATTTTATATTTTGAATGCCTATATCGAACGAATATTTCAGAGGCGAGTTGTTATTAACTGCCGAGAGAACAAAATCTGTGAGACAAGTAACACGAGATATACGCTGGCACAATGAAAACACTGTTGTGTTCGTCACTCATGCTGGTCAATTGCAAATGATCGACGTTAGGACGGGACTAGTGGTGAGAATCGTGGATATCTCATTCTGTCGTGATGTAATGTTAGTTTGCCAATTTTTTTATTTATTATTTCAATCTAAAGACAATTTGCTTGTCTATTTTTTGCCACTTTGCTTTAGGTGTCAATATATTGTTCTTTTTATATGACATTTTATTGGTCAATAATATTTGTGACTATTCTCAAAAATATAATCGTACCACCTGCACCTTTGGTTTGCTAATGTTAAGAGGAGCTAGGATTGTGATATATTGGGGTAATATGTAAGCAAGTTCTAATTTAACTATAACTTTGTTTAGGTATGTTAGTAAAAGTCTAATCGCCGAAACTGTTTCAGGCCTACGACGCGAAGGATCCGTTCCTGTCAACGCTATATTGCGTGAAAACAGATGCTCACAACACTCTGCTCGTTGGTGCAGCCGAATATTCGCGATGCGTGCTATTTGATGCGCGCAACAGCGATAGCCATGTGCAGGTAATGATATCGTAAAGATCTGATAAATATAAAATATAAATGTTATTTTATATGATTCGTAACGCCCATAATCCTGATAGATGGCGATAATGGAGAATAAAAGGACCATACTTCTACGCTTCAGAGATACCAGACGAAATGTAATTATTTTTCTTCCAGATGTATTTCACACAAAGGAAATCCTCACCAATTTACAGCCTGGACTTCGACTCGACGAAACTGGTCGCCGCCGCCGATCAGAGCGTGGGACTCGTGAATTACAACGTGAACATAGCAACTGCCCGCCGCAGGGATTACTCTCACGCATTTGAGCTTGTAGGCTTCGGACGTTAAACGTATACATTTCCATTGCGCGTGTTTTAAACATGCGTTCTAATCTGTCATAAGATGATTGTTCATTTTCACTAGATCCTTAAAATGTATAAGGGATTTTAACTGGGATACTTTAAAAGTAAAATAGATAAGTAACAGTAGTCGTAATTATATAAAAATCATAAATAAGTCCTTAATAACATAGTATAATAAGATAAGACAGGTAATGTAACTCCATAAAACGTTGTAGGTACAGCGAAAACCACGCTAACACACCTATATCAGTATATGTTTTTAACATGTGTGGAATTATGCATCTGTCTGTCTAATCATTACTGCTTCAGCTGCTTTAGAACCGAAGATAATTTTCATGTATTAAATGATATAAGGTATAGACACGTATTCAATTTTGTATGTCACACTTAAAATCCAAATGTAAAGAAATACAACTTCAATTGAATTATTCAAACATTGAGAATTCTAATCTGTATTATGCAAATGTGAGTACTGATTGCATTGCAGTATATTATTACATAAGACCGAATTAAAATATATAAACTATACTATATATAACTTGTTATTAAAACAAAAAAAAATAATGCTAGAAGGTGTTCGTAGATTGTTGGTTTTGTTTTTTGTGTAATTTCTAGTAGTTTTAATAGACAACTCGTTGGATTTATTTCAATATTTAGTCACCAGCACGCTTTCACGCTGTGGAAATTAAGCTATTTATAATAAATCATTTACCTCTCGTAGAATTTAATGTGACAAATGATACAATTAGCTTTTATTATTTCCTGTTCATTTGTGTAAAATTAATTGCATTGACCTAATGATTAAATGTAATCATTGATTAACTACACTATTGCCAATGCAATTCTTTTTTTAGGAAAAGTAATTCCTTTAAAACTAGTACACAAAAAAAATTGTGATCACTAAAAAATATGAATTTTTCAAATCCAATTTTCTCTAAACACAAATTTCAGACTTGAGGCGTTGTTCACGATGGGTACAAAAACTAACCAGTGCGGCTTGTATGTTTGCACGCCGTATACGGACGCGCACATTCGTATAATTTCGAGGTGGTCTGGGATCCGTGTGGACATAAAATCCACATAAATCCCCTCTGAACGGAATGTAATTGCATAACGCGAGTCGCCTTTCACTATAGAATTGAAGTTTTGACTTGGTGTTTAAATTTTGGTTACAAATTTATAATTTTTTGATTTATAATGTATCTATCGTTATGTCTACCTATACAAACTCGCATCCCATTTCTATTTTATGATCATACTCCCGTAATCGAAGTTAGTGGTATAAATAATAATCTAACCTCCGGTTATAAAAACCGACCTCAAAAGTCATTTATCCCCTAGTTTACCACCCTTAGAGGTGGAATATTTTCTTCAAATTTAAATGGGACCACTTCTGAGGAACCCTCTTTCCAACAAAAAATAATCATCAATATCGGCTCACAATTGGCCGAGTTATCGCGTAACATACATACAAAAAAAAACATGCAGACGAATTGAGAACCTCCTCCTTTTTTGGAAGTCGGTTAAATATGTAATAATAATGTAAAATACTGCATTTGACAAAGATTATTTCAATATAGAATGAGAATATTCCGATGAATACCTGTAGGTATCTACAGTCAACAGCACATCAACATGAATATCGCCTCTGGAGCAATGGGTCAAGTCCGTTAATGTTTAGTCGATGATATTATACTTGTAACCCTTCGTTTAAGCATTGACGCGCCGTCGCCGAACAGTAAGAAGTTGTACTACTTGTCTTATTTATACTATGTTAATAACTAACGTCAATAGAGCTACATAACCACATAACAGTGTATTATGGCCAAAGAAGAAAGTTAAAACGATGGATAAATCCTAACACTACTTCCAGTATATGAAGCCTATTTGACTTTTATTCCATGACAACAATTGAACATTTTATCGAATACTTTTAATGTCTTTATAACTACGTTTAAATGTAAGCACACGTTTTGGAATTTCGTAATTGATGAAAATAAAGTACCGTAAATTTGTAATGATTATAATTTTTGATATCAATTTTTAATAATATATTTATAATGGAAGAAGAGAATGAATTTACTACCACCTGAACAAGAAATCTAAGGTGTTAACTGTAATGCGAGGGACTTAAGAGGGGCCTACTATTCAAATAGATATTTTTTTTAACGCAATCATAAAACACTTTTGTGTGAATTATTTAGTACTTATTATAATAATAATAGGATGTTAACTGTGTTAAAAATAAATTACACGCATATAATAGGGATTTCAATAATAGATAGAGCCTTAGGCTCATTATTTTTCTGATTCAACTGATATTGATGTAAAATAAAAAATGGTAAAATAGGAAAAAAAAGCATAAGAAGTAATATAATCCATAATATTGAGTACATATACGATACCTCTCACATAAGTTGTAGTAAGTCAAAATACCATTTTTTACTTTTTAACTTAAACATAATCCTTTCTTATGTGTATTATAGGTTCCATATATAAAAGTACAGAAATCACTTAGTGTTATGTTTACTTTCAAACATGATACGGTTGATATACATAAAAAAAGATATATTCAAGTTAAAATGCAAAAAATGGTATTTTTTGACTAACAACAAATTACGTGGGAGGTATCCATTGACTTACAATGGAGGTATCGTATTAATAATATAATCGAATCAAGTGAACAGATCTCGGTGTAACGTAGTTATTTCTCCATGTTCGTTATTCTACTGAGTCGACTAAAAAATGTTTAAATAGGAAAAAACTATAACAATAAGAAGTAATATAATCCATATTCAATTGAACAGATCTCGGTGTAACATAGTTATTTTCTTTAGGTATTCTCTATGTTCAGTATTATACTGATTCAACTTATGACTTTAAAACTGAACTTCGACTCACGCGACTCCGACAGCATGTTACATCGACATGATTTTACTCAGACACTACGCTACTCCGACAACATGTTACATCGAGATGATTTTGCTCAGACTGTTCGTTAAAAAATCTTTGTACTCTGATAATAAGAAAAATTATCATTACAAACTCACGTAAGAAATGATTTCTTATATCGATCACTATGACAAAAAAAGGACAATATTATGTAATCGGAAATTTATTTTATTAAAATACAGAGTTTTTATTAAAACGGGACAGTTGCAAAAAAGCAAAGTTGGCCAAATTAAATAATAAAAAAGTTTCATTAACAATGAATAACATTTTATTAAATTTGACGAACTTCTGGTGTCCCAGTTTTCTTCGTCCCATAAAATAAAATAATCCCTTCGTAACTCTGAGTCGTTCAGCACTAAAAAAGATTTTGATCAATTTTATTTGTTTTATGGGCAATTCGCGCTTGACCAAAAAATTTACTATGTCAAAATTGTTTTCCCAAAAAAAGACGACTTTATGGTTACTAAGATAGTTTCGTTGTATCTTCTATGGTTTCGGATTTCCCCAATTGTCCCATTAAAAAAAACACTGTATTTTGTTTCACAAAAAAAATTATTAAAATAAAATATACTATTTGAAAAGTCCAATCCATTATCCAAAATTGTGCTTCGAAAAGCAGTTTCAAATTTTCTTCCGTCCCGAAAATAATAATTTATGTTTTTCTGTTTACTGCTTTTTTTTACTTTTTTTTACCGGATTTTGTACATACATGAAATAGTGTAGAAAAAATTTATATTTTAATTTAATATTTTTTTGTTACACTATATTCAACTAATAAAAGAATTTTTCCATTATATGATTTTGATTTTTTCTTTTTTGTTATATTGGTCGATATACTCGTATAATAAGAAACCATTTCCTAGATGGGTACAAACCCATTACAAAATGATGATTTTTCTTAACAGAGTACAAAGATTTTTTTTAATAAACACCTCGTCTGTGTTGTGGATGTAGCGTAGTGTCTGAGTAAAATCATGTCGATGTAACAAATTGTCGGAGTAGCGTAGTGTCTGAGTAAAAGAATGTCGAAGCAACATATTGTCGGAGTAACGTAATGCCTGAGTAAAATTATGTCGATGTAACATGTCGGAGTCACGTGTGTCGAAGTTTAGTTTTAGGGTCGTATTCCAGAACTCTACTCAATGCCCAAGTCGGGATCTGAGTATGATTTCAAGCACTGGAAATACGACCCTAATGGTAAGGACTTGAGTATGATTTCTAGTGCTTTGAATCATACTCAAGTCCTGACTTAAGCATTGAGTAGAGTTCTAGAATACGACCCTAAAACTAAACCCTATAGGGTCGTATTTCCAGTGCTTGAAATCGTACTCAAGTCTGCTCAAATCCTGAATTGAGCATTGAGTAGAGTTCTGGAATACGACCCTTAGAGTCGTATTCTAGAACTCTACAAGTCAGGACTTGAGTATGAGTTAAAGCACTGAAAATCATACTCAAGTCCTTGCCGTTAGGGTCGTATTTCCAGTGCTTGAAATCATACTCAAGTCTGCTCAAATCCTGTATAATAATAATATAATCCATACTCTTCAGTACATATGTAATAGAATCAATTAAACAGTTCTCGGTGGTAAGTAGTTGTTTTATTCCCTGTGTTAACTTTTTTACTATTTTTGGATTGCAAACAATGTTAGTACATTAGTAGCATTCCATAGGGAATAAGTACAAAAACACCCCGTTGGGATGTAGCAAATACATAGTTGGTTCTCTCTAATATAATAATAAGTAACAAAAACAAACAGACTTTAAAGTAATTAATTTACAGAAAGTTTAAAGGATGGAATAGGAGAATCCATGAAGTCTCTCACACAGTGGTACAAAGTTTTACACTTTTGGCTTTACACAACTATTTGAATTTCGAATAGTAGAATATTTTTTAAACATAGTAGGTTCATAGTACCTTATTTTTTACATTCTTTAATGAACTAAATAAATTTAACAGTTGGTGAGAGTCAGAATGGCGGGTGTATCTTAACGGATCCTGATAAATTTGGTATTAAACAAATGTACATAATTTGTACTATTTAGTTTAAATAATTTGTACCTTCATCAGAACGAAGTTATAGCAATATCAAAGGTACACCAGCCGTATTGACTGTCAATATTATGGCGAGTGTACCTTGGATTACCAGTATTTATTTAATAACTATAAAAACTTCTTATGCCAAAAATTTGTACCCTAATGGTACACAAGTAAAGAAAACTCCAGCTGGATCTGCTGGTTAGTTTCTGAGAAATAAAACAAAATAAATATGTTGAGATTTCAGAGTGCCGTGTGCATCTTAACGAATCCTAACAAATTTGATACCAAAAAAATGTACCAAAATTGTACTTTTTAGTACTTATTCTTAAAAAATGTGTACCTCTATCGTAAAGAAGATAAAGCAGAATCAAAATTGTAAATATTTTCGTATTTTTTTTAAATCAATTTCCGCCATTAAGGTTCGTATTCCAGAACTCTACTCGATGCTCAAGTCATGACTTGAGTATGATTTACAGCACTCGAAATCATACTCAAATCCTTGCCATTAGGGTCGTATTTCCAGTGCTTGAAATCATATTAAATCATATCATATTCCCACTAGAATACGTATTTCAATATGTTAATAATTATATTATATTCTTTCTCTATCTATTCTATTTCTATATCTATTTTATTCTTTGCTTTGGTAAAAGGTCAGTTATCTACTGCATTTTTACATGGCACATTAGAATTAGTTAAAAATCCAACTTTGATTTCCTAGGTCAGTTTTGTCCCACGAATATTATGTACGATGCAGTAAAACTATTTCCGGAAATCCCGAATTTGAAAAAGTAATCAATTAATTGTTGGTGGTTTTAATGAATGTTGTTTGATTTAATTTAATTATTTTAATTCTATGTCGCTTTTTGTGGCTATATTGTACACAATATGTTCATGTATCTATGTATGTGGAACACGCATGGAACACGTTTTTCCGTTTCCGACTATTGCATGAAATAAACTATATTTAAGGATACGCGCTTCTAACCTTTTCAATCAAAATAAGGAAAGATACTGACATATAAAGTGGCTGTATGGTTTCCACCATTTTTCCACCTTTGCCTAGTTACCCAATTAAGGACTATCCGCATACATCAGGACCGTGCCAGAGACGTGGACGGGGTGTGCTAGTTTGTATGAACTACAGGCCCGTCCCGGCGCAGCCGGGCCCGGACACGAGACATGTGTGAATAAATTCATACAAAATGTACACGATATTTTTTTGAGCCCCTGATAGAGCACGCCTCGGCTACATCCCGGGCGCGGCCCAAATACTTACGTGTGGATAGACCTTTAAATGACGAAAATTTATTTGAAAAAAAATTACGAAAATATTTACAATTTTGATTTCGCTCTAACTTCGTTATGATAGTGGTACAATTTTTTTAAGAATAAGTACTAAATACATTTATGACTGAATAGTACAATTTTGGTACATTTTTTGGTACCAAATATGTCAGGATTCCACACAGAGGCGGTACAGCTGGAAAAGTGGTCCGGAGGCGGACCTGCGGGAAGCGAATGCGTACCAGGGCGTGCCACACACACACAGCAGTCCCAAGAGTCGTTCGCGGCGGAATAGCGGCCCGAAGGCGGCCAGTATGACGCCAAAAGCGGTCACGTTTTATTTTCAATACAGATTAAAAGATTAAACAACATCGCTGTTGGATAATGATCAAGACAATTTTCTGCTTTTATTACCGTTACGGAAGAAACAAAAAAAATCTGTCCAATTATTATTGGAACTTAATAAAAACCATAATATAAAAACACACTTAACGGTTGTAATAAAATACAACATCAAAATCTCACCTAAAGTCCACTAAACTATAACGAGGCTGTGACAAATATCCGTTTTAAAAAGATAGAGTACAAAATTCTCTTATAATTAAAATTTGTTAACGTGTTCGACTTATCGGAAGTTACCCGATGCATAGCTGAAATATCAATATACAATTTCAATATCACTGGGTTATGATTTTTTACCTTAGACTATTTCCTTTATTTTTTTCCATCTTCTAAGTTTTTTATCGATATCTCAAAAAAATATTCTGTCACTCAACTGCGTTTTAGTTTTTTATTACATTCTCTTGAACTCTTAGAGGATGGAAAAAAATTATCTAAGGTTGAATTATAAAGTTTTTTTCATCGAAAGACAAAGTCAGGTGCACCACAATCCATCGTCAAATCGGATTTCAAAAACTTTTTCCACGCTTTTGCGGGCAGATTCCTAATGAGAAAGAAGGTGAAAAAATAATTACCACCAAAACAAAGTTCTTAATCTAGGTAACTGGAAAAGCATTGGGAAGTGTAAATAGTATAATCACAAGTATAAATTAAGTAAATGCGGAAATGAAAATAAATATAATTTTAATGAAGAGCTTTACAGTACTCTACTTTTGTATATACTCTGTGGTGAAAATGAAAAATTGTCAATGTCAATGTCAATTAAAATTGTCATTGTGATTTGACCGTTTGGCCATCTCTCGCGAAATGCGGGAACCGGGAGGTGCCGGGAAAGATTGATTCGTTTTTGACAGATTTTTGGCAAGAATATTTTTTGTTTTGTTTCAAATACAGCCAAATATTTAAACATGGAGCAATAAATAACTCAAATTAGTGGTCTTCTTCGCTGAAACCAATCTGTCCACGTATTTGCTCGCTGTACGATGTTTAAAAGAAGAATAATCAACATATTGCGTACGGCTTATCGATTGCACCTTGTTGTCGCTCCCAGGATACGGTATTACGCTCCTATTAGTGTAGGATTAATAACAGCAGCATATTGTGATGAAAATAGGAAACATTTTACATGGGAAGATATAACCCTGGATAGATTGGAACACGAGTTCTTGATTCGCCAGGCGACTACAGTGAACGTAAATGCTGCTACCCAGCTGTTAACTGTGACATTGGTAGCTATACAAGACACTAGTGAAAGGTATGTACCATTTCATATCTCTTCAATTTGGAATGGATTGCTTTTATTTGCTTCATAACATGTATGATAAATAACCTTACTTGCACTCGGGAACAATCTAGAACTTTATCTGAACATGTGAAATATTTTACAGATTGAGAGAAGCTTTGTCTAAGGAAATATGTTTGGTGAAACAAGCTCTTGAATGGGGAGATGACGGCACCCCCCCACACCACTGGGACCAGCTGGTAGCTGTGCGTGGCTCTTTGTGTGACCTTAACCACAATCTAAGGACCCTCATTAGTGAGTAAATAAAATGTTAAATAATGTAGGTAGGTACTTAAATTTTCCTTATTCAAAACAAATATTCCTCATATTTGTATTATTTGTTTATCATTAGGAATGGTGCAGTTTTTTTTATTATTTGACACACAAGTACAATTAGTATGAGTTGTTGTATGCCTCATTTGCTTGAGTCACCCGAGTTAGATATTTTAAAGTGTAGGCCAATCTAAGCATGATTATTAATGAAACACCATTTTACTCTAATGTGAGGATGGAAGGAATGGTATGTAATGTTGGTTCTATACAGAGGTTACATATGTAATGTCAGTTTTATACATTTATATACTTACTTTGTAGGCTACATGGACTATGCTGAAAAATTAGCAACAGTAGCTGCTGAAATTTCTTACCTGTCTGGGAATATAGCAGCATCTGATGCAATTTGCGAAAGGATTGACCATGCATGCAGGTACTGCACAAAATTATAAGCAAAATGTGTATAGCCAAAAAATCTTTATTAAATCAAATCACAACTATAGAGTAAAAAAAATACAACTTTTTATCTCATAGATGCTCATGAAAGTGATATAATTAAGACTTAGCACAGATGTTTGACAATTGATTCTCATACTTAATTACATCACTACCCATGAATAGTTAATCAAAATAGCTCCTAAAGGGGAGTACCAGAACGTTTTTCGAAGACATGAAATTGCAGTGCTTAGATTATAAAACGATAATAGTCACCACTTTTGACTTATAACTTTGTAATAGCATTTAACAAACTTATACAATTAACTAAATTTATTTAACTTAAAAGGTCTCCAATCTTATTTATGTACTGTGTTATGTTTAATGTAAACAAAATAATTTGTACAACAATCAAGTTACTAAACTGTATTATTATTTTAAAATTATCTCTCCAAACCAGATCTTAAATAGAGTAACATAAACAGTGCTTGATCACAAAAAACAAATAACATCAAATATTAAAAAACTTTTGACTGTGAGACCGTACCTAATTTGGCATCGTCTTCAGAATAAGAATAATCAATATAATAAACTAATAATAATTACATTTGATTGACATTTACATTTGATTGCAATAATTAAATAATATGAATATATTATTGGATATTTTAGAGATATTAAAAATAGGTATGCTACAGTTTCTGATAATTAAAAACTTATATTAAACTTAAATTAAGTAATTAATGATAATTTCTGCGTCTTAAGCAGGTCGAGACCATGTGATTGCTGTATCAACTTTAGATTATATTACGAAAAATAATAAAAATGACATATTTATAATAGATACCATCAACAAAATGTTAGGAATTACAACCCAAAGTATAGGAATCATAAACATCAAAACCAATTTTTTTAATTTTTTTATAGTTACTGCCTATCGGCTAAAATATAAGACTGCCAGTTAGCTCAAGCAAGGCTGCATTATTTTATTTTATATATATTTTTTACCATTCAGTGGCCACCAGTTTGTATTAGTATTTGTTCGGTAACTATTTTGGCACATGGAAATCCTTTTGCATCATAAAATAGATGGGTTAAATTTTTATTGTTTCAAATTAGAGTACTCAGGCCATAAAGAGTATCAAATGGAAAACACTAAAACTGGTAGCCAAAGACTTGCCAATGTCAAATTTCCCTCCCACATACCAGAGCCTGGGGGTCTACTCTCGATCTCCGTCCGAAACAATTACTGCCAAATAATCAATACTTGACCAAATTAAAAGACGCGTAATGGGAATGAAGCTTCATACTGGATACTTGTCTTTTAATTTTGTCGAATATTACTTATTTGATAGTAATTGTTTCGGACGGAGATCGAGAGTAGGCCCCAGAGACGACTGAAAAGAAGTTTTGTTGCAGGACATGTAATGTGCAAAAGCAATTGACACATGATCTACAGCAAGAGAGCCTGCAGCTGCAGCAGCAGGCAATCATCACTTCGCCGCAATTAGAGGAAAAATTAAAAGTACCAGATTACAACAAAGGCAAACCACATAAAAATATACCAAATCCTAATATCGCAGTGCAATAGAATACAGATTAGTTGGTGTATAACTAAAATTATAATTCAAATTTTTAATTTTGTAACAGACACTTTGCAATATTAAGAAGATAGATATTAAGAAAATCATAATTAATTATTTTGTAGTTTTATTTCTATACTTCATATTTTAATGAAACTTGTACACAAATATTGAAATGTTTTACTCCATGAACACTAGTGTAATTAAAACCTAAATTGTGTACGCACACAATACCTACCACAATCTAAATTTCAGGGAATGTATTATCGTTTTCTTATGTACTTCAAAATGCAACTCTTGCTTTTAAACTTTAGGGATTTTCAATTGTTTGCATAAAGTTGCGTACGGAAAGTAAAAAATAATTTTGTTATTTCTGTCTGAATACTGGTAGAGAATAATTAGAGCTTCAGAACAGATTTATATAGTTATTCAGGTTGGATAAATTATTCATAGAAACCATATAGAAACGTACGAAAACATCGTTTGGCAATAAAAAAGAACAAGTCATTGTGTGACTTATCTGTTTTTGTTTCGACGCTCCTATTGAGGACACGCTATAATCAGAAAAAATTCTTTATCAACTTCAAGAACAAAAAATACGTAACAATCCCCGCTATTTAGTTTGGCTGATCGATGATACGCTGATGTATTAATAGAAACCTCTCGCCAATACATGTTAAGCTCCGAAAGGGCAAATATACAAAATGACTGTAGAAGCTGAAGTAAGGCTCTAATTATATTGCGGCGGATCGGAATGGGAGCGAATTTTTGTAACGATATTGTGCAAAGCGTAATGAACTTTATGGTCAATTGCGTAGGCATATAACGTGGAAACTAGATACGAGCTTATAAAGGAGTGAATGCAATTTTCTTTTATGTTCACCAGGTGAATTAGGTGAATAAAGTTTACTTTTATGTTTATCTAAGCACCCAGGTGATTTAAGTTTACTAAAAGTGTACTTAATGCACCTAGGTGAATTAGTTCGATTAAGTTAACGCACCCCAAAAATTCTAGTGCATGCTCGAGAATGCTCTCGTCTCGTTCGTGAGAATTCGACTGCGACTCCGCGGGAAGTAGCGCGAAGGCAGGCGCAGTGTGACCTGCGCGAATGCTAGAGCATTGCAGCGACCGCGCGCGTCTTCTCGCGCAGGGAAGCGAAATTGACGCTTCCGTTCCATTTCGTTCCGCCGTAAAGTAAATAGAGCCTAATTTGAGGATTAAATAATATTTCAAGGTACTATACTGAAAAACTCAGTGACCACTAACCCGAGAAGATCGAAAAGTATTCCTCATTACAAAATAGAGCAACAAAATTTAATTTATCCCTATCGGTAAATTTTCTCGTAATAATATAAGAGCTAAGTAATTTTGTAGGACATAAAACAAACTATTTTACTACTTTAAAATAGTATAGTGAAAGTGCGATAGGCGAGAGATTACTTAATAAGACTTAATTTGAGCCATACCTAACCATCATTTGGTCATTTAAATTTTCTTATATCTAATCGGATAGATCTACACCAGAATCTCATGACACAAAATTGAAAAATGAAAATAACAATTTCGTAAATGACAATCACAATAATTTGGGATATCTGACATCACCGGCAACTACGTTTGAATATTTTTGATGCTTTTAATTTTATTGTAAATATACAAAAACCCCCATTTTCAATCAAGATATTTATGTGTGGTTGAAGAAAATATAAAGTATTTATATTACTCATGAACTATTTACATGAATTATTTTCGTCTGGCATGATAAAAATATTATCTAAAATCAATATATAAAAATAAAGATTTTTATTATTTTGAATGAATAAATAAAATATTCTTTATTTATTGCACTTAAAGTAAGCTACAGCACAGAACAGTAATCTTAGTACAAAATAATAAAGTAATGGAAAACAGGCGACCGTACTGCTATGTATATAGCAACTTGTACCAGAACATATAATATATTCAGTAAAACAGGCAACCTTAGGATAGAACTTTAGGGAACGCAGATTCAAAGGGGGATTTTTTATATGACACCTAATAAACTCTGTTAAATTACCATCGCACTACATTACCTTTACAAGATGATACAAAATTACAATCAAATTTATATTTTAAATAATGAGGTTTTTTTATAAAGTAGTATGTAGTGCAAACTGTCGTCACAATTTTATTGGACCGTTCCTCATCCTCCTACTGGGTATTCCCATAGGTAGGATCAAAAAGATAAATATATCCTCGTGCTCGTGCTAATGTACTATTACCTGTATTAACACCCCTTTAACAAGACTCTCGTCGAAGAGTCTTACGTACAGTGAGTGACACACATATTTGACGACCTTGGAGGCCGAACGCTGTGCACTGTGGGCGCTGCATGGGCCCAAGTTCAATTGCCAGTGCGAATTTGGAAAATGAAGTTTTCTAAATTGGTTCTCGTCTGGGTGTTCTAGGTAATGACTCACTTCGCTGCTCTGGTACTCCTAGTACAAGGAATTCCTTAGTTTTCATTTTTTAGTTTCATTGGTGGTTGTCTGGTACATTATTATTATATATAACATGCGTCCGATTTGTCATGAGATTCTGGTAGACCTACACCCACATTAAAATAAACATTGAACATACAACGTTTTAATTACGTAAACCTTATAGCCTGACCACAAAAATAAAAATATTTGACTGGATTCACACATTAAAGCCCTCTTAGTTTGCATTCAACGCGTTAGTTTAACCATTTAACGATGCCAATTTTTAAATTTTTTGGTCAGGGCTGAACCCATGTCTGCCAAGCTAGAATCCTGGACAGAGGATCATTGAACATAATCATACAGTTAGTTAGCTTTGAGGTCGACATTAAGACTGAGATTTATAAAACAAAGTTTTTTTTAACTTTTAGTTTACTTTAAAATGTCTTTCTTACTTAAGCAAATTTCGTTTTGTACATACGAAAAACTTGCTTAGCTCGCCATTTTTGCTTGCAGAAGTCCTCCGTTTTATAAATCTGAGTCTAAAACCTGTGCATTACGAGGTTAGTCGAATTCAAAATAACACTAACTGTATTTTTCTCTTTGTTTTGCACTTTTCATTCAAGTTGCGGCTAAACTTCCAACACCAAAGGTTTTATATTTTCATAAGCGATGAACTAAATTATCTATGTCAAGAAACTGACTAATAAGGTTCCACGGACTGGCAGGCTGATTGGTTAGTGTTTTGACATTTACAATTCATCGAGTTCATAGGTGTGCGCGATTGTTACACATGGGAAATTAAACTATTTTTTTTTCTTCAGATCTAAAAGGCGTATATTTATTTTTTCAAACACACCAACGTTTAGGGAACTGTACAAGAACTCATGGTCAGACCAGACTCAGTCGTACTCATGAACCTGCAAAGGGCCCGCAACGTTGGCCTTGTAAATAAGAAAACTAGCTTAGCTTAGTCGAGTCAAAACCTCGTTTTATAAATCTCAGCCTTAATGTCGACTGTTTACAGGACCCATTGCCAGTCCAGACTCAGCCGTGACCATGGGAACTGTAAATGGCTCGAAAAAATTTTTGTTTAAAAAACAAATATACGCCAATTAGAACCGAAAAAAATGTTTCATTTCCGATTTACAATTTCTTCGAGTGATATGATTGGTACAAGCAGAATAATGCCTATTGTGTGACACGACATTTATGCAAATAGCGACGCAGTTAAAATCAATAACTACACGATGAGGATTCTAACCTTGGAAAACAGGGCTTATACTTACTTTACTACTCATTTGTAATTAGTATAATGAAATTCCTTCTTTTTCATCATTCTTAAATAAAAACCGCCTTTTCCCGAAATCGTAGTACCAACCCGCATTGAATAAAATTACCACTAACGTACATACATCAATATTTTTGTTATATTTATGTTTTTTTAGACACCGATATATACTTGTAATGAACCGTCTACTACTGTTAACACCGATATTACACCTATACTCGTATTCCAGAACTCTACTCAATGCTCAAGTCAGGATTTGAGCAGACTTGAGTATGATTTCAAGCACTGGAAATACGACCCTAATGGCAATGCCTTGAGTATCATTTTCAGTGCTGACTGCAATACTCAAGTCCTGACTTGAGTATTGAGTAGAGTTCTAGAATACGACCCTTAGAATGTGATTAAAATGACTGAATAATTGAACAAAGATTCATCACTACTAGCTATATATAATCTACACACACCGCGCACAACTAGCGGAACAAAAAAAAGTGAAAATATAAAATACTGACGTTTATATTTAAATAAGAATTAAAGTAGTAATTAAATTAAAGTGGACTTAGTACAGCCTTACTCGACCTTTACTGAAAAGATAATTCGAAATAAAACAAAGCGCGTTCTTTTTTATTTTGTCACAATGCAGAAACGGTTGAAAATTTTAAAATGGTACTTTTACTATTTTAATATTTTCAACCGTTTCTGCACATTTTACATTGATCAAATCTAAGTTTTAAGATCGACATGATGCCTATACCTAGCAGTGGGCAATACAGGGCTGAAAATAAAAGGAAACTCATAGTCTAATAAATAATAAAGCTTTTTAACTAAGTTTACGAAATTTAGAAGAATGGAAAATCAACGAACAACAAAGAATATCAATTTAAATTAATAGAATAAAAAATAAACCACGCACCACTAGACAAACCTAATAGGACTAAAAATGAAAAATACAATAAAAAAATTCAATAAACGGTCTGTGTTTTGAAACATTAAATATTATTTGAGGCTATCAGCGCAAAAGTGGTGTAACCTACATTTAATATTTTTTCTACAATATCACTTTAAAATAATAATTATGTACTTTACTATCATTGAAAGTAATTCATATTTCATTTATTAATTGTTTCATGTGGATTAACGAAGGTGTTACATAATGGTATTCTAGCACATGGACCCTGTAAGGGCACTACAATGATAATAACTGAATTTTTAATCTCGTACACAAGCTATGTCATTAATTATTACGATTATGAAATATATTAAAACCAATATAAAAATTTAGATCGCAATAATTAACATTATAAAGCATAAATATAGTGATACAATTTATCATTAACCAATTAACCAATTTATGGCCAAAATTGGATAAAACAATGTTTGACGAAAAGATTAAAACAAATACATAATAATAATATTGTAGCCAAAAGAATTAAATGTGGGTTACACCAGTTTTGCGCTTATAGCCTCATTTATTCGAAATGTGCGGTGTGTGTATTTAGGCTCAGTAAATAATTGACAGTTTATTTCAATTTAAAATTTTCAATATTGCACACGCTTTCCAGTTCAACGCTTACCACAATCCCCACATATCTGGGCCGTGCCCGGGAGGTAGACGGGCCGTGCTCCGTCAGGAGCTCAAAAAATATCGTTGCCTATGTTTTGTATGAACTCGTTCACACATGTCCGTGTCCGGGCCGGGGCGCCGGGACGGGCCCGCAGTTCATACAAACTAACACGCCTCGTCCATGTCCCGGGCACTGCCCTGCTGTGTGTGGATAGGTTCTTAACACAGTTAATTTCTCTTGTTAAAAGAAAAAAACAAGTCACTTGGCAGGATTCTGCCGACTGTCGTCGCGTTACTTGTCATCAGCCTGAGGTACATCCTATCCACGCCGAACATGAGACCATCTTTTATTTTACGATCTCTAAATAGTTACTTTCTTTATCGATTTGATCCTGTATGATGAGGACATTTTGTAATATAGTTGCCAAACAAATACGAACTATAAACTCATAACAAACAGTGAATTTCATGCGTAAATGCTCTTAGCAAAAATTAAACAGTGCCGGCCTATTTTATTTACTGACCGTAGTATAAATGTAATGATGAATCTCATATTTGGTTATAACTATGTGAGTATACTATATAATAAATACCATGAGGCGATATCCGATAACCTGGCGCTCGTCTGTCTCAATACAAGTTCGTCGAGAAATGTGCTGCGCCTTGATCTTTAGTGTGACAGAATCAATATGTCTATTTGTGGAGTCGTCTAATTTAATAGGTATCCAGATTTGTTGTATGCTTGAAATAATTGCAGATGTTTTTTTTGCTTTGCTGCTAAGATTTGCATTTGGTATACATGGTATCGACGATACCTCGCTTTGCATCTATTCGAACATAATCTAATTTGAAATACGTTAGATGACAATGTTGTTACGTAATTATAATATGTATTAATGTGACAAGGGATTCGATCACCAGTTATACTAGTGTCATTTTAGTCGAATCCACAAATAGGGTCAAGTATATTGACAAGTTGACATGCATGTTCCTGGAAAGGAAAGTAGGAGAAAAATTGGAAATGAAATCTGGATACATAGGATGTTTATTAGTAATTAGGTATTTAAATTAAAAGACTTTGGATAGGTGATAGGTTTGGTAAGCGCAGTTGTAATACGCGGGAACCTTAGGTGGTGGCGTCTTTGTTGAGACGCGTTTCGATATCCACGCGGCAGATGGGGCAGTGCTTATTGGTGCTCAGCCATTGGTCGACGCACTCCATGTGGAACAGATGCATGCACGGCAGCCGCCTGCAGAAGACACATGAATTTCATTGCATATTTACCTTTAAAAATGTTATAGTAAGTTCCAAAAAAAAAAAATCAAGACGAAAGTTAAGTGTTTCCTCTAATCTCTTAAAATCCATTAAATCTCTCAGTAATGCTCAGGACACACAAGAGGCGGCCGCGGGAATTTTTGTAATTTACGAGTTTATATAAACCCTGCCACACAGAAGCGCGCGACTGACGCGCGGCCACCGCGCGTTTCAGTGTGGCAGGGTTCATAAGAATTCGTACATTACAGAAATTCCCGCGCCCGGAACGCTTCCGCGGCCCGCCTCTTGTGGCCTATAGTGTTCATAAACGACCAATGTACTAACCGGCAGTCGGAATTGACCTCGAATAATGAGAGGCAAATGGTGCACTTCTCATCCTGGTGCAAAGGCCCAGGGTGTGCGTACATGTGACGGTAAGTGTTCCGCTCGATGACAGCGCGCGTGGCTCCACGCGACGCCGCACGCCTGGCGTCAGCCGCTTCTGCTTCGCGAACCATGGCCGCAACTTGAGCCGCAGCCAGCACTGGTGACGGAGTCTAGCATACAAAGAACATCTAAAATCTCCAGTCCATAGCAATAGTTCTCAGAGTACAGTCGGTGCCTTCACTTAAGTATCCACTATTTGTACTAAGTTCTATACAAATAGTGGATATATAAGTCAGGGCACCGACTGTACTTTCACAAATAATCTAATGTTTTAATATACCGTATTATTCGCTTACGGTAGACTTGCGTTAATACATAGTGGCAATATGTCTGTCTGTCGTATAACAACTTATCCTCACGGAAATTAATAAAGTATGTCAATAAATAGAGTCACCTCACATAAACTATTCATCTATGCAGATACTTATTTGTTCGATATATATTTATCTGTTTACAGGTTGGTATATTTTAACAATTTTCATACGACTAGCTACTTTATTTTACGTATAAAAATCTATTTCTGCTCATTTCATTTCATAGAATTTTGATTTTATGGACCAACATATATATGTTTGCTTTTAACTCGCCTATTTTAACAAATTTTCAGCAAATCGATACTTTTAATTATTATATATAAAACTTTTTTGTACTCATTAAGATGACGGATAAGATACAGACGGACACTATTCGTATAAACAAAAACAAAGAAGTTAAGCTCTTACTTGTTGCTTTCTGTTAACGCGGCGCTCTCAACTCACGGAACAAAACAATCACAAGTCGGTTCTTATTATAGAATCGGTCGTCGATCGTAATTTAAATGATTTTGCAAATCTTAAGTTACAAGTTACAAGTATGCAAAGTGCATCCGCTGCACCCAAGCTGAGTATTGTGAAAATATATCTGTCAGATCACTTATCGAATCACTACTTCCCTTCCGGTGTAACGCATGCGTAATGTTGCCTTTAGTGCATTTTACAGGAGGCTGTAGAGGACATTGCAACCTATGTAGGTGTCGAGTTTAGGAGTGCTATCAGGAACTCTATTATGACGGCATTGGGTTTACGCGCTTTACTATTTCGTGATGTAGTTGTGTTAGCGTAGTAGTGTGAGTGCAATTCAATTACAGATGAGCTTTCACAATGGTGCAGTTGAGGAGATTGCACTAGTGTGTATATTAAAAATAGGCCGTGACCTACTTTATTATAGGTTGAAATACGAGAGATATTGAGCGTTTTTGTGACTTTTCCATAGTAGAGAAAAAAAATTGTATTGTTAAGACCGGTTCCTGTATTATGTGTGACACTGTTAAGCACATGTCACCTTTCTTTCTTATATGCTCCTATAAGCAACTCTAACAAATTACTGACGCGGGTTTTATGCCACTGGCCAGGCTTCTACATTTATACTTTCTATATTTGTTTTTTCGTGCCGACAAACGCGAGGATTGCTAGCAGACAGGCTTTATTAACAGAACTTTACTAAACGAGTGTGAGTCAGTTCTATGAATGAATGAATAAACGAATATACACTAAAATTTATTAACACCGTCCAGTAATGAAAATATATTAGAATAAGCCAAAGTACAACAGGCGGACTTATTGTCAGTAGCAAAACTCCCAGGCAATCTTAGAACAGAAAATTGGCAGATGCAAAATGGGTACAAGGAGTGTTTTAAACATATATTGGTCATAGTAATACCAATTAATCGACAAGTTTTAACCCAAATATTCGTAATAAATAATTGAGAAGTGAAGCCGTGTCGTTTGGGTTGGAAGGAGCAGAGCATCTCATTACCCTCATTCACGTGTTTATTAAAGAAATCGTACCGTTGATATAACAAAGTCACTTATGCTCATACGTCAAAAGTACTTTTAACACATTAAAGTTACAAAAATAATACGAACTACATGAAACAAATTATGTACATGTGAAATTTTACAACACCGAAAGTTGTCGATTAATTACGTTTGTAGATTAAATTTTTATTGAATTGATATTCAATTATTTTTTGTGAAATTACTCCACTAGTTTGTTATAATTATTAAAACAAAGATCGAACACTCAGAAAAAATTCCTTCGATCCGGTCGGATTTGAACCGACGTCTTCTTGCATACCGTGTCAGACGCTATACCAACTAAGCCACGGAACGAACCAACGGACCTCACGAATTTTTCTATGTGCTTGCGTCGTGTCTTTGTACTTGGTCTTTCAACGACTTTTTAGTCGTAGCGCCATCTATGAGAAATCTATTACAGATTTATCACCCTGTTAGTATCTTTACAGCTACCAGTCCTGGCGAGAGATGTCGCTATTCACTGTATTAATTAAATTTTTATTGAATTGATATGTGTTTTTATGTAATTCATACGTTTGTAGACTTTTTTTTATAATACTAGGTGACGGGACGATGAAGTCGTGCGCTAGGTGATAAGCGACACGCCTATGCATAACAGTTGCAGTGCCACTGAGAGGTTTAAATAGCAAAGATCTTAGGGTCACTGTAACTGCGCCCGGCACCCTGAGACATAAGTTGACAAGTCCCATGTGCTTGTAATTTCACCAGCACCCTTACCCTTCCCAATCCGAAGCGCAGTAATGTTCACATTACTGCTTGGTGGCAGAAATAGGTATGGGGGCAGTACTTCCCTGCACGAACTCTTTCACAAGGAGGTGTACTGCTACTCGACTTTTTAGACCTCTCTCTTGAAAAGTCGTTATTTTGCAGATATGACCTTATTACACCAAGAGCGCGATATTACCATACAGCAATGTATGCGATGTATGTTGTCAAAAATTATTTTTTTATTTACCTTTATTTACCTTTGGAAAAAAAATACAAGGAAACAAATGTGTATGGGAGAAAGGGCGAAAACAAGTTGAGAAAGTACAAGTCGTTTGATGTAATCTAGAGTAAGTATGGGAGAAAAGGCGAAAACAAGTTGAGAAAGTACAAGTCGTTTGATGTAATCTAGAGTAAACAAGAAAACGTCTTGATAATAAGTTGTTGAATAAATACGTATTGAATTGTTACATCGCGTTTACCACCGTTTTGTAATGTTAGTAACGTCGAATAAGTTCAGGGAATTTCATACCCGGGTAGCAGATATGGCAAAAAGTAAAAACACTTTTTTCGTGTGTTGGATTTCATCCGAATCCAACGTTGGCAGTCAAATGCAAAAGAACCGTATTCCCCTATGAACAGAGAATCCAATATTCTTTTGTGAAATCGGTTGCAGCGGGCACGTCAGGACATTTTTACTCTAATTTTTGTTACAGCGTGATATATATCGTCCCATTAAATCGTTTTTGCGCGAGTTTTGTCGAAATGTAAATAGTGTTGTAACGAATTTTATTGTATATTATAGAGGTTGTATACCGAATTTTCGAAAAAGAGCGTAGCGGAATAGCCGAATCTTCGGTCTAATTAACGCACGTACGAAAATTGGCACAAAAAATACCACTTATTAACTTCAGTTATGATAAAGAAAAAAAAAATCCTTAATTATTACCAATCGTCTGTTAAATTTCGAAAAAGAATTCGTTAGGGCCTACGCACACGGCGTATTTTATACGCGCACAAGAGGCGCGTTTCACGAACGCGGTTTGAACGCGCGTTTACGGCGCCGAAGATGTTCTAAAAGCAGATTGTTGCGTTTGTATCGAATCAAACATCGCTTTGCAAGACTGAGGAAAGGGGCAGGTGAGGGGCGCGCGCTCACACCATCGCGCCATATAATTACGGCGCCGTAAACGCGCGTCATCTGCGCGTATACGCGCCGCAGACGCGCTGTAGTGTATCGATTCAAACGCACGCAAACATCGCGTTGCAAGCAAGAAGCTCATATACTCCACTGGAATTTACACTCTGAATTTTATGTAGTTGCTTCGTTTAAAAAAATAACTGAAATTAACAAACAAAACTAAAATTAAATCTATCTTTTATCGAAATGCGCGATACACACGCGCGTTTACAGCACGTTTATGGCGCGTATGAATTTGTGAACGTGTGCAAAGGTTTACTGGTTACGACTGAAACTCGTTTGAATCGTGTTAACGCGCGTCATTAGCGCGTCGTCAGCGCATCCTTTGCACGTCGTCTGCGCGTATAAAATACGCCGTGTGAATAGGCCCTTACTCCGTATTTGGATGAAATCTCTTTTTAATTTTCAAGCGCAATGTTGAGCAATTAAAGCGTAAAATATAATTTTTATATTTTTTATTAAAAACTTTTTTTTATTTTTTATTTACAAAATAAAGGCACAATCATAGATTGCCATATAATTAAATCTAGTAATTTTGTTTCTTGTGCCTACTCAAAAGTTTACATTAACAGAGGTACGAGATTTACGAATTTAGCCGACGCATTATTATTATTCAAAAACTTAATTTTGAAGTTTATAATTTAAATTTAGATTGCCATGTAATTATATCTAGTAATTCTGTTTTCTTGTGCCTACTCAAAAGTTTACGTTAACGGAGGTATGAGGTTTACGAATTTAGCCGACGAATTATTATTATTCAATACCTCAATTTTGAAACTTCATAAGTAGGTGTAGTTTTAATTTGTTATGTTACCTTTTTTATTTCTTAGAATAATAACTTAGTTATGTTACATTTCCTGCGATTATTTTGATAAAGAAGCGAAAAACTACGCTTTCACGAATTTACAATGTATGTTTAGCATTCATAAAATGTATATGATAATTTATTGCTTTATTAATTTCTTCCTCCTGTTTTAAGGTATTAGGCCGAATAGCAAAAAACCGCCCGATTAAGCCGTATACCGAATAGTAACCGCATATTCGTTGTAACTAAACTTATACACAACTGTATGAGTATTTAAACATTGTTTAAAATCGTGTAAAAAATATTTCACCCCTATTTTACCATTTGCAACAATATTGATAGTACGTTTCATATTTGTAAGTTCAAGGAATAAGATTTTTCATTTTTCAAACATTTTTATCCTTTTTCACCCTCATAGGGGTTGCATTTCGAAAAATCCGTTCTTAGTAACTAAATAAAAGTAACGTACCGAAGTTTTCACGCTACTAGGACTTATAGTTTTGGCTTTGCGCACATCTACCTGTGAATTGCTCTGGACCCTACTACTTATTCAAAACAAAATGTGTAATTAGTGCGTATAATGGAATTATTTTTATTTAGACCTTATAATTAGTTATCCACTTATCAAAGAGAATAGAAAATTGATTGGTTCAATCGATCAATTCAATAATTTTTTGAACTTTCTAGTCCTGTGTTTTCACTTCCATCATTTTTGAGGTACGACATTGTTTGGTTAGAGCGATATAAAGCTTGTCAGATACACTAAAAAGTCAAAGCGATTGAAATAAAAAGATATTATTAAGGGGATAATGTAAGCTGTTTCTATTTGAGCTTATTAAGCAGAGTATTTACAGCAAAAACTTTGATTAAGTCACGAATTTAACCACGTCGTGATTGATTCCATCAAGTATCTTCATAGGCTGGCATGATTACACCATGAATCCATGATAGAAGTACTAGCCAAACAAACACACCAAACTGTTGTGCTGGGGCCGCACTTGCGTCTATCGTCACGAAGCAATGCATACCGAAGCTTCGTATATTTTGCTAGCTAAAAGTTATGATGTGATCCCATTAGCGGCTTCGTAATTTTGAACGAATTATCGTGTTAAGGTGCTTTTCCACCTGAGAGGGGAGCGAAGACAAGGCGAGAGGAGGATTGAAATTTGTTTGACATAATTTCAATTCTCTTCTAGCTCATCTTCGGTAAAAATGGTCTGGATTAACGAAGACGAGTGAGGCGAGAACTGAAATATTTGTTGATGTAATTTTGAACCGTATTGCTGCGTACATAGAGTATAACACAGTGCAATAGAGACACAATTTCTCACGCGTGATTGAGTGGGCTTTGGCTGTTAATATAAATCGCGAAATTGTGAGGAACGCACGATTTGAGGTTAAAAAAAGGTTTTATCTGATTCCTCTTCTGTTAACATTTTTAATAATAATAACTTGGACATGTTACTTCAGCCGCGTGTTTATCGCTAGATGAACTGAACAGCACTGAATCTTCATTATCCACAACCACAGCTCGAAATCGCGCGAGAACGCGGTGGCTCGCGCCAGCTATTAATGGCAATTTTTGGTGGAAATAGGCCGGAGAGATTTCAATTCTCGACTCTGCCTTTCTCGATTCTCGCATCTGGTCTCGCGAGTGGAAAACCACCTTGACAATCCAAAACAGAACTTTTATCAGATGTTTATAACTTTCGCGATGGAACAGGCGCGTGCTTGTATTGCTTGGCGGGCGCTTGGATCTTAGCAGTTTTGTGTTAAATGTGTAATTACGAAACCAAACACAAGCCGTGTTTGGAACTATTTCGTTGAGATCTTTATAGGAATGACACTTTCGCTTCCGTTTCTGCTAAGATTCACGTTTGACAAGTGTTTCGTTGTCGCTGTACATTATGACAGTTCCGTTGCATCACTAACTTGTACGCAGCCCGAACATTCGCGCCGACAGCCGATAATGGTTGGTTACACCTGCGTGTATGCTATCATTGTGCGAAGGTTCATGACGATAGACAAAAGTGCAGCTCCATCATGGACCTTAGACAACATCTGCAGCTGTTAACTCGCGTATGTTATTTACATACGTATAACAACCAATAAGATGAGATTATTTTTAATAAGTGAATGAGGAATTGTCACTAATACTTAATCCTATTGATTGTTATTAAAAGACATTTATTGGATAATAAGTATCACTAAGCTTCACACACCAAGAGCAGCGCGGTTAAACAGAAATATAACTGCGCGTTTGCCGAAGTTATACAATATTATATAGAAATCGCACCGCCATGCGCTCGGTGTGTAGAGCTCGTAAGGAGAACAACTTACCATAATTGAGGGTTGAATGGAGATGTGCAGATGCGGTGGATGCATCTGCATGTAGTGGTGCATGTGGTGATGGACATGTGGGCCCTCACTGGAACCATTCACAAAACTTAAGTCTTGTATTGAATTTTAAGGCTAAAATTGCGTATATAATAAAAATTATGCAGTAGTTTGTAGCACACTTGAATACAGACCTTTTCGGAAAAAAAAAATCCATTACCGCCACACCCAGGTAAAGCAGCAATCTAAAATACAGGGGAGTCGCTCGAGGTACGACGCCTGCATTTATCCCTTAGTCGCCTACCACGACACCCACAAGAAGCTATGATGTCTATGAAACTACGAACCAGACTCCAACACGCATTAGTGTATAGCATAATTATTTATTGTATAATATGTATTGTATTATTGCCTGTTGTATTTTGATATCGATAACACAGATAAGGTAACTTATAGAATTTTAAGAGGAGTTCATTCTTTCACTACATTAAGGTGCTGCAAATATATACCCGGAAGTGCACGTAAGTGACCAGACTATAATCTTTGCACATTTATCCCGGAATTCATATTACAGTATAAATGCGCATAAAATTTCTTTTTTTACTGTTTATTTTCTAAACATTCCAAAATACAGGTCTCATGTTTATTTTTTAAAGCTAATGTATTTAAATACGTCAGTACCTATAGAATCAAAATTGCAATATTATTTTTGAGACAATAATTTGTAACAAATAGGTACTTAATAGCAAATAATAATTTGTCGCCAATATATTCAAATTTCAATAAACAATAGGCATCAGTTCCGAGAAGTCCCGGGTTTTATAGCAGGGAATGTCCACATTATTCTTTAGTTTAGCTAAATTAACTCTCTCAATTCCAATCACTGATTATAATATATATAAATTTTTGAGGAAAATTTTTATTAATGAACTAAAGGGCCAGGCCGTGTGTATAATGGTACGTTAACACGTAGACATTAAGATAACTTTGTAGTATCATATCTCTATATTTAAGTACTGAGTGACACTCTAGTACTAAGTAAAAAACATGTATTTTATTATTTCACCAAAGACGGTAATTTTGGATTTGATCTTCAATAAAAAGTCGTCCTGTTCTTGTATACTGATCTAGCTAAATTGGAATACAATGGTGCATATGAGATTTGAAAGCGTTCGGAGTTGTAGGTTCTATATCCACCCACATCTGATGTATGAGCGTGAAAACGTGGAGTTGTGGGTACAAGCCTATCTATTTATACACAAAGTCTGCGTGCATACAGGCAGTCAGGTCTCTGCAACTAGCATTTTCAACCCGTCGCTAAAGGTGTTAACTTACAACATCATAGGGGCCGGAGCACGGAGCCCTGGAGGCAGGGACGCCATGTCACGCTGCTCGAACTCATCTGGGAACTGCAAGCAGATGTAAAGTTTTTCAACATTCGTCTTTTCCTCCACTATACATACAAATGCAGTGTAAACTCCTCACGACGAAATGTAATGTATAAAAGTAACCATCGCAATGATATATCTCCTTTAGTTGTTTGTAAGTTGTAGCCCTATAACCCGGACAGTGATCACATGTAATGAAGCGGCTGCTCGCAATAACAAAAATAAACGTCATTATAATAAACATTGACAAATATTTTCAATTGATTAGTGATGCGACGAATACGAATATCCATATTAGCTGAATATCGGAACGGTATACCAAGTTAAAATTATTTGCAAATACTTGCTGAGTATTCAGACGTATTTACTCCCCAAAACCTTTTTTTAAAGTTGATATGTTCCCCTTATGGCTTCTTACAAACTTTTATAGAAAACAAGACATCGGTATAAGTCTTATTATTACTCATAAAATACCAAAATCAAAATGCTATGCAGTGCTTCCAGTTACTTACTAGCAATATTCTGATATAGCATACGCTGAAAGGGGCATCTTTCTAATGTATCATTTTTGCAGACTGGTAAAAATACATTTCGACTAATAATGGTATTAAGAAAAGGTTTTGTCGTTCACCTATCAACCATTTAAAATATCGCTAGCCCTTAACTAGGCACCCTGTATTTCTAATAATAAAATGCCTAGCAGTAATTTTTCACTAACAACAAGTTCTCGTATTCGTGTAAATAAAGTAGTATTCGATGCATCTCTAACATTTATTACCTGTAAGTTCATTAAAGCTCGAACAATATCCTTTTGAAGGCAATAAACAGAAGTTTTCGTAAGCAGCTGCGGCTCTTTAGTTTATTTTACAAAGTGGGTTATGTAGTGTGGACGAATTAACAAAAGTTGATGTGACGTGTACAGGCTGTCACTATTTATCCAATGATATAATGACAAACCTGCGTTATATAGGCGCCTCAAAATGTTCTATTGATTTTTCTACATGAAAAAAATCGATTTTTAGTAAGCTCTAGCTATTGAGCCTGGCGAGAGCAAGGATTAAGATGACCACTACAAGCAACACCTATTAAACGCGAACAAAATCAACGACAGCTGCCCCCCGCTTTTCCCGCGCTTTTCCCCGTATAATTGAACAAATGTGAGCAAACGAAAATGGAGGCGTTTTTGGGTGATACTATGCAACGAAGTTGTAACTGCGACCTTGTACAAACAAACGCTCACGTGTATTGTTCACATCAACTCTTATCAATTGAAGAGAATTCATGATTGGTACTCTTGTCTTTTTTACAACGAAAACTGCCTTCAACAAAAGAACTTAAGTCAGTTTGAGCATCGTAAAACCTCTTTTCAGTTATACCCTAACCCAAATTATTTACATGACGACTAACGCATAATGGTATAGTAAAGAAGAATGTTAGATTTGTAGGCGTGTTCCTAAGATGCCCCTTGAAAGTATTTAATTTTTTTTTCTCACAATTACTTATCGCTCTAAGCAGTGTCCTCAGCAAGTGAAAGGGAAAATAAAGAAAAAGAAATATTAATGTGAGTTTTATCTTCAAATGGACCATCAAAGGAACTACTGAGAAAATTGTGTATTTATTTTTCGCAACTAGCAATCGAACTGGTGAATTTCAAGTTAAAAACATTGTATCAAACATAAGTTATGTGAAGCGTATTGCAAAATGCAGTCTGTATTAAGCTACCATATAACTACTAACCTTTCTATTCGTTATTCACATAGTCTGCTAACACGATCAGTTCTACACTGGAAAGGAAAACGTCTAAGATGCATTTGGAAAATATTACAAGAGAGCGATTTAAAGCAAGTTTCTTAATAAAAAAGTCTTAACTCTAATTTTATTTTTTTTATCTGGAAAAGCTGAAAATTTCTAGTTTTCCATATAACAAATAAATATATTTTTTTTCTTAAAAAAGAATCTTTAAATTGCTCTCCTGTAATATTTTCCAAATGCACGTTAGACATTTTACCTTTCTAGTGTCTAGTTGTCTAAGACAATATTTTCAAATACAGCAGTTTGGTACATAGGATTTTGATTGTAGAGATTATTCCATTTAGATGCTGTCAAAGTTTGTTAGTGAGTAAAATTGTTACATTATTACAAATTTAACGTTTTAACAGTAGAACATTACTGCAGAGAACACGAAATAAGTAATTACTGGACGAGTGTGGGCCTGAAGGCCGTATCGCAATACCTTACTATCCTAATAGTCCAGCAATCGCTATTTCATTTATGGAATATAGCGAATTACAAAATGAATTTGTATAAAATACTTAGTTAACAAATAATAATAATATCCGCCAAATCAGCTGTACTACTTATACTTATCTGCACTATATTTAAAAACGACTAACAACTTCACGGGGCTATTGTAATCCCACATGTTTAATGGTTTAGTTCATATTATCTATAAATTTAGCAATTTTCTTTAAAAATATTTCGCCAGTTTAAAAAAAACTAATTATGGCGTGTGTCGCCAATTTGTGTTTCCTTTCACTTATCTCTCCGTCTACGATAAATGTACATTTATGTAAAAGTGACAAGTGGCATGAAAAATGACATATAACATTTTGTTGAAATCTATATTATTTATGCCAACGTAAAAAAAACTTGTTGCTAGTTAAAAAACAAGCTAATGATACTCTTGACGCTATACAGGGTGGAAAAAATAAAAAATATGAAGGGGAATTTAAATTTTACATTTGACTAATTTTACCTAACACTTTTATTTTCTTAAAATGCTGCATTCACACATTTTTTTAAGAATTCTTCTTCAGTTGGTTTCTTTACTTTTCTTCGTAACTTCTTTAGTTGGTTCGATTCTCGACGATTATTGCATATTAACGTATTGTACCTCAACCCTTAACTCTTCTACAGTGTCATTCTTTTCTGTCTTTTTGATAATAAATGTATTATTATTATTGTTAAGAGGTTTAGTTTAGGGTAGTGGTCTAGACTTTCACTTCTTTTCACTAAAATTAAGTAATTTTGTATTGTACTAACCATAGCACGTAAGAAAAATTTACTCTATTACTAACATTATTATGGATCATGGTCCGAAATAAACAATTCTATTCTATTCTATTATATTCTAAAATATTTTTTTCAAAGCCCATAATAATATTCAGATGTGTAGAGTAAAAAAATTATAACGTGTATTTTAGTTGTTAACAATAAACAATCTTTAATGAGAGTTGTTATGTACTAATAAGATTTCATGAAGGTATTCAATTGTAAGACCCAATGTTTACTGGAGAGATTATTATTATTATGATTCTTATCTTTGATGATATCGATTAGCACAATAAAATAGAGAGTTCATTTTTTTGCATTTTTAGTTGGTACGACTACCGGTAAACTTTAAAAATAAAATATTAATGCATTTATTCATTTTAAGAAAAATAAAAGAATGTTTCCTTTATTGATTTGTTTTCATTTTTGTGAAATAATTCCACTAGTTTAATATAACTATTAAATAAAAGGTTCTAACACAAAGAAAATTTCTAACGATCCAACAGAACTTTCGATCGATGTTTGTATTTAATAATTAATTTTTCCTTTAATTAAAATTAGCTATCTTAAGCATTTAAGGTAGTCCTCTTGATGTCCCATTGTTTTGTTCCACCTTGTAGAAGTACCAGTTTTCAAACTTAATACGTATAAAAAATATTTTTATTTTCGAACACAAATATGAGTATAATTACATGCAAGGTTGTAACCTTGTATTACGTATGAAAATAGTTGTCTAAAAAGGTCTCGCTCTGCTATAACCAGTAAGTAAAAGACAAAGTGAAGTGAAAGTTAAAAAAGTTAACAAAAATTACAAAACTAAACCTCTTAACAATAATAATAATACATTTATTATCATTTAGAGTGTATATTTTAGATTCTCGCCTCTCCCATAGACTATGACTATAGCCTAAAAGGTGAAATTTGAATTTTTAATGGGGGAATTTTTAGTGGAGCGATGGCGCCAGACAATGACAGCCAGGGACAGGGACTCAAGTTCAAGAATAGGATACATTTATGTATCGAGCAGAACCTAGCTGTATCCAACCTACCAACCAACACATAATAACCCTGTTTGCAAGTAACATATTTGAGGACAACAATTATTTCAGTGGAGGTCACATCCCTTACGTCGGATATTACTGATCTGGAATTACCGCTAGGGGTGCACAATATTAGGGGGAGGACGAATAAAATATTTTTGAAAATCCTGGGCCTTGGAGCGCCTTAAATTTAAATCCGACTCTGGGTGATCTCGGGCACCAGATTATTATTATAATAGTACAATATATTGTAAATAAAATGTTATATACAATGTTGTTTTTGCTTATACAATACAATTGCAGTAACCGTGCTGAATCCAAACGTCATTGACTTGCACTACACGTGACACAGGTACCGGCAACCATTTGAACAATAACACATGCGCAGAAAATATGCATTTTAGATCTATTTGGTGGTAGAAACGGAGGAGAGCATCGTATCGAGCGCGTAATTGGTAGATCATCAGTGGACCTTGCGTATTGAGTCTACGTTCTGCTGACATCGCGCAAACGTTCTAGTTTCTCACGAAATACTAGTTTTTAAACAACTAGTTTTTGCGATAATCCGATAATCTGCATAAATTACAATATTCGCATACATATCTGTCTCCGCATTGATCGATGCAGATATTCATTACGGATATTCTCATAGTCACATTACCTAAAGAGCCGGGAGTTAAGCCACGCTGAAATAATTTACAAACCATCCAAAAACAGTGGTTCTTACCTTTTACAGTATTCCAGTATGGTTTACATGGGTAGATTGATTATTGTGTAGGTCGATTTTCTTGTTGATATAAATGTCACCAAATCAAAAAAAAATCAAAATCAATAAAGCTTTTTTGTGCACTTTTTCACGATTTTTAAATAGATTAAATCAGCATCTGTATCAACATCCGCTGATGTTATGGTTAAAAAATCCACATTCGCATGAGCGCCCACTGATGTGTAAAAAACCTGGATTAGCACAAGCGATTTAAATTACTTCCCTTCCGTGTCGCATAGCCGTGGTACACTGTATATAGGTGGGCATACTGAAAGTTCCTGGCCTGGCCTCTTATAAAAAAGAAACTAGAAAAAAAACTAAATTTGAAAAAGGAACTCTCTGGGAGTAACTTACTTATTATTTTACGAGACTGTCATTTTGATTTTTCATTGTGAGTCGTTTTGAAAATTATGAGTCGCCATTGCAATAAATTTAAGTCGTGAAAATTTTCGCTACATGATTTGCTACGATTTTCGATGTAGCTTAAGTCAACAAGACAATTGTCAGAACTTTAATGCTTTCGGTGATGAAGTCCCATGTCGTAGCTCTGTCTATTCGTAGTTCAGCGAATTTGTCGTCCTTCACCACGACAACGCGTCTGCACATTCCGGTAAGGTAAAAAAAGCGTATTTGAAGGCCTCAAATGTGGAGCTGATGGCCCACCCGCCATACAGCCCACTATGCGACTTCTTTTTTTTTTTTCAAAAAATCAAAGATAACCTTAGAGGTTACCGATTTACAAGTCCGAAAGCGGCGAATGCGTACACGAAGCCGTCGAAGAAGTCCATGCGGAAAACTGGACCCACTGCTTTTCACACGGTTCCAACGAATGCAAAAGTGTCAATAAGGGAGGGCTATATATGAGATATACTTTGAAAAACATAATATCTGGTCTTACTTATTAGAATCCAGAAACTTTCCGCATAGGTACCTTAACGAAAATGACAATTGATGGACTCGTGTTTCACCAGACTAATGTTCTCTGCAATAATATACTATATAACCACAGAGCAGGGCAAAATAGTTTTTTAGCAGGAAAATTTCACCACAAACCGTTTCATTCTGCTAGTGAATGTTGTTAGTTATTTCAATTTTTAGCATCATGCGCATGCATTGATTTCTAAATGATTTTTATAAAAACTTTGTCACTCTTCAATGTTATAGTTATAATAATTGGCCAAAAAATTTAATATTCAAAAATGTTCTCCAAAAAAAACAACTTCACCTTGGCAGCAAAAGTTTTTTTTTTGTTCTGTTAAAATAACATCACACAACTACTGCACCTTGGCTAATTACTATAATTGTCAGTTAAACGAAAGAGAGGAAGGTAGTTATAATAAAATATTGAAACAAATGTGGTGAAAATGTTAGCAAGGAATGAAAATCGGTAAAAACATAGATAAATGGCATGGTGAAACGTTCGAACCATTATAGGACGGTAGGTACTGACAGCGAGCACAGCCGTTGGGGGCGGCACGGTGTAGGCGGGAGGGAAATGGGCGAATCCGCCGAAGCTCGCGCTCATCTCGCCCATCATGCTGCGCCGCTGCACCTCCTGCATTATTCACCAATCAACACACATTCGGTACGTGTTTACAGCGTTTAGTACCTTGCCACTTCAGAGCACGGGTCTTCTCCGAAGAGAGAGTTTTGAGCAACTTCGCCACATTAAACCAATCCCCATTCGGAGACTTTACACTTTACCGATATGCGGATTTCGTCACGATGTTTTCCTTTGGTAATTCGAAAACAGTGTACAACAGTGGGAGTCGAACCCAGGATCTCCTACGTAGTCCTAAATATATAAGCATTTACACTGCAGTGAATTGGAAGTTTGTCGGTAACTAAAGTGTAGGATCAAAGTTAATAAGTTTTTTTAGTAAGCGAGAATTTACAAGCATGTGCTGCTGACGCTGCCACAGTCGCTCGTGCACCAGGTACGGCGGCGCGATTGACATGCACTCACGGCGACGATCCGGCACTGTAACATGACATAAGACATACTTTCAGGAAACAGAAAAAGAAAAAGAAAAAGATCAATAAGTAATCGTATAAAACAAGAAATGCAAGATACGCTTCGGCTGACTGCAAAATAATGACACAGGACGCTGTGTGTCTCAAAAAACCAATTATTTATAAGAAATTCACTGACACTAACTTTATTAACATGCATTTGACGCACTCATCTCGCAATCTGGAGCAAACGTTACCGTTCAGTAATTTAAAATCAAATCTCATTCAAACGAAGGAGGCTTGCCCAAGTCCGGTCGGATTCGAACCGACGTCTTCTAGCAAACCGTGGCAGACGTTATGCCCACTAAGTATGGAACGACCCAGCGGACCTCACGAATTTTTTTAAGTGCTTGTTTGTCGGATCTTCGTGTCTGGGTTTTAAGACTTTTTAGCTGTAGCGCCATCTGTCAGAAATCTATGAAAGTATTTTGTCGCCCTTAGCTTGGCTTAGCTTAGTTGGCATAGCGTCTGACACGATTTGCTAGAAAATGTCGGTTCGAATCTGGCCGGATCAAAGGAATTTTTTCTAAGTGTTCGACTTTTGTATTAATAATTATAACAAACTAGTGGAGTAATTTCATAAAAAATAATTAAGTAATATGGTGGTGAAATATCCTGGCATTCAATAAAACTTAATTACAAGTATTAAAGTGATATCTCTAGTCAGCAACTGGTAGCTGTAAAGGTACCTCCCTGAGAAAAGAAGAAACTTTCATAGATTTCTCATAGATGGCGCTAGGACAAAAATGTCATCAATTGAATATCATGATGGTGAAACATCCTGACATTAATAAACACTTAAATAGATTGTAATTTTATGAGTATCTACTTGTATTGACAACCCCTCCAATGTTGTGATTAATTTTTATAATGAGATTACATAATTCGTAATGTAACACAATTTATTTTGCTTACTACATATCTGTTGTATTACGTTGGAGTGTAGTTGCAGCAAACCTGGTTGCCTTCCTGGTATGATTGTTATTGATGTGTTGTGTTAATTATGGCAACGTAGTAAAGTAGTACATATCTACTATCGAAATCGATTCTACTTTAGCATGGCAGTCTGTCTTAAACGTAGTAAAAATAAAGACTAAACGTTTTGAGCAACCATTTTGTATTATTTGTAGAATGTAAGGATGCTATACCAAGCGACCTGTACTTACAGTGAGTGTGTGGCTGTACGGGATGGGTGTGATGCGAATGTGGGTGGTGCGTGTGATGCGGTGCGCAGCAACAGCCACGGCAAGCCACCATGCACCCACCCACGCGGACCCTGTGACAACAAACATTCGGCAATCAAGCTCAAATTTCCGTTTCCTTTGAACGGGCCTTGTTCTCTGAATTGGTGATAAAAATGCCTTGTCACGCTCGGAATAATTTGGACAGAGTCTAACCTCTTACTTTTCACAAAATACTAAAACATTGATAGATTTTCTTATCCGAGTTAGATATAAAATAGTGCACAAAACCGCACCGAGTGATATTGCAATTAGAGAATGTGAAATTATCAAGATAAAAACTGGACTAAGTATATGACAATAAATCTAAATCGTGCGTTTTACTTACAATTTTTAACCGGCTTCGAGGTTCTCAATTCGACAGTATCTTTTTTTTGTATGTATGTTACGCGATAACTCCGGTATTTGTGAACCGATTTTCATCTTTCTTTATTTGTTGGAAAGGGGGTACTTCCATAGTGGTCCCATTTCATTTTGAAGAAAATCATCCACCTCTAAGGGTGGCTGTTCACGCATGAACATTAATTTTTATAAATAGCGCCTAAATTTTAGTTAAGGAGTAATTATTTTAATTGTTGATTTTGCTATTTCTCTAATTCGAGGCGTTTTTCTCTCAATATACTTTGAGTAGTGAGAACCGATTTTTATTATCTCCAGTGTCAAGTCCTGTATAGTGGCGAACTAGGAGATATTTCAATAAAACTTAGCAAATAGACGTAATTCCACCTACTTATACTTTTGAGGTCGGTTTTTTAGTACTCTGTACTGAGATTATGTATATCAGTTTAGCGCGGCACATCAATAAAAAGCCTTGTTGGTTAAAAGAAATAATAATATTTTTTTTATTGAGGCACTAAAACGAGTCTGTTACTCCGAGGGTTTACATTGGCTTTTAGTCTTGAGGTGAAAAATCATGAATTAAAATTCAGAAAATTTCGCAGTATCTTTTTTCAACCAGACAGACACATCAAACGCAACAAAACGTCACGATTAGACGTGTGTAGATTGAGTGAGCGCCCTCTGAAAGAAGTTTAGTATATATTAGTCATTTAGTAGAAGTTCTAAAACAATTGTAGAAATCAATCTTTCTATTTGTAAAAATATATACAAAACAAAAGAAAAATAACTTAATATGTGTTCACTTAGTACTCACAGAGGGCCAATCAGATCTACGTTAGTTTGTAGTTATATTATTGTATTATTTTTTAGTAGTAGTTTTGTTAAACTATATTCTTTAATAATTACACATCCATTAGTGTCTTTTTAAAATTTTTACAAAAACGTTTTTTATGCTCACTCAAGGAACGATTTCCTAAGAATCAACTAAGAGATATAAATTTCGTTTCTGTCTAGTTTTAGTAAACGTTATAAATGATTTTGTAAAATATAAAACAAGCCACTAATGTAGAATGTTTTTGAATAATAATTTTTTGAAGTGCTCACTCATTCCTCGCAACAAACGTCCATATCTTTAGATTTGCAAGTGTGACAGATAAATATAATAAGAATATTTATAATAAGGTAATTGGAAGAGTTTTACTAGTAATTAACTACTAAATATGTGCCATTTCAGATTTCGTTTTTATTGATTAATTAAAAAGAGACTCGTTTTTCATTTTATGTATGAACGTCTATAATGTTAGGTGACCCACATTATGAAAATGCCCTCCATAATCTCAGTACAGAGTACTAAAGAAACCGACCTCAAAAGTTCGTGGAATTACATCTATTTGCCAAGTTTTATTGAAATTGGCTACCGGAAAGTGCGCAAAACACTTAGTTCATCCCCTAGTTCGCTAATACAAATTGGTGCTCACTGCTTAGAGTTATAGAGAGCAAAACGCCTTCAATGGTAGCATAGCAAAATCAATTAATAAGATAATTGCTCCTTATAAAATTTAGGCGCTATTTAACCGCTGCTAAACAGAGCGGGCGGTGACGACGTAAACATATTTTATTTTTGAAGCGAAATTAGTGAGTATGCACTAGTTAGGTTACGGGCTGGTTATATGCAATGGATATTGTAGAGATAGTATTATGACCTCGCATTATAAATAACATTTCAAATCGATATAATGGAGTTAATATGACGTGTTCACACCTACGCTTACCTGTAAGTAATAATGTTAGTGGGTACACATATTTGCGCTAAGGAGATGTAGATTTGAATGAATCCTACGTAAAATACGTACGGTACAATATTCAACAAAAAAATTCAGTGCATTCTTTTTGGTACGGAAAGTAAAAACCATTTTCAGTCTAGAATAGGGCAGCGATTCTCTTTGTTAAATTGTGAAACAACGTCAAATGTCAAATGGTGACTAGAGACTGATACACACTGGTACAGTACCTGGTTCGTAGCAAATGTTGTGGCGGCGGTTGTCCGTGGTAGATGGGCGGTTCAGCGACACGCGCACGCTCGAACGCCGGCCGTGCGGGCGATTCCTGTGCTGACGGTGGCGTCTCCTCGAACTCCCGCCTCGGGGACTCAGTCAGGTCTATCACCACCCGCTAAGAAAAACAAGTTGCATAAGAACTACTGTTTATTCACGAAAACTAAAAATACCGCTCAATTGCATTTTAAATTCATGTGAAGTCCCAATTCATATTCACATAACCTTGTGTCCATTTTCTTAACCTGGTGTCCATTTTCTTATTTGAAGAGAGAGTGCAATCGCGTATTAACAGTATGCTTGACGTTACAACGACTTTGTATTATTCGTACTTACGGTAAGCAGAATAGAGTTGAAATTAAATCTATTCCAGGACGTTCACTCTACATAGTTCAAAGTTGAACTAAGTTGCCACATCCTTGAGATATTTTTAATCAGAGATACGAGGTGTTGCTATTAAATAACGAGACTAACCCTGTAAAAAAATTATTTTGATTTCATACATATTTGCTTTCCCTTCAATGTACACCCCTCCTCTATCCCTACAGCGCTCCATGCGAATCTTCCATTGTTCGAAACAATGCTGGAGGTCTTCTTCTGTCAATCCTCCAGGACGCGTGCCGTTGTCATTTTCACAGCTTTAACGGTCTCAAAACTTGTTCCTTTTAAAGCAGATTTTACCTTAGAAAACGATAGAAGTAGCACGGCGCAAGATCCGGCGAATAAGGCGGATGGTCTAACATAGAAACCTCTGCGGATTCTTTATCAATCCTTACAGTTCCAGCAATCGCATGAATACCGAACCGACGATCAGTTTACCGATTTTTTTGATATTTTTCGTAACGTAAGGTTCAGTTTTTAATTTAAAAACATTTGCAGTTAGCACCCATTTAATCTGTATAAAATTAATAAAGCTTGTATTAATAGTAATTGTAGTGTCTATATCGAACTATATTTGATTTTGGCTAAAGTGTATTTTGCGATGTTTTTTATTGGACGTTTCCGGTCTTAATCATATATTTTTTAACGTGGAAGGGGGACCGGGACCGGGCGTGGATCATGTTTTACGTATTCTCGGCCATCTTGAAAACGTTTAAGCCCCTAAAAATCACGTGCACATTGCCATACACTTCTTTCAATAGTTTTTTCCAAGTTTCATGTGAATTTTCACAACAATTCGAAGTAATTTAATTACTATTTTCCCTGCGAAACAAATAAAAACTTTAACGCGTACGAAGCTTACGGCTATACTGCTTTGTTTACAGAAGCGAGAGGCGTAGCATTCGAAAGAGAAGGTTTCATTATAAATACCTGTCGGTCACTGACGCTTGGCGCATACGCACTTCTACTGTAGCAGCGGTAGTCTCGTTATTTAATAGCCATATCTCGTATTACAACTTCAGAGAGTAATGTAAAATGGAACTCAGTTTTGGGGAAGCGTAAGGTTCAGTTTTAAATTTAAAAAAAATTGCAGTTAGCACCCATTTAATCTGTACTAAATTAAGAAAGCTTGTATTAATAGTAATTGTAGTGTCTAACTAACAATATTTGATTATGACTAAAGTGTATTTTGCGAAGTTTTTTTCTTGGCTAGCAATCGGAATGTTTTCAGTCTTCATATTTAATCATATATTTTTGCAAAGCACAGCTCAGGTAAAAATAATAATTGATTGCTAGAGAAGTATGTCTCTTTCGGTACAATTATTGAACTTGTATCGACTTTAGACGCACATCGTGTGATGTCTCAACACGAGAAAGCCTCCACTGAATTTAACCAAAGTCAGAAGTCATTTACGCAAATACTACATTGAAATAAATAAGCATAAGCAGGGAACACTGAAAGTTTGTTCCATTTGTCTATTCAAAAAAATTCGCTGAGCAGCTCATAATCAACATTAAAAGTTGCGATAGCGATTTACAATAAAATTATTCACTAACGTCATTTTAATGTTACTTTTAACAATTCACTCAATATAATTTTAAATTACTTGTGTATTTCACTCGCAGACAGTCGCCAGATTCCACAAGCCATTTAGTTAGCAAATACATTACATAGGTCATTACTTTCATTGTCGTCATTTAAACTCGCAATGTGTAGTTAGTTCATTGGCCTCCAATCCGAACGGGCTTGGATCGTTTTTCTGTTAAAATAATACATTTTGTAAAGGTACCGTGACAAAACTTACAACTGAACCACCAAAATTTTAAAGGGTTTCTCTATAGAATTTGACATTTTACTCTAAACTTCCAAACGACACCAAATTTTTAATGACCCAGGTCACACAAAAGGTAATGTGAGCGATAACAAAGAAAGCAACTTGGGGGGCACTATCTACCTAGAACACTCAGATCAAATCCGATTCAGAAAAGTTAGTTTCATAATCAGAAATTAATTATTAATTACCCCAAACCAGTCAACAAACAGAGGAGTTGAGCCATCTATCGTCATAACGTGAAATATTATGTGTCATATAGTACAAAAATGAACAGAAAATAAGTACGTAAATCGTAAGGCCGGACCAAATTATGCAGAGCGTTCGCAATAACCTGCCGTAATTCAATCCTTTCCCGACCAATTGATGATCGTAATACAATGTCTGAGACAAATTGAAATAATCGTGTTAAGTGTCTTGCTATAATGAGGTTTGATGATAATAATAACAACCAAGGGGACAATACTTCTATCGCATTGGTAAAATTTTGTACATTATAATGAATGGTTCATTAAATCAAGGTGTTCATTTCGCTTGAAGCTTATTTTATAACACATTTTCTAATGGTTTCATGTTCAAATAGGCTCATATTTAAGCAAATATCTTGAAATCAATACAGCCGATGTCGCATAGCATTTTTGTTTATATTTCATCTACATACCTACCTTACTGTTTACGGCCTACAGTCATGAAGAATTTAAAATCTTCAAAATTTATATTTTAGAGTCTAAAATAACACGTTTCAGTAAAGCAATTTTCCCATTTGGTGCCATTTTAATTTATAGGAAACTTTAATATCATATTCGCATGTTGCGTTTTTTCTTTTCACGGTTGCACAAGTTAATTAGTGAAGGTATTATTTTATTTATTTATTTATTGAGTGTTGACCATAGAGCCATCAGCTTAAAAAAGTTACAAATAATAATTAAAAAACTCAAAACGTAATAAACATAAACTAAAAATTTCTTTATGTAAAAACGGTAACTACTAAAACCCGCCATTTTCAGTCTATAAACATTATGACACTTTCGTGAAGGTATGATATACAGAAACACTTGATTGTCAAAATTAGTATACAGAGAAAGTTACATACCCCATTATTTTCTTCTCCCAAAACTTGTACGTCGTCATCAGAGCTGTCAGAAACCCAGTCGAGTTGCAAGTCGGGCGCAGAAAGCGGGCCTGCTGGCCCCGGCCGCCCGGTCGCGGGTGTTCCAACAGCTCTCGTTTGTGCACAAGGGGCACTCCGTTCATTGCAACATTTCTGAAAAAATAACAAAACTAAACTTAAACTTTTATTTTACAGTAAACAAACTGGTCAGTTGAGGGATCTAAGATTTTTAATATGCTGCTTTTTAACATCAGAACATCTTTAATACCCTTCAACCTGAAACAGTAAATGCCTTACAGTAGAAATAGATAGGTTAGTGATACCTGCCCAGGATGTTCTGCATAGAACAACCTTACTGCCAGTATCATTGCCAAAAAAATTATACATATGAAATGGACATTTATGAAATATGTATATGTAAAAAACTAAAAGTTCTGACTCAGAAAAATAGAAGGCGTACTTCTCGATATGGTGGAAAAAATATATTTATACCGTTATACGCGAACAGGTTCTAAAGCAAAGGATCAAATAGGAGACTATCTGAATGTGGAAAATATAAAAAGGTGATCAACGGCTTGCGAAAACTATAATACATGAGAGGGACATTTGTGTACTTTTATAAGGTACATCTTGGCCAATTTCCGCCGAAAGTAAAATTATGTTCGAAATCCAAATAAACAAGATGGCCGCCATACAAGCGTGTAAGTCTTCTATCACAAAAACTATTAGAGATAGGTAGGAGGTTCTGGAACGAATGTCATAGAAAGTAACAGTGGCTTATTGCTTGTGTTAAAAAAATTTTAGTTTCGCCAAATCCAAAATGGTGGCCAAAGAAAATTGCTTCGATCCGGCTGAAAATTGGAATGCGGTCCTTAATCATAAGTTGGGGTCAAAAGTTCCGTTTCGCCATTTTTTAATACGGCTTCCATTTTTTAATACGGTTTTTTCGTTAAAAATTGCTGTAAAAAAAGATTTGCGGTTCGGCTGAAAATTGGCATGTGGAGGTCTCTGTTCCGTGCTAAAAATTGGTTTTTCGCCACTTTTAAATATGGCGACCATGCAAGCGTTAGAAAAAAAATGTTCTGATGCCTTTGAAAATTGGCATGTGGAATTTGTGAATTTGTGTGGAAGTTTAGGAATGTCTGACAAAAATTTGTGACCATAATTGGGTTTTCGTCATTTTCAAATCAATTTCAAATAAGCTACAAGCATTCGTAGGCGGCAGATAAAAATGGGCTCTAATTCGACTGAAAATCAGCATGACTCTAGGAGTCGTATTCTAGAACTCTATTCAATGCTCAAGTCTGAATTTGAGTATGGTTTAAAGCACTCGAAATCATACTCAAGTCCCTGCCATTAGGGTCGTATTTCCAGTGCAATCCTGACTTGAGCATTGAGTAGAGTTCTAGAATATGACCCTAGGAGTGCTTGACAATAATTTGCGGTCAATATTTATTTTTCGCCATTTTTCAATATGGCTGCCATGCAAGCTGGGCGAGGTCAGAGGTTCAGCGCAGGGCGAAGAACGTCTGCACGCCACCATACGTAGGTACTATATGGAGGCTCACCAAGTACAAGATCTCACAATTGTTAAAAATGTAAGGCATAGTAGACACATCAGACAAGCATACCAATTTTCTGGTCTCATTATGGTACTATGAATACCAGAATAACAATAACTCTGAGGGCAATACCCAGAAAACCCAGACAGAATCAACTTAGAACTGATTGTTCCCCAAATTGGCCCAAATCGGGAATCAAACACGGAATCTTCTCATCAAGCACCCATAGTACCAACTGTTGTGCTGCCAAAGAGCATAAGCGCATTCCTTTATCTAAACCCGACCCCAGCATAGGCGGTGTACAAGGTTCATTGTAAATACACTTACCGGGCCACAAACATTCAATGATCTGTTCTCTGGCTGCTGGGTTCTTCCTGAACTAGTTCCAGGCTGTGGAGAAGGATCTTTCACCCTCCTGTCTCCAGCAGCATCAATATCGTGAGATCTCTTAGTATCATTACCTTCAGTCTTGACATTCACATTTTCACTATTCTCTATATTCCTTGTGAGTGGTGCATCACCTGGCTCTGTTTTCACTTGTGGTTGTTTAGTGGTCTCTGCTTTTACAACTCTGTTGAAAGAAGTACTAGGACCAGTATCATTATCAACAGAAGTTTGTGTTGTGTTTGCTTCTTGCTTTATACTGGTATTGGTGCCGCTTGCATGAGCAGGTGGAGTTGTGGGCTCCTCCTTTACAGTTGTAGCAGGCAGACTTTGGCCTTCAGATGGATTCCCTTCCAAGTGGTGTGCTCTAACAGGAGGAGGGGGAGGAGGAGGAAGAAGGGGATGATAATAGGGATAATAAGGTCCTCCTTGGTAAGGATCTTCATACGGATGGGGAGGATTTGGATAGTGAGGTGAATTCTGATAATAAGCTTGATCTTGGTAATTGTAAGGAATTGGATGGCCACAATCATTGGGTTGTCCTGAGCAGTTGCAAGTCCCAGGAGGATGGTTTACTCTGGCATTGTACACATACTGCTGAGCAGGGGGGCAGCCAGAGCACTCTTGTTTAATGTGTAACTGTGGAGCACAACCACAATTCATGCCATGCGGGGGCTCAGGTACATGGGAGTAGTGCTGCTGCATATTGCTCTGGTGTCTGTCACACACATATGGCTCTGGATTTTGCAGGTTTCTGTTTCTCTCAGCATCTCCACCAGCTTGTGTAGAAACCTCAGTTTGGTCATGTGGCTCTCTTTTGATGTCTACTCGCTGCGAAGATGATTCAATTTGGCTGTTGATTGCACTGCTACTTGGAGCTTCAGTAGACCCAGAGGCTTGAGTACCATTTGGAGCAGGAATTTTTCTTGGAACAGTTACATTGTCCTCTTCCTCTGAACTCACTACAATTAAACTTGGATTAGGATCATTCTCTTTGGATTGCCTCCTTGTAGGAGAAATGTTTAGCTTTCGACTGGGTCTCTCTGGAGTAGATCGAGTATTGTGTACATGATCACCATTCGCTGGCACTGGTCCATATGCATTGTTCAAATCAGGCTGTGCACATTCATATCCTCGATTTGCCATCAATGGCTCTGGTGGAGGTGGGAGGCCAGGCGGCAAAGCATATGCCATTGGATGCGGTAGATATGTTCTGTCATCACCCAATAAAATGACATTGTTGGGATGATACGGTGTCATTATGTGAGGTGCTGCACCTGGGAAGTGAGCATAGTTCGGATAAAAGTAGCCCCTGTGTGCTACAAAAGGCTTTGGCTGATACCTGATATCTGGGTATCGCCTGTGACCATTAGGCATGTTTACATTATTTCCTGCATAATCCAGAGAGCTGGAACTGTCCGGCAATGGCTGATATTCTTCAGGCACTGGAGTGCGAGACGAATCACCAGGTGCTAATGGAGCACCATTTGCATTGTATTGTTCATCAGGTGTAGTTGAATTGATGTAGTTGGAAGATATGGCGCGGTTCAGCGGCTGTCCCCGACGGCCCGACGACATGTTTTCAGACGACGACGGAAGCACTTCTATTTCGTCATCACTTTCTGCGAATAATGCATCACATTCCATTTCCTCTGAACCTAAAACAATAATATTACAAAAGTACAGCAAAGACTCGCGAAAATGAGCCGCGATGCATGTGAAAAAAGTGAAATGCAATAATTATGCTCACCATTTCTAGGTTGGCTATCAGAAACTGTATTAGTGAAAACCGTGTCCAGAATGGCCCCTAGCGATGACGGCCCAGGTAAATCCCACGACGACGGCGACTGATCACCACCATATCCCTTATCTGTCATTTTACGATCAAAAAACCGGAGTCATATTGTCCGAGATTGATATAGATGTTACAAAGGCAATCTGCATTGTCAACACCTATACAATCAAAAATATATCACTAAATTTGCGCCATTGCAGGCGATAATCACATAAAATATGGAACACAGTTTACAAACTCCACTGATTTTATCCTAATTTCGTCGAAAAGACGAATAAAAAGTTCAGAAAATTGAAAATACACGACAGTTATGACCAAATTTACCAAAATTTACATTTGTCCCAGTGACATTAGTTTCCGGAATGCTAATATTTTTCAAACATTTCGTTCACGAAATGGAACGTATGTACAAATCATACAATTATTTCCATCGACTCACTCACTCTCACCGGTTTTTAGACGATTTTTTTTAAACAAATGTCACGTGCATTTTTGGTTCAACTTCATTTTGTTTGTCTTTTGTGTAGTATTTTTGATGATTTGGTAAAGGAACAACATAATAATTTTATTTTTACATCGACCTGTGTCAAATGAAGGATCCATTTATTCCAAACACGGTTAAAAACTCAATTGAACTAGTTCGATCACGTCTCTATTAAAGGTGGCTTTCATTATCCTGCATTGCAGTCCACCTTGCCGTGCACCGCGTAATGCAGAATTATGAATGTAGTCGCAGCGTGCAAGCCAAGGTAACGGAAGTAACAGTCGTGACAAAATCACGATGATTTATCACTGTGATTTTTTTGAAACCGGAACGACTGTCACGGCGATAGAAATGTAACGCTATTCCCCATGTCTAGTCCCAGGTTCGATTTCCGGGCCGGTAGAAATATTTGTATGGCCTACATTTATTTCTCTCGGGAGTTTGGATGTAATTTGTGGTTATCTATGTGTGTGTCCATGGCACCCGCGACACAGTGTTTCCCTAGTGCGGGGCTAAGTTGAGTGTGTGCGTTATTGTTATTATTATTATAAGTTTATATTTGACTCTTACTGAAATTCAATATTAAATTTATTTAGATTTCTGTGGTTTTAAACGACTGGTAAGGTTCAATCGTGCATCTCATTCGAACTTGTACTAAAAACTATGATAGTCCATTGTCTCGTTCCCACCGTCTCCCCTTGCATCTGTGAACTGAAAGAACGAAAGAAATAAAAAGATAAGTGAACTATTTTATAATATTAATTCACCTGTCTTTTTAATTCATAAGATCGCTTTGCTTCTGTGACTCCGCAAACACGTCACATTTCTCATTGAGTAAAAAAGATGGACCAAGAAAGAGGTGAACCAGATCGTGCACAACACAAGGAACTAGTTGGTTTCGGTTCGGTCAGTGTCAGGAATTCAATCTAAACATTCATGAACTACTCAAGCCTAATTCATAGTAATGTAGAACCACAAATGATTGGAATTTAAATAGGATTTTGTAACTTTCACTGACACGATCGCCATATATTGTTTTTAATATTCTCACAAAAACTGACACAAGCCTAGTGGCCGCCATTAATTTATTAATGTAAAATTGGCAACCCAGTGAAATTGCATAATGGCCAAAGGCTGGACGCCATAGTGCTAAGGAATAAGAAAAAAAATCTATTGTATTGCTTGGTATTTATGTATATTGTGGCTAAAACGCTTACCGCGAAGAGCCAAGAGAAATGAGAGAAAAAGAAGTATATCGTGGTGGTAATAAATAAATAAAGTGTGAGATAACAAATTGGTATACGTAGTGCGATATTCTCCTACCAATCAGTCGTTAATTGATACGAAGTCATAACGTAAACGTGTTACTTTTATTTTTATCCTGTTTGGTCCTACGTTTGTAGGTGGTTACCTGAGGCTATCCTTCACTGTTACTGTGGACCAGGTCTAAAGTCAGAATGTTACCGTCGCTGCCGCTATATATCGAAGGCGAGGTCGTTAAAGGTTTCGGCCGAGGATCCAAAGAACTGGGGTGCCCTACAGGTAATTCTATTATTATAAAGTCCATTATTATTATTACATTTATTAATGTTTTTTTCAATTGTTACCTTTTCAACTTTTCAATTTATCTGGATATTTCCTATAAATTTTATGCAAAGAATATTCGTAAATTTATTTTAATTAATTGAGTAGGTTATGGTAATATACACTAGGTTCTTGTGAAATAAGTCTAAGTTATTTTTTTTATTAAGAATTGTATTTATTGGAATAGCAATATAAACTTTTTCTTAATTTTAAGGACTTGTTTGGATACATGAAATCTTTGATGATAAAAATTTTTGAATTGGAACGTTTTTTTATTATTGATAGAGTAGCAAGCTACATACAGTTGGATGTAGTTATAATAAAAAGATCCAAGTCACAATTGGTAAGTTTCGAGAAAATGGAAGTTCAAGTTTTCGAAAGTTTAAAATGTTAACTACTGCTAGAATTCTCAACTGATCTTAATTTTCTTTTTGTCAATTTAAAGTTTTTACTATGTAGTTTCACATCAATTACCAAGCATTTCGTATATTAATGATTAAGGTAGTATTTAAAAAAAAATAGGATTTGAATCATTTTAATTTTGTATAGCAAAAGAACTTTTAGGCCATTCCAAAGTGATGGGTGGGACATTTAGGGTCGTATTCCAGAACTCTACTCAATACTCAAGTACAGTTCTGAAATATGACCCTTAGGGTCGTATTCTAGAACTCTACTCAATACTCAAGTCAGGATTTGAGTATGGTTTAAAGCACTCGAAAACATACTCAAGTCCTTGCCATTAGGGTTGTATTTCCAGTGCTTGAAATCATACTCCGATCCTGGCTTGAGCATTGAGTAGAGTTCTGGAATATGACCCTTACATTCCTTTTTTCTTGAACTTTAAGTAATATCTCCCTAACCATTAGTTAATTAGACTTAAAAGGAAAATATCATGAAGCCAGATGTACAATTCAATTGCGACTATTTATTTACTTAAATTTATGACATTATTTGTACTCAAAACTATTAATTTTCTAAGTGTGACGGGCGGGACACTCACAACGCCTGCCTGTTTGAGTTGATAGCTTCATGGTCAAGAGAAAGACAAACTATTAATATTTTGTTCAGCAAGTTTTTCATATGTGATAACTTGAATGTTAAAGTTCCAATTTGTATGTACACTTAATAACTTTGATAAATTTTAAGGAAATTAATATGTTAAGTTGTGACATAATTTTGTGATGAGTGGGACGAGTTACAGTTGAATACACAGAATTAATAAAATTACATTGTTTAATATTAGATCCATTGTTTGTAAGCAAATATTTTGTAAGTTTTGTCTTATTAAGACATTTTAACATAAAAACAAACAGAATTAAAGAACTGATTAAGTAATCCTATTATTTTTCTTGAAACACTGTCTATAATGACATGAAATCAAAGTCACACATGTAAAATGCGTTAATAATTTTGTAAAATCCTGCCATTCCTTGAAGATTATGTATCATATCAAAATATATCAAATTTTAGAAATTTGTTTGAATATAGTTAAAACTAGTGGGAACAGCCTTTTCATGAATTTCCTGATACTAAAAATCATCAGGAAAAATGTTGTCACTTTTTAATTGTCTTTTTTCATGTGTTAGAATGTCTTAATTATGAGAATTATAAAAAAATTTGCATACAAATGATGGATCTACATATAAATAGTGTATTTTTTACAATTCTATGTATTCAAATGAACTTGTCCCACCTGTCATAAAATGGTGCCCCAATCGTCACAATTTAAACACATCAAATGTTTAACTCCGAAATTAAAGCACCTGTTACACCTAGTAAACATCGTAAAAACTCGAATCCATGAAAATACAAACATTTAGTCAAAGTAAAAACCTTTAGAAGTGTGTGTGTGTGTGTGGTTAAAATAAAAATATGTTTTGTGACGGGTGGGACTTGAAATTAGTATTTATATACACAGTAACAACTTTTTTAGAAAGACGCACAAATAACCGCAAAAATTGTTGCTAACATTATACGACAAAATGCTTCACTATAGACGACAGCACTATGGCTGCGTTGTCTTCATTAATGAAGACAAAAAATACAATAATTGTACAATATCCGGAAAAATCTCATTTATTTCTAATGATTTGATTTATTGGGCGTATTCTAGTCATACAATTAAAACCAAATTGTGTAATGTATTTTTTTTTATCGCAGTGTTATTTTCGCTGGAATGACCTGACTTTTGTGATTATTTTTCATATTGCAAAAATGATCCAAAATGTGCAAAAAGTGTATAGGTATTAATTGTTTTATTTTGATTAAATGAATATAATTGAATTTTTAAGAATTTTAAGAAATCTCGATTAATTGCCCGATGTTTTGAACTATAATAACACTACACTCCAACATAACTTTATCATTTTCTACAGTAATAAAAATTGCATACTTAACCCAGATTTTTCGCGAAAAATACAATTTTTTGACAATGTTCGGATGCATTAAAATATATTTAAAAATTATTTTTCTTAATTTTTTCTCACTAAATCGACGACTAGTTGCTTGAAGAATTATTTTGTTAAAAAAACTTGATTTATTTATTTATCCTAAGTAGAGGTGGGAAAAACTGCAAATTTCTTTAGACGTTTAAAAATTATTCTTTTTTTTTTCACGTATGCGCTTTATAGTTTGAAGCTAACAAAATCGTTTAGAAAACGTTTAAGCGCATAGACTTTTTTGTTAAAAAAAGCTTGCAACGTTGTGTTGATAGCGAAACGCAAGAGTAGACCGCTAAAGGTTTTAAGATAAGTAAGTTTTTTTGTAAAAAAACGCAAAAAAAAAAAGGCTTAAAAGCTTATCAAATTCTTCAGAAATTCGCCAAGCTATCGGTCGGTTGCCGGTAGTATTTCGCCGCTAGTCGCCCGCACGCTGCACTGTATTTTGTCGTTAGAAGTCTTGCGAGTCGCTGCGACCGCGGTCGCGACGTATCGCCGGCACGCTGCACGAGCCCTAAAGTCTCAAGAGATTTTCCGACATTTCTTTTGTAGCGAGATCGTATACCAACAAATATAGTATTTTATAAAAAACAATGTGTCTACAACAGTGGAATTCACGGGACTTCTAATTACACAGGTTATTGTATTTAAAGGTAGAAGGTGAGGCAGGTAGAGAAACACAGGAAGTTGGCTCATATCTATTGTGGCACATCAATAACGAATAGGCGGTGGGCACCGAAGACCTTACATTATGGAGTGATTCACGAGGTCAAAATAGGAATATTAAATTGGTATTGATGCTAAAAGTGGCTCTGAGGACCCATCCGACCTTAAAAAAAGATTCGCTGTCGCTATTTGGAACCTGGGAATAAATTTTTGCCCAATGGTACAGATTTAAAAAAAAATTAAAATGCCTTGAAACACGGGAACGTCTTTACACAATCGAAGAATATATGGATATTTTAGAGACATGTAAGAAAGCAAACCCATTAAAAGTAATGCGAATGAAATCAGATAGGTTCTTGGGAACTGTACACATAGAAAAAGAATATAATTAATCGAAAAGTGTTCAAAAATAAGAGAAAGTAAATTTCGAGTTCTTAGGTTTTTGCGATTGTTACACATAGCAAAATGAAACTATTTTTCCGGATTTAAATCGCGTATATTTGTTTTTTCAAACAAACCGACGTTTCGGGCCCTTTACAGGTCCCATGGTCACGGTTGACAGTGGTAGTCAAAAAAAATAATCAAAACGATCCAAGTTACTTTGGATCCCATTGTTTCAAGACTTTAAAAAGCCAACACTATACAAGCTACTTTGGTGCATTTTTTTAAAAAAGAAACAATAAAAACAAAATTATTCAAGTTTATTTGAATCTTAGTGGTCGACATATTTCATAGTTAAGTATTTTTTAAGAACGATTCATACTCAAGTGGATCATGTCATGTGTTGTTGAATGAGAGTCCAGGACACCTGGATCGTTCATTAAAAATATTTCTGGGAAAATTGCGTATTTTTCAAAATGCTACATTTTTATAACTTCGCCAATATTACAGATATCGACACGAGTCTTTCTGGTATGAAAGAATAGGCTACGGTGAATCACGACGTATACTCAACTCATTTTCGCTCGCAGGCGGTCAGATTGTCCAGGCCGGACGGAGCCTGTGTTGTTTCCGACTTTCTTCCGGCTAATCGGGGGGTCCCGCAAGGATCTTTATTGGGACCAATACTGTTCATCGTCTACAGTGCTGATTTACTTAGGGCAGGGGTTCCCAAGCTTATTTTGTCTACTGCCCACTTTGAGAATAAATTATGTTTTAGCGCCCCCATTTTTCACCTACTTAAAAACCACTATAACTTCAAATTAAATTAATTATTGTGAGCTATGTTAGCGGAGATTAAGCATTCATTCTAAACGAGACTTTTACTATAACCCGCAAGAGTTAACTTGAGACCTGAGCGCAGTAGGTAGTACACAACGGCGCTCAGGTCTCAAGTTAACTCTTACGGGCTACACCTGCCAATGAGAATGATTATTGAAACGCAACTTTATAGTATTCAGACAGAGTATCTTTTATTCATAATAAAACAAACATAATCGATTCTAATATAAAAATTAATGTGAAGGATGAATCTGATGCTGTTTAATAAGTTTGTTGATATCAGGTTCCAATTTACCCAAGAACAGCCGCAAGTCACCACGTTCGGTAACATGAAAACGATTTCTTTTTTTAGTAAGCAGCGTAGTCACAGCACTAAAACCACGTTCACACAAATATGACGATGGGAATGCTATCAAGAATCGTTGAACGATTGACCACAATCCAGGGTACAATTGCGGGATCGGATTTTATAGCCAAAATTCTTGGTAGCCATTTTTGAACTTGATTTTTATTTCCTCGTTCGTTGTCAATTCTATAAGTTCTTCCAGCTGAGGTGATATTGCTGTGTTGACATTTGAAAACGGATCCAACACACAGTCAGGTATTTCCAAGTTCAAAATGTCCTGGTATCGT